AACCATCCAAACAAAAATAAACAGAGTTTTCCAAAATGACAAATTTTAACATCGTTCCTGGAAAAGGCCAAACTGAGCACAGAAAGGCCAAACATTATTTTTTTCAGTTTTTGGTTTGAAATGTATTTTAATTTATTTGTCTCATTTTACCAATGGCCAGGCATTCTCTGATAAGGTTTCCAAAGTGTTTCCTGTGTAAGCAGAACAGAGCCCAGAATTCTGAGCCCATTCCTGGATCTTAATGGCACAGGAGTGCCATTAAGCATGAACTGCTCTTCATCTGCAAACGCAGCTCAGCTGGCGTAGGTACAGTTGAAGCCCACACAGTCTGAAACTGCACACTCAAACAAAGAATCACTGGAATTCCCAGGCTGCCAGGGCAAATTGCAAAGGGACTTGCATCAATGCTGAACAGAATTGACTGGGCCTTCAGAGCTTTCCTACCTCTTCCTCCAACTTCCAGCTGCTTTTGCCCATCCCAACATTTGTCTACAAGCAGGAGAACCCCTCAAAGTGTATTTCCACAATTTAGTTCAGAGAGGTGGGCAGGATCTCTCCAAGAGCAGGGGTTGATGTATTTGTCTCATCTACAGAAAGAAAACGATCCCACCAATCTTCTAGTACTGTGGCCCATCCACATGAAAAGGAGCAGGAAGGGACTGTCTTTCCAAGCAATACAGACACTTCCAGTGACATCTCACAGAGTGAGGCATGAATGAAAAAGGAAGTGGGCCTAATACCAGCACAAGGTATTAGGCCCAAGAAAGGAACCACTTGGACCCCTAGGACAGTCTGGGATTTGTTTAAGCAGATACTTGTCCTTTTTAACTTGAGGGTGCTGCAAAGATGTGATGCTTACACTTCCTGCTATTAAACACCAAATCCTACTGATGCCAGTGGATCTCACAAGAACAGAGTCCCAGAGTCTGTGAGATAAGGGACCACACAAGACTTGATGGAGATGGGACAAGATGCTACAAGAAAACAATTAAATATGCTTTCTCAGTTTGGAGGACGTTTTAATATCTATTGCAGCAATGAGAAAAAACAAACACCTGCAGTTCTTTGTTAAACAGCACAAGACGAGTGTTCTATGGAGCTAATTTGATATAATGTGTGAAAAATCCAGAAGAAAAACCTTTAGCCTTGTTCTCCATTTCCACTTACTGTGATTTAGGACATGGGCATCATACAGATTAACAGCTGGTTCCTAAGATGGAAACATCTGAATGGGAGGATCCAGCCTTTCTTGCTCTGTCAGTCAGGATGACATTTGATAGACAATTTGCTTAACACCTCTGTAGAAAGAATCAAAGGTGCCATCTGAGACCAGTGACATGTATTTCCTCATAGCTACTTGTATTTCAGTTAAGAAACGTGATTTGTTTTCCAATACATGTTATCACTTGCTGTGTTTACATTATGTCAAAAATGACGAAGCAGCATAATCAAAACTGTTTTAATCCTATGTAGTTAATACTTCATATGCATGTTATTGTTTGAGTGGGTTGAGCAACATAGTATGTTGAAAGAAAGCAAACAAGTGGCACTGAGTATGGAGCTTTGAGCAGTGCAAACTGTAGGTCTGGGCAGGAGGCTGCTTATGTCTGTCCTGTGAGAAAGTGGGTGAGGATTTTTGACAACGCATATTTTTGCTGGACAACATCAGTTCATTGCACTGTGTGGGAAGGTGCTGACTTTGACTGAAGCTTTGTGTGAGGGTTTCCCAGCTTTCAAGTGGTCAAAAGTCAATAGCAAATTGAAAATCAATAGCTCAATAAAAAATCAATCACCTCAGAAAATCAATAGCTCAATAGCGTAATTGGTAGGGGTCTGGAATAAGTTTCTTTCTTATGCTTCCTCAGCAGGACATTTGGAAGCTCTTACTTATTGTATAACTAATTAAAGAGTAATTGGGCCAGAGAGACAGACACACTATCCTACTGTGGTGAGATTAGGACATGCTACTTGCAACACAAATGCCAGCCTCTGTATGTTCAGGGACATTTGTACTCAGATGGGTATCTAGAGGCCAGATCAATACAGGCATGACTCCACAGCTCCTTAGTAACCCTGTCAGACCAGAGTTCCACCTGCACCCCCTCCTTCCAACATGTCTTCAGAAATACATCCAAATGGTCTGCCAGATCGAGAGCTCCCAGGGAGATAAAAGTGCTCTGTGAGCTGGGTTTGGCTGTCAGGTGTCTGGTCAGTTATTTCTGTTTAGCATACAGAAGGCTGCTGGAAGCCATGTCTCAAATTGGTCAGATGGATGCAGGTCAGAGTGCCTTGTGCTGAACCCTGAGCACTTGCAGCAAAGACTGCTTCCAGCAACTCTGCCTGTGGATGACAGCCAGGTGATGCTGGGCAGGAGATAATTTTATCTACCTGCCATGAAGGAAAATTGGGAAATTTTTAATCCTCAAGATGGTGATGATTTATATTAGGAGGTCACCTCCAGCATAACACTGCCAAGTGCTGTGCAAGCATAGTTCAAGCCAGAAAGCCACTGTGCTTTCATGTGCTCACCATTGAGCCCTGCTGTAAGGTGTGCTGTGTGCTGTGTGCAGCTGTGCTGCTGTTAGGCCCAATTATGCATCCTTACGTCTTAATCCCCCCATCTGGGGTTGCTAACCTACAGCAAAGTGGCCAGAGGTAGTATTTGCGATGTTAGCTCTGTATGTGCTGCTAGCTATAGAAACAGGCACATCTCCACTGCTTGACACCCATGGCCTTGAAATCCCATAGGTTTCCCATATGCACATTCCCCTGCGGATAAGATATGTGAAGCTCCATCTGTGATACTACTGTGCACTTTGACTCTTGAACCTCTGATTAGTTGACAAAATTTCCATGAGCACAGTGTGGGGCTTCTCTGTCATATAAGTGCAGGGTTCAGCAACTCAACTTGGCAAATCTGCTGTGTTATCTGATTCATCGAGTTATCTTCCAGATTGCTCAACCCACAGACATGTATATCTTAAACCATATTTTCACCTTCGTATTTTGGGGAGATGGTGGCATATGCTAGTGAAGAAGGGTAGGAAATACCAACCTGGTAAATTGTTGGGTGAATTGCCTTCCCTCCAGAATCTCTGGAATGCCACCCAAGTTTTCATGGCAACTCTGTTCAGGCGAGCCTCTGCAGTGAGACCGTCCTGTCAGGCCGGGGCCGCAAGGCACGGGGCTCTCAGCAGTAGCCACGGATGGCCCGGACCCGCCCGCGCAGCGAGGATAGCCGCCCCTTCCCGCTCCGCGGAGGCGCTCACCGCCGGGGAGGAGCGGACACCGACATGGTAAAAGGCCCGCCCGCCGTCCCGGCTCCGGCACTCGCACTGCCGCTCCCGCCGCCCGGAGACACCTGCCCCGGCGGGGAGCACCGCTCCGCTGTGCACCTGTCCTGGCTGGGTGCATCGCACCGCACTGTCCGTACCTGTCCCGGCTGGGTGCACCGCAACTGCTACGTACCTGCCCCGGCGGGAGCACCGCACCGCTCCGCACCTGCCCCGGCGGGAAGCACCGCACCGCTCCGCACCTGCCCCGGCGGGAAGCACCGCACCGCTCCGCACCTGCCCCGGCGGGAAGCACCGCACCGCTCCGCACCTGCCTCGGCGGCGAGCGCTGCTCCGCTCTCAGCTGTCCCCGTGGGGTCCCGTCCCCATCCCATTACTCCTGCGCCGGCCGCCCCGTGCAGGCCCTGAGGGGGCAGCAGTTGCCCCTCTGATTTTAGGGCAGCTCCTTGGCTCCAAGGGCCAATCCCTCCGATAGCATGCGGGGCTTCACCGTCTGGGACTACGTGATCTTTGCGGCCATGCTGCTGGTCTCGGCTGTCATCGGGGTCTACTACGCATTCGTGGGAGGGGGGCAGAAGACATCTAAGGACTTCCTCATGGGAGGCCGCAGTATGAGCGCCCTCCCTGTTGCACTTTCCCTCACAGCCAGCTTCATGTCAGCTGTCACCGTGCTGGGCACCCCTGCCGAGATCTACCGCTACGGTGCCATCTTCTGCATCTTTGCCATCACCTACGCACTGGTGGTGCTGTGCAGTGCGGAGATCTTCCTGCCTGTCTTCTACAAGCTGGGTATTACCAGCACCTACGAGGTAAGGTGGAGTTGAAGAAGCCTTTCCACAGCTTTCAGGGAGCCGGGGGGCTTCTCATGACTGCTTTCTAGATGTGTCTGCAGTCTCTTCCCCAAATCACCCTGTACGCTGTGCTGCCCCTTATCTCCACGCTCCCAAGAGCAGGTTGCAACCTGCTGTGTCCCCAGGTCTTCCCACACTGCCTCCATAGAGGAGATGCTCAACCCTGCTGTCTTGGCTCAGGACCTGTGCACCATGCCAAGTTTGTTTCCTCACTCCAGATACTCAGCTCAGCAGATGGATTAATCCTCGTGCAACTTGGATGATAACATGTGGTTAATGATGTGTAATTAATATACCAAGAGCAGAATGCAAAATCATCTGACATAGGAACCAGAGTTCTCACATCACACTCCCTCAGATAGGTTTCTAAACTAAGGTGCAGCCTCAAAAGTTTCCCTCTGACAGAGTATATGTTTTTGCTGTTCCTAAAACTTTTGAGGAGACATTTTCCACCTGAGGGTGTTCACACTGGTGAATGTCTTCTCTATCATGCCTATAAAGGGAGGTCAGCAAGTGCTCTGTGTGAGAGTTTTCTTACTTCCTATCAAAATATGACTGAGCTGGTCTTCAACTTAGCATGTAAGTTAAAGCTATAGCTCCAGTGCAGAGACATCTGGGGTGGTGGGATAATCACAGGCCAAGACTGACTGTTTTGGGGTGAGGAAGCATTTGGTCAGGACTTTCTTCTGATTTAGAAGGTCTGTGCAGCCTGTTTATCTTCCTGCACGGAGCTAGTTCCTAGCTGCAGATTTGGAGAAAATTTGCTCTTTTCACAGAGAATACCGGGAAGGGGACATCAGTGCAGGTGAAAGTCCCTGGCTAGCTACTTTGGTCTTTAGCATTTTATTGCACTGAACAGGGGCATTGCAGCATTGGAAGCTGAAAACAAGGTTTCTGTTGGTAGATTTAGATAAGAATTCACCAACAGAAATCTCTGGTGGCTTCCAGTGTGTTTTAAACTACTGATCTTTGGACTGTCAGTTAAAATAGGACTTTTTCAAATAGACTTCTAATTATGACTTGAAACTCAGTGATAATCTTGGGGTCAAATCAGAGTAATACACCTATAAAAGATGTATCTAATTGTGGACAGAGTTCAGAGATTAAACAACTTTTTGTGTCTGTCCAGGGGTTCAGCACTCCTTGTGTTTACATGGAAGTGCTCACAGACCATGTTTTAAATGCTTAATTCATGACTGAGCACTTTGAGATACTGTGTCGATTGAACAGATTGTCAGGAAAAGGAGATCCCCTTGGTACAATCACACAGCCTAGAGGGTTGTTAGGACAGATGATGGGAAGAAATCTGCCCACTAGCATGACAAACTCATTTAGAGGTTGTGCTGTCTCAGGCTAGATACAAAAGTGAGGGAGGGTTCCTGTTGCGCAGAAGGCTAGATTTCCACTTACCAGTAGAATATGGTGAGCTGCTTTGGGCAGTGCAGAAGGTGAGTTTACCATGAGAGGAAACTGCTGACCATTGAAAACTTTCTGCCCTCTCTCACAGCAGTTCAGATGGATGCACAGAATACCAGAGTTTCCAAATCAATTAAGGCTTAGGAATAGCCGTCATGTTTTCTTTTTCTCTCTGATTTCGCAATGCATGTGGGTTCTGTTGATTGCTGGTACATCATTGTGAAATTTTAGGTTACGCTGTGTGAAGTCAAGAGTTGGACTCAATGATCCCCACAGGTCTCTTCCAGTCAGGATATTCAATGATTCTGTGATAATTACATGCAGGTCTTTTGCCAGGTCACAGGTCAAGGTCCTTGTCTACCAAGTGCCTTGAGGCAGCTGTGTAGCACCAGTTTCCATTTTGCAGACTCCAGCATATACTGACTAGCTTATGTCTACTTCACTTGCTCATGTGTTATTGCCCAGTGGTGAGGTCTGTTAAGAAATAGCAAATCAAGTTGAAAGAGATACCAATGCAGGTGACTGTAGGAGTTTTGGCCATTCATGAAAATGTAAAAACAACACTATGCCCTTTCTGGATTGCTCATTGCTTCACTCTAGTCCTACCAATAGTGGCAAGTTCTGACATAAACATGGTTTTTCTTGTCTTTTGCAGTATTTAGAGCTTCGATTTAATAAATACCTGCGCCTCTGTGGAACGGTCCTCTTCATTATACAAACGGCAAGTAAATCTCAAACTGTCTGTGGTCATTGTAGCCACCAGGATTCTTCAGCTGAGTGTAACTGGCTATTTTCTCTGTGTGGTTGTTGAGGTTACCACAGTGCATGGATGGCTGGGAGTGAGAGAAACAAAACTCTTTCTGCTCCAGAGCAATGAGGTAGGGAGCAGATGCTGGGCTACCTGCCCATTGGGTCTCTGTGTGCATTGCTGAGCACCCAGAGCGTCACTTGGCATCAGTGCTGTGCCAAGAGATGAGCAACCCTTCACTGCAGGGTAGCAGGGTGGACAGCAGCCTTTTGCCTGCCTGCTGGAGAAACCCACAGTGGGTTCAAAATGTAAACATGCCCAGTTACCTACAGGGGCAGTTTTCATCCTCTGGTGCATGGATTCTGGGAGTCTGAGTAATTCTCAGGAGTCTGTGAAAGGTAAGAAAATAATCTGTCAGGAGCAGCCATTTACTGCACAAGGGTTTGTACCACCACAATTGGAAAAAAACCTGTTTCTTCAGACTGAGAAGTAGCAAATTACTGCCTTGGGGAATGCTAAACTAAAGTAGTTCCTGAAATTATTGTTAGTGCAGTTTGCTGTATCTAACCCATTCAGGAAGTCGGTGTGAAACCACAGCTTGTAAATGTGCAGTGAGCATGTGCCAAATGCAGCAAACCCAGAAATGTCTTCTTTTCACAGTTTTGAAGTGGACTTTTTGAAGAATTCAATGCAAGAATGAATATACAATCAGAAAGCTTTTCAAGTAACATGCTTGCTTTTTGCCCATTTGTGTATTTTTAAGACACACAAGGGGTTACAGGGCAATCCAACTTGCACCAATAAGATGGTGGTTGGTGCAGGGCTAATTACTTATTTGAACAGTGCTGCTTAGCTGGCATTTATAGATACATAAGCCCACAGGAAAAGTGAAGCGCTATCGTGTGTGAATCCTGACACTGTTTCACCTGCAATATGAAGATATCACAGTTGTGTAAATTGGAACAACCAAGCATAATCTTTCCTTGCAAAGATCAGAAAAATAATTCTATACAACTAAAATATATGCTCAAGGAAATTAACTAAAGATCTATTAAATGTCTTTCTGTGCCAAGCACTAACAACTTCACCTGAATAATGAATAGAGAGGAAAGAACCTCCCCAAGATGTTAATGGTGTAATTTTAACTTTTCTGTGAATATTGTCATGTATTTAAAAGAAGAAATAAGAAGGATACATAGCAATACAACCTGAAAAACTACTGAAGTGGAAAGATTGTATTATCAGTCCAGTTTCTGATAGTCCAAAGCTTCTGACACTTATTTCCTGTATAAGAGAAAGCCACTTTCTCATGCCAAATCCATGAATTAGCAGGCTTGGAGAGATAAGTGTTTGTCTGACAGACTATTAGATGGATAAGGAATTGGCTAGATGGTTGCATCCAAAGAGTTGCAGTCAACAACCAAATGTCCTAATGGAAACCAGTAATTACTGGTGTTTTTCAAGGGTCTGTACTGGGACCAGTACTATTTAATACCTGAATTAATGATATATACAGTGTGCTTGAGTTTGAGTGCTTGAGTGCTCAGCAAGTTTGTGGATGAAATTAAGCTTAGTGATGCATCTGATTCACCAGAGAGAAGGGGTGTCATCCAGAGGTACTTTTACAGATTTGAGAAGTGGTCCCACATGAACCTCATGAAGTTCAACAAGGCCAAGTGTATGGTCCTTCATCTGGGCCAGGGCAATCCCCAATATCAGTACAGACTGGGGGATGATCTGGTTGAGAGCAGCCCTGCAGAGAAGGACCAGGTTGCCCAGAAAAGCTGTGATGCCCTATCCTTGGACGTGTTCTAAGTCAGATTGGACAGGGCTTTGAGCAACCTGCTGTAGTGGAAGGTGTCCCTGCCTGCAGTAGGAGGGTTGGACTAGATGATCTTTAAAGGAACCTTCACACCCAAACCATTCTGTGATTCATCAGCACACACTGATAGTCACTGTATGGATAGAAAGTCAAACATTGACTGGGCTTGAAAAGAGTCAGTAGTTGGCTGTGATGTGATGCAGCTAGTTCTGAAGAGATATTTGCCAGGGACTCCTCAGGACTGGCAGCTTTCTTGGCATACAAGCTATACATGAAAACCTAGAGCTGGCTCCTGGCACTGAAACAAACATGAGTGTGTACGCAGGCAGGGAATAGTATACAGGTAGGAATAACTATTTGTCCAATGGCCTCACCATACTTTCTGGGATGTGCTTGTAGCAGGCGTGCAGCAAGGGGCCAGGGCAATCTAGCCATGCTGAGTGAAGCAGACCCTCCACACTAATTTCCTCCCACAGTTGGATTACTGCTCATTCCAGTTACTTCTGGACTCTCTGCCCAGAGTAGCCTCTGGCCATGTGGCAGGGCTTTGCCATGGGGACTGGATTTGACCTGCTCAAAAGCTACAGTGAGTAATCAGTAGTTAGCCATTCTACCCTGTTTTGCCACCTCTGCCTAGGGCAGACTTCACACTTGTGGGAAGGGAAAAGGCTTGCTGAATGCTGGATACATCACATCTAATTCTGCTGCTTTTCTATACCCAAGTCCCGCCCCTGTAAATCAGGGAGTCTGAAGAATTGAGCAGTGAAAAGATGATGTAAGTCTCCTTAGGACCTGGCTGTGACCCTTTGAATCAGTCACTGACCTTCACAGAAGTCATCTGCATATTGCAAGCTGTATTCCCCTGTACTGTGCCACAGCTGAACTTGTTCTAGTAGTAAAATGAAGTAATAACAGCAGTAAAAAAATCAAACAGGATTAAAAAATATACAAAAAGAAATTACAGAGGATATCAGTGTATAAATCGCACTGTGCCCAAAAAAAGTGGATGGAGTAGCTCCTTGATTTGCCTATATCTTTACAGTACTGGGTGAAAATACAAATCTGATAAGTATCACAGTATCACAATATGCTAGAGATTGGAAGGGACCTCAAAAGATCATCTAGTCCAATCCCCCTGCCGGAGCAGGAACACCTAGATAAGGTTACACAGGAATGTGTTCAGGCGGGTTTTGAATGTCTCCAGGGAAGGAGACTCCACAACCTCCCTGGGCAGCCTGTTCCAGTGTTCTGTCACCCTCACTGAGAAGTTTTTTCTCAAGTTTAAGTGGAACCTCTTGTGTTCAAGTTTGTACCCATTACCCCTTGTCCTATCATTGTTTGCCACTGAGTAGAGCCTGGCTCCATCCTCGTGATACTCCCCCTTTATATATTTATATACACTAATAAGGTCACCCCTCAGTCTCCTCCAAACTATAGAGACCCAGCTCCCTCAGTCTTTCCTCATAAGGGAGATGCTCCACTCCCTTAATCATCTTAGTTGCCCTGCGCTGGACTCTCTCCAGCAGCTCCCTGTCCTTCTTGAACTGAGGGGCCCAGAACTGGACACAATATTCCAGATGGGGTCTCACCAGGGCAGAGTAGAGGGGAAGGAGGACCTCTCTCGACCTACTAACCACCGCCCTTCTAATACACTCCAGGATGCCATTGGCCTTCTTGGCCACAAGGGCACAGTGCTGGCTCACGGTCATCCTGTCGTCCGCTAGGACCCCCAGGTCCCTCTCCCCTACACTGCTCTCTAACAGGTCGTTCCCCAACCTATACTGGAACCTGGGGTTGTTCCTGCCCAGATGCAGGACTCTACACTTTCCCTTGTTATATTTCATCCAGTTATTCCCTGCCCAACTCTCCAACCTGTCCAGGTCTCGCTGGATGGCAGCACAGCCTTCTGGCATGTCAGCCACTCCTCCCAGCTTAGTGTCATCAGCAAACTTGCTGATAGTACACTCAATTCCCTCATCTAAATCGTTGATGAATATATTAAATAATACTGGTCCCACTACTGACCCTTGAGGCACTCCACTAGACCTCCAGCTAGACTCCACCCCATAGACTACAACTCTCTGGCTTCTCTCCTTCAGCCACAGTCCACCTCACTACCTGATCATCCAGACCACACTTCCTCAATTTAGCTGTGAGGATGCTGTGGGAGACTGTGTCAAATGCTTTGCTGAAGTCAAGGTAGACCACATCCACTGCTCTGCCATCATCCATCCACCCTGTTATTTCCTCATAAAAGGCTAAGAGATTGGTCAAACACGATTTCCCCTTGGTGAAGCCATGTTGACTGCCCCTGATAACCCTCTTATCCTGGATATGCCTTAAGGTGGCACCAAGGATAAGGTGTTCCATCACTTTCCCAGGGATGGAGGTGAGGCTGACCGGTCTATAGTTACCCGGGTCCTCCTTCTTGCCCTTTTTGAAGACTGGAGTGACATTTGCTTTCCTCCAGTCCTCAGGCACCTCTCCCGTTTCCCAAGACTTGGTAAAGATGATGGAGAGCGGTCTAGCAATGATTTCCGCCAGTTCCCTCAGCACCCGCGGGTTCATCCCATCTGGACCCATGGATTTATGGATGTCCAGATTGCTCAACTGGTCTCTAACCCATTCCTCAACGACTAAGGCAAACCGCTCCGTTGACCTGACTTCATCTGAGGTCTCAGGGGTACAGGGCTCTTCAGGACTGCCTCCGGCAGAGTAGACAGAGACAAAGAAGGCATTCAGTAACTCTGCCATCTCTGTATCTTCTGTCACCAGGGCACCCATCCCGTTCATCAGTGGGCCTACATTGCCTCTGGTGTTAGTTTTATCTGCCATGTATTTGAAAAAGCTCTTTCTGCTGTCCTTTACCCCTCTCACCAGATTTAATTCTAAGGAGGCCTTAGTCCTCCTAGCTGCCTTCCTACATCCTCTAGCAGCAGGCTTATATTCCTCCCAAGTGGCCAGCCCCTCCTTCCACGACCTGTAAACTCTCCTCTTCCACTTGAGCATCCAGGTCTCCTGGCCCTCTTCCTTGACTTCCTACGTGTCGGGATGCTCTGATCTTGAGCTCGGAAAAAGCAATCCAACCAACTATCTTGGGCCCCTTTACCTTCAAGCAGCCTTGCCCATGGGATTTCCCCTAGCAATTGCTTGAAAAGGCCAAAGTTTGCCCTGCTAAAGTCCAGGGTTGCAATTCTACTTGCTATTCTACTGGTAAAGTAGAACAAGTATGCATGGCTTCATGTTATGATGACTAAATGGTGCTGTATTCTTTGTTTTTACTCACATGCATTATAGTTGCATACTGAGAGGCATATGGATTCCAAGACTGAAAAAATAAATTGTAATAGATTCTTTGGCAAGCAGTGTGTAAACCCCATCAACTTCCTTTTGCTCTTGTTTCTGCAGTAAGAGAAGTTAATTATAAAAGCTGGGAGAAGCTGAAGAGGGATTTGGTATTTAAGAGTCCCTGGTATTTATTTTAAGCGCACAAGGCTGTGAGACTGCAGTGCTGGTTCGTCGCAGGTATTCAACTTCTAACAATTGGAATTATTTCTCAACAGTTATGAGTTTAGGAAGATTAGACTGCATAAATGCTTGAAAAGAAATCATCCCAGAAAGTGATCACCTTTCAATGAATTTACATTTATTTTGATCTTTCATCTTTTTTCCCCTTTCAGACTTTATACACTGGTATTGTCATTTATGCTCCAGCGTTAGCACTGAATCAAGGTAAGATGAGCATACTGCAACAGTTCTACTGTTATATTTTTTTCTGCATAGAGTACTGGTATGCTTTTTTTTGGTAACACACACCTAAAAATATTGCTCAAGGCTTAGCTATGAAATCTCTTAAGATTTCTGTTGATCCTGAAGGGAGCTCAGATAGAAGGCCTCTCATTTGTAATCCTAGTCCCTTAATCCCTACCTGTAAAGAATTACAGAAGAGGCTCGAAGGGAAACCCTGCTCTCAATTACTCTACCTCTCACGCAATATTCTTAGGTAATGGCAACATTCTGACAAGTTAAGAAGTCTTACGTAAATTTTGAAGGCAATGCAGAGACTAAACACACATTTAGTTCCCTTGGTTAAGTGCTCTACTTCAAGAGGAGAGCGAGGCAACAGTTTTGTAAATATGGCTTTAGGCTGTTTAATTCAGCCTTTTTTTTTTTTTCCCAGGAAAACAAAATTAACAGCAAAAAATCTTCAGTTTAAGATGTTTGTTGTGATATTTACAAAATGAAATGTTTGCATTTTATACTTCAAAATGACTCTGTTTGAAAATGAGCCGCATTTATTTTTAGAGGCAGGATAAAAGCTTTTATGTAAAGACAAATGAAACTTTTAATCTGACAGAATTATTTTGTCCACTTGGCAAGAAAAGGCAATAACAAAATGCAAATAGAAATGAATCATTTTGGCTAGAATGAAAATCGTAATTGTTCTGTTCATCGGTTTTGTTGCTTGGTTTGGATTTTTTTGTTTGTTCATTGAACAAAAAGGAAGAAAAAAGATGCTGTCTGCATTGGTCTCCTCTGTGTGTGAGTCCTACAGGTTTTATGTCCTTAATGTTTATATTTGCCCTGCAAATACACACTGCACCAAGCTATGACCGAGCTGGCTCCCAACTAGAAGCAATGTTTTTCATTAGTTCTGTTGTAGTGTTTCTCAATACTCTGAGCTATCTGTTGGGGAGCCCCCAAGCACCCTGCCTGGCAGCATGTGAGCATGGCAAGCTGGGGCAGTGATGGCCTGCATGCCAGCCACAGCAGTGTTGTCTGGTGTAGACATACTATCATATTTCCCAAAAAGAAAGAAGAATAAAAGAAAGGCTTTTAGTCTGAAACACTTATTCCAGACCATGCTTGAACCACCTTCCCTCCATGGAGTATCCCCATGCTTTTTGCTTGCTTAAATCTCTGCCTAAGGACTCTATAGGACACCAAGGTGCTTCAAGGAAGGACACGTATTTTAAAATCTTCCTGTGTTGGGGCCTACAAATATGTTGGATGTGGTTTTTAGCGGCAGACAAATTAATTGTCACATTACAAATAGTTTCCTAGATCCTGAAATATATTTACCGGAACAGTTTCCAATGTCTGTAACAACTGTTTCATTTTTAGAACTTGTTAGTGCAAATCCCCAGGTGTAGACACAATAGCTCACTGCCCTGGACTTCAAAAGAGCAGATTTTGGCCTCTTCAGGAGCCTGCTTAGTAAGGTTCCATGGGATATAGACCTAGAGGGCAGGGGGCCCCAAGACTCTTGGTTGATATTCAAGGATCACCTGCTACAAGCTCAGGAGTGTTGCATCCCATCATATTTGAGAAATCATGGCAGTCAGGTGAAGTTCACGATGACTGGGAAAATGGAAATATAACCCCCATTTTCATGAAGGGGAAAACGGATGACCCGGGGAATTACAGAGCAGTCAGTCTCACCTGTGTGCCTGGCAAAATCTTGGAGCAGATTCTCCTGGAAGGCGTGCTAAGGCACATGAAAAACAACAAGGTGCTTGGTGACAGCCAGCATGGCTTCACTAAGGGGAAATCCTGCCTGACCAATTTGGTGGCCTTCTATGATGGAGCTGCAGAACTGATGTACAGGGGTAGAGCAGTTGATGTCACCTATCTGGACTTGTGCAAAGCGTTTGACACTGTCCCACACGACATCCTTGTCTCTAAATTGGAGAGACATCAATTTGATGGATCCCAGGCGCAGCTACAGGTTGGGCAGAGAAGAGATTCAGAGCAGCCCTGCGGAGAAGGACTTGGGGGTGCTGGTCAGTTGGAAAATGAACATGAGCAGGCAGTGTGTGCTTGCAGCCCAGAAAGCCAACTCTATCCTGGGCTGCATCAAAAGGAGCGTGACCAGCAGGTCGAAGGAAGTGATCCTGCCCCTCCACTCCTCTCTTGGGAGACCTCACTTGGAGTATTGTGTGCAGTTCTGGTGTCCTCAACATAGAAAGGACATGGAACTGTTGGAAGAAGTCCAGAGGAGGGCCATGAGGATGATCAGGGGACTGGAGCACCTCCCATATGAAGACAGGCTGAGGAAGTTGGGGCTGTTCAGCCTGGAGAAGAGAAGGCTGTGTGGAGACCTCATAGCAGCCTTCCAGTATCTGAAGGGGATGCTGGGGAGGGACTCTTCATTAGGGACTGTACTGACAGGACAAGGGGTAACTGGTTAAAACTTAGACAGGGGAAGTTTAGATTGGATATAAGGAGGAAGTTCTTTACTGTTAGGGTAGTGAGGCACTGGAATGGGTTGCCCAGAGCGGTTGTGAATGCTCCATCCATGGCAGTGTTCAAGACCAGGTTGGACGAGGCCTTGGGTGATATGGTTTAATGTGAGGTGTCCCTGCCTGTGGCAGGGGGGTTGGAACTAGATTGATCTTAAGGTCCTTTCCAACCCTAACTATTCTATGATTCTATGATTCTTTTCATTGCCATTTTTACCTCCTACTTTGCCATTTAACTTATTTCTATTTTTTTCCAGCAACCAGATTGGGGGTCAAAAATTGATCTGCAATTTTTTGTCCCCAGTGCTTCATTCACACTGGTGCCATTTTCCTCTTTTTTAGTCACTGGCTTCGACTTGTGGGGTGCAGTGGTGGCAACCGGTGTGGTCTGCACTTTCTATTGCACACTGGTACGTGGGCATTTTGGCTGAGAAAAATCTCTGTTCCTTTCACTATTCACATAAAATATGGAATTTATTTAAAAGTAGCCCAAAGTGAGGTTACCCGTGGGAGTACATTTCACAGTGTAGATGTAGCCACAGGGCCATATTCACCCAGGGAGTGGGTGGGCAAAAGTAGCCAGTATATAACTCAACCTTTTTCCGTTTGGATACATTCAAACTTCTGTTGCAGAAAACAGCAGAAAATTAGATTTCCCTTCCTGCAAATCCTCCTGTTTTTTTTTTTTTTTCTAGTATAGAAGGGGTTAGCTGTATAATTTGTCAAGCACCTGCTTACTGTAACTGTAGTAATCCTGACACTGAATAGAGCCACTGAAAATATCAAGTGCCACATGAACAGATTGGTCTTTAGATTAGTGTTAATTGACCAACTGTCTAGAAATCATTAAATGGAACCTCACTGTCAGATTTATTTGTATATGATGGATTAAATAATGTTTATTTTTATTCACTTGAATGGCATGCCTTCTGCAGTTAGTGGTACTGTACATATGTAAGGTGAGCACTGTCTGCCAATTTATCTTTTGATAAAAACTTCCAAATCAGGTTATGTGATAAAGGAAATACTAGATTAAATTATGTGTATGGCCAAAGTAAATTCTAGTGCACTTCAAAAAAGGGCCAGGATAGGTTCCTGATTGCAATAGGCTGTAATTCCTAAACACTCCAGTATAGAATTATTTCCATTAAAGAAGATTAAATGAATCTATTATGCATAATACAAATTGTAATGTTTCTCTTAGTTGAATATGAGTGCAAAGGAAGAGTGCTGCTGCCGTGTTGTACCTGACACGTGCTGTTCCTCATGCAGGGCGGTCTGAAGGCAGTGGTGTGGACAGATGTTTTCCAGGTTGGAGTCATGGTAGCTGGATTTTCAGCTGTCATTATACGAGCTGTGGTGGTTCAGGAGGGAATTGGACGCATTGTAAACGACTCCTACTACGGAGGAAGATTAAACTTCTGGGAGTGAGTTTGTACTTGCCGATGATGTGCCTCTTTATTCCTACAAATAGACCCCGTGTGACTAAGTGTGAAATTAAATTGCTACTGAAGGAGGAGGAGGGAGGGGAGAAGTTGTGACCCAGTTTTTATACATTGTTAAACAAGCTCACCTAGTGTGAGGGATATTTTTTAGGTTTTACACCATGCAAAATCTTGTGAAGAGGACAACTCTTTTACTTTGCCAAGTAGGTGCTTTAAGGATACATTTTTGATTCCACTGAAAGTGAATGGTGAATAGAAGGCTATCATATCTATAGCTACAATTTGCGAACAGCTCATTTGTCCTTTTGTCTACCAGTTCGTGATATTAAGAAGTTTTTTCTTCAATTCTTCACCAAGTTCTTCAGTAAATAATTCACCTGTGGGTATTTTTTTTTCTCTTCATGAGTAGTAGTTTTTTTCAATCTGTTTGTTAGGTTGATTTGTAGTGGTTATACTGTATTGCTTTTTCCCCCAGTCAGAGAGGTCACAGGCAGAAAAAGAAAAGAAATAAAAGCATATAATAGGTGAAATAATATTACACTGTTCACCAAGATAAGCATTATTTATTGCAATATTAAAGTGTTATTTAAAAAAATAATGATTCGTAGCCATCTAAAGTCTGTAATTTACTTAGAGCCAAACCAGCAGAATGTTTTACAGAGGCTCTATCCACAGAGGCTGGGCATGCAAACACACCTTTATATTGGTGTTAGACTGATGTCCCTTTAGATAAGCAGGCATATTAGACTTTTTACTGGAGCATCATTTCACCACAACAGTCACAGCTTTACTTAAGACTGTAGTTTATAGGTAATAAATTAGTTAAACTTCACCTTTGCACAGATTTCACTGGATCAGGATTTCAGCTCTGAGTTTTAAAATTTGCTTTTCATGATTTCACATAGAGTTGGAGTATCTGAATGTTCAAAATCTCTACAAATTAAGAGAGTTGGTATCAGAACAAGTACAGGGATTTTTTTTTTTTCCTAGGCATTAATGTCTTCTCATAATGTGAACATTTTCATATTCTGAATGTTTTCTTTTTCCCTCTCACTGTAGCTTTGATCCCAATCCTTTGCAAAGGCACACCTTCTGGACAATTATAGTAGGTGGGACTTTCACATGGACTGGCATATATGGAGTCAACCAGTCTCAAGTACAGAGATACATTGCGTGCAAAAGCAGGTTCCATGCAAAATTGTAAGTCTGCCTACAGTAACTCTTAATGTCTGAATTTGTTAAGGAGATTTTTTTTTTAAGGAATGTTTTTTGTCTATATAAAGGGTAAGAAGGGTGTAAAGGGTAAGAATGTTTGCTTTCTGTTTTTCCTTTTGATTTGTCTTCAGGTAGAAGACAAATCGGCAAAATAAATACTGATATTTAAATTACATATAATTGCTGTAACACTTGAGCTTTGTGCCAGAATGTTTCACTGTGGTAGTATTCCTGCATATTAATAGCTGCATTAAATTTATATGCAACCTAAAGATCAAATAGTATAATACATGTGCTGAAGCCACGTCAAGGCAGCATCTTGAATTGCTACTCTACTAAACCTGAGTCATTATTTGAGAATTTTGTGTAAGTAAAGACTAAAAGATTTTTCCATACCAATAAGTGTAGGCATGAGAAAATGAAGAAATGTTTGAGTCAGCTATAAAGTTGCTGAGGAGCCATGTATTTTGTTTTCATAATAATCATGACCTTTTATTTTTTTGTTAGGAATTCACTATGGAAAAAGCAGAGGGCTTTTACTTTAAACAATTATCATCAGTTTTTACTCTAGAGTGGAGTATTATTTACTAAGTCTGTAATCTTACCTTTTCTTTAGTATCATTCCAGTAGTTCACAACTCAGGATTTAAGAATTATTAGTGAGCTCATAAAGTCCATTTATAGGAGAACTATATAAATTCACATCATGAGTATAGTCTCTATGAGTTCTGTAATAAATACAGTGACATACAAAGAAGGACTTTATGAAGGCTTTCACTTCCTAAAGTTAGCATAATACCTACAAAATCATGCTGTTTAGAACTGAAATATTTTGGTTATGTTAATAAAGAAAGTCTACTTTTCAACCACTTGGGCTTCAGATGAGAATGAGCTGATACTCATCACCAGCCACATCTCCAGCACACCACATGGCTTCTCCGCAATCTCTGGCATGTGGCTGGATTCCATGTTCCTGGCAATGCAGAGGCAGGAGGTGCATCCCACATCTGTAATGCTGCATACGTTGTGCCAGATTTGTGTGCCAGTGCAACTGCTCTTCCTGAGCCCCTGCTCCCCTTAGGGCTGTGCTCCTTTCCTACACTCTCCCTACCCCCTTTTGTAAGGAGGGACACCTCCAGGCTGTCACAGAAACAGACTGTGGCCAAGGGGAATCTGGCACCATGGCAGCTTTTGGGCAGATTTTCTGAGCTGTTGTAGCAGCTTTGACCAGGGCTGAAGGCTCTCCGGCTTTGGAATGGTTTGGATGCATTTATAGCTCATACAATTTTAGTGGTGGCATAGCCTTATCAGTAGGGTCCTTTCCTGCTAGTGTGGGTGGTTGGACTTCACGGCATCTTGCACATGCAGGTTATTTCCCCTGCATGGGGAAATCATTTTGTATAATGGTTGCAGCTTGTCACAATTATAAACACTGCTATTCTGTGGTAACTATTCAGTTCATTTGCAAATATAATTAGATACATCTGCAAGTCATTCATGGCTTGCACCTCTTATTGCCATTTAACTGGTATATAGAGGTGTAAAATATCATCAGGTCAAAGTAATAGTGTTTTGTACCCCCATGGCATTTACTGTAAGGTTTTAGAAGAGACAGCGCAATGATAAATCTGAGCTGAGAAAACAATTCTTTCATAGATTCCAACTTGTAGGTTTTGGGAATGCATTTAACAGTGGCACAAGAATAGGAATTTTCTTAGGCTTTGGGAAAGCATTCCACACCATTCAAGAAACACACCAGGAGGAAAGAGCACACACTGTCATCCTCAAACAGGAGAGCTATACTTTCAGAAAAATACTGGCTGCTAACACTTTCAAGGTCAATCTCTGGCATGTTTCAGTGCTAAAATCTTATAGCCAGCCTGAAACAAACAACTGAAAATAAGCCTTGAGCAGTCACAGTGCCTACTTCATCCAAACTCCACCCCATATTACACACCCAGGATTAATGGGAACACCTCCATCCAATAGTGCTACAAGTATTATATTCCAGTGTTTAGTCATAGGGTGTAGCATGAGCTGGGATTTAAATCAGTGGAAAAAAACAACTTTCTTTTCACTGTCAAACACTGATCCAGTTTAAAACCAAGAATTGCCAGATTCAGACAATTTCTTTTGCTTCTGTGTGTTTCTCTTGACTTTCTAGTCTTTCTTTAATAAAGGATCTAGGCTAATACTGCTATTACATCTGTTCAAAAGAGTTGAATTGATTTAACTCATTGGTTAAATTTTGTACTAAATCAGATTCTGAGTGCCTTATAGGTAGATTATGCTAATGCAGAAACAGCTTCAGCTAAATGGATGCAAGATGTCCAACCAATATGTGAGCATCTGCAAGAAGAGGACTACTTCATTTTCACTAAATTAGTCTAGAGAGAAATACAAAGTGCTGCTGGTTCTGTGTTTAGACCACCACTATAAAGTATAAATACAGAGTTTCCCCTACTATGTGTAAATCAGCTTTTCTTTATATGGGTCATTTTCAAGAGCTTACATTGTGCTTGTGAATAATTGTTCTGTAGTATAAAACTGATAGTTCAATTAGCTAGTCTACGTTGTGTCCTTCTGAAAACATCTCTTTGAGTTCCTAACAAGATCTATAAAGTTAAGTTTACTTCTTTATTCATCCTGCTCTACAAGTTCAAGGGCTGCTACCCCATATGTCCCTTACCTTCTTGTCAACTTAAGGCCTCAAAAGGCCTCCTGAAGCATTTAAAGCATGGATATATTTGCTCAGAAATCAAAGGTCCTCCCAGTGGAGGTCTTAGCAGTTGGCACAGGTCCAGAGTATGTGATCTGTCAGGCAGTTAAATCACTATCTGTGGAAGGTACACAGATAACCAGGAGGCAACTGCTGGAAAGGAACGTTGTTTTTCAAGGCCAAGCTCCCCATGGGTGTGTTTGCTTGACCTGACCACCCCAGGTGAGAAGAACTTTGTGACTCAGGAGTCATCAAAAGCTGAGAAACATTTGAAAAGATCAGGAAGTTAGATGGAAGGGAAAAGTCCTCACAGGGTGAGGAGAACGATTTGGTTTTCACTTGCCAGTAGAGGCTGCCTGTTCTGTGTGGCAAGGGTAGCATTAATGACTGATGAAAACCCTTTTCTGCTCTCAGCATTAAGTTGAAGCTCGCATCAGGAGGTGGGAAGGCAATGGGGTTACTGGACCTGCTTTCTGAAGTGGCAGCTGTAGGTGCTCCAGACCACATGTCAGGTCCCAGTGCCTTGTTGCAACCTCCCACAGAGACTGGCTCAGAAAGAAAGGAGGGATTAGTTTAACAAGGGCAACTCCAACACTACGTGTGTGGCCCTGCAGCTCCAGGGGTAGAGGAGTGTTGGTGCTGATTAAAAGGTACTTGCACTTTGATCTGGGGCACCCCACCTTACAAATCTATCTGGGTTTGTCTTTACCAAGGTGTGAGACAAGGGCAGGAGAGTGTCTTATTGCCAGTTGCCTGCAACATAAACCTCACCCACATGATGAAACGTGGGGATTTCCATATGGCTCTCACCATCTCCAGAGCAGGCTTTGCCAGGGGACAGGCACTTAGACTGTACCACCAACATCAGAAGTGTAATTTGTATATTTAAAAGTGTGATCTCACACTGGGTGAGATGCTGGGAGATGTGTGGTGACTCCCTTTCTGGTGGGCAGCCACCATGACCAGGAAGTCGCCTCTGTGCTGGTGTGGGCACTTGCTTACTTGGCCCCAGCAGGTTCTTGCAGGACATCGAGCTCTAATATTGTGTTTCCATGTGTGATGGTGCAGGTCCCTCTATATCAACCTGGTAGGCCTCTGGGCGATACTGGCCTGCGCAGTGCTGTGTGGCCTGGCCCTCTACTCCATCTACAAGGACTGCGATCCATGGACATCAAAGCAGGTGTCAGCAGTTGACCAGGTAGGGCCCCATGTTTCAGGGGAAGGTGGTGAGGGGCATCCTTCCTCTGCAGCCATAATAACCAGATGGGGGTGTGTTCAAGAATCTCAGGGGTGGGAATAATGGCATGCCTGAGTCCTGTATTAGTCAAGACTGTAACACTAAGGGGCTAAACTGATACCATGGCTGGAGGGAATATCCTGGAGAAAGCAGCAGACCTGTCCTCAGCACTGCTCAGTTTCCTCAGCTATCCCAGAGCTCAGGCCTCTCAGTGCCAGGTAAGGAGGGTTGTGGGGAAAGCAGCGAGGTGGAGAGTGCTCATTTCACCCACCTCTGCAGGTATTTGGGATTTTCACCCCAAATGGTGAAATTTTGGGTGAAATCCAAATCCACTTACATTTTCACACACAAAAAAAACCCACCTCAGAGAGAAGTGAGGGGAAGAGGCTGCTGCCAGGGATGGCTGAAACACCAGTGCCTGTGTGAGTGACTGCGGGCCTTAGCATGCTGCTTTGTATCACCTCACCTAAACTGCTCCGTGCTAAGGGAGGTGAAAGCTTTTTCAGTTTCAGAACATAGTCATACCCAAAGCATGCACCTGAAAGAAGGTTACCAGGAGGTAGTTCTTTGCTGGTGATGGTGCATCCTTCTCTCCTGCGGCACAGAGCTGGGCAATCAAATCATGTAGTATCAAGCTGTGGAGAAACGACCTTGTAACTGATGGTGACCTCTCCCTGAACAGGCCCTGAGTAGCAGACTTACCTGAGGAATAAGAGCTCTGGGATCCTATAAACTGACCAGAGTCTGGGCCCAAGGAAATCGTACAAGTATATTTTTGGTATTTTTATGCCCAGGAATAATCACAGGCTCTGGATAACACCCCCTGAACAACACTGTAAAGCCAGAAGAGCACAATCCTGAAGCAGGACCACCTGGTCTTGAAGGGTAGAATAACACGAGATACGGAAAGCTGAGGTGGAAACCCAAAGGAAATTAAGTTGTTGCTGTCAGTTTAGTTCTTTTGGAGGAAACTGGAAGCAAGATACTAAAAAGACCAACTTGTCTGTGAAAAAAATGATTCACAGGAAGAAGATCTTAAGACTCCTGTCTTTCCAGCGCTCAGATCTTGCAAAGGTCAACAAGCGACACATGATTTCCAATAAGGAAATTGTTCTCACTTACCCTGAGGTTATGGAACTGTATCTAAAAACCTTTTGTGAAGTCAACAGAACACATAAACATCTGCTATGGTATCCAAGCCCAACAGAGTGGCGTACAATAGAGAATACCTGCTGCCTAGCGTTAGCTTCCTGTACCATCTTCACTGGAAACCGAGCCTGACAGCACAGTTATATGCTCACGTCTGCTAGGTGCTCTAAATAGACTGCTGTATCCTGAGTGGGTGTTTTAGGATGAGTTTTCTCTGTAGAAACCCAAAAAATATGTGAGATATGACATTAAAAATTAGAATAGCTGGGCAGGATGCCAGCGATAATGCTGTAACAAAACCAGTACAGTGACAAAAAGATAATAATATTTCTTGTTCTGAACTTTTCAGCTAATGCCATACCTAGTGCTGGATATTCTCCACAATTTTCCAGGAGTGCCAGGGCTTTTTGTGGCTAGTGCCTACAGTGGGACATTAAGGTAACTTAATAATTTGGAACCTGTTGTCCTGTTTTCTTTTCTTTTTTGTTAGAGCTGAAGTTGCATTTATACTAAAACTTTTGCATTTCATTTCTTTTTCTAACTAAGTTTTGTTCTTAAAAAAAAAAAGTAACTCTATGATCTTTCATGATGAAGCTTAAACATAACATAGTTTCCAACACTGGCACTCTGAGGTCCTAATACTCAAAGCAGTTTGGAGTTCCCTATTAGAAACATGAGGAAACAGCTAGCCATGCAGAATGTATGACACTAACAAATCCTCCTCTGTGTGTTTTTAAAGCCCCTCTGCTTTATTATAAATGAGTGGTTACACAAAATAGTCACAGCTGGGGGAATTTCCTATTGCTCACCTTTAATTTTGCAGTTTCAAACCAGCATAACATTAAAGCCATCTCCCTTTCCTCACACCTGATCTTTAGAGTGTTGTTTAAAAAATTGTTTCTGGACCTTCAATTGTCTTGTATGAACTCATGAAAATAACAATCACTGTTATATTTTTACTGAAGGAGAGAAATCAGTTTCCTTCTATCCAACAGTGGGGAGTGTTTTGTTCAGTTTTCCCAAGGACCATCTTTTAGGACCTCTCTCAAGGAAAGCTCTGAACAATAGAAAGCAGATAAAAATGAGGAAACTTAAGAATGTGACACCAGAATATTTTGTTCTGGGTACTTGTAACTACACAAACAGAGGGAACAGCCAGAATATTTGTTTTCATGTGCTGAAGAAAAGCCGGTGGCTTGACAGAGTAAGGTACACACACAAGCAAGATCACGTGAGTGGCTTTGTGCCTTCAGGGCACTGTTTTTTCTGACCCCACAGGGAGCCTGGTATAGTTCAGTTTGGACTAGTTGCTTAATTCTTAGATTACTCAGATTATCTGAATCTTCCTCTAAGGGTGCATTCAAAGTAATCAGTGACCTGCACGTAGGAATTTTACCCACCCAGATACCTACTGTGTAGATGATTTGTTAAGGTATCGCATATACCAGTAGTATTTACAGCTTAGCCACATGTAATAGGTATTTTCATGACCTCACCAGGTCCATCTTTTCATCAAGATTTGCTTTGTCTTCACTAGGAGTGATTATTTTAAACAATTTTTGTACGCTATTAGCTTCATCACCTGGAAGAATAAATTATCTCATCCAGTACAGCAGTTACATTAGTTTTCTGACACTGTTCTAGGCAGTGGCAGTTTCTCTCTGCCAGTAATAATACATGTTACCTAGGATTTCAGCTTCTAAGATAAAAATCTGTATAAATCTTGCCTTCTGTAGTACAGTGTCCTCCAGCATCAATGCTTTGGCTGCCGTGACTGTTGAAGACCTCATTAGGCCGTACTTCAGATCACTCTCTGAAAAGAAGCTGTCGTGGATTTCCATGGGGATGAGTATGTCTGGAAAATATCTTTCCACTTTTGATTTACAAAGTGAGGGCTTGATTCATATCTTGCTATCATCAGAGTAAGTCAAGAATAAGTGTATTCACACCAATATGACTATGCTGCTGCAATACTTTGGGGATATGAAATCAGCTGCATGGTTTTACACAGAGTTGGGGGACAAAGATGGGAAAGATGCACTGCATCTGAAGTCAATATTGATTTGCAATACTACAAACCCAAAATCTGTTCTTTTTCTTTCATCTGACAAAAATTAGAAGCATGGGAAAACATTTTGTAACAAACCCTTTGAACTGAGTGATACATGAGCATTGTGTCCCAATAACATTCCAGAGAACAAGAAACTTCACATCTTCTCTGATATACTCTCAGACTCTCAGTCTGTTTAGCTCCTCCATTTCATGTAGCTCAAACAAGAGGGTCAGAACTAGGCTGAGCAGGTGGTTTACATCTGTGAAGTGCGATAGCTGTCTCTCTAGTCGTACTGCCCTGTGAGCAGTGGCAGGTGTAGCCCAAGACAGTATTTGCAGTGTGTGGAAAAATCAGTGCCAACATGGTGTTGTGGCACACATACCAGCAAGCACAGCAGACTGATGGCATGTTGCAAGTGTGATATTTTCACCTGAGAGCAGTTTTGTAAGCAGTATCCCAAACAATGTTTACATCAAGGTTGTTCTTGGTCTTATCGTGAATTGCCTGATGTGCCAAATTAAACAGTGAGGTTAACCTATTGCTTGTGCAGTAAAACTCCAGAGGGGTGGAAGTGGAAAAAATAAATAAGCCAGTGTTATGGTTCTTGGGAGCAGGTGCTACATCCCGGTGACCTAGGATGTTCTTTGTCACAGTGCCAGCTCCCAGTAATCTGCCAGCATTTACTTTCTTGCTCCAAAGACTTTAGACTTAGAAGCAGAAATTATTCCCTCAAAATAAGGACTATGACACAGGAGATTAGCTGAGAAATATGAACAGTAAATGTGGCTTTGCCACTATGGCTAATCTGCATGGCTGCCATTTAGAAATCACTCTTTAGTAATATATAGGAAGAGAATTGTGTCAAGTTTGCATGAACTCAGTGTAAAAAGAAACTTGATCTTTTGTCCAATTCAGGCTCTCTTAATAAAAACACAGATGTTAGCAGGTTTTATTTTGGAGATGTCAGGGCCATGCTAGGTTAGATGGAAACATTTCCTTTAGTGATTTTCAAAATTTGGCAGATTTACGCATCATTCTGCCTTTTCCACACAGGCCTGTTTTATGGTGGAGTCTGCATTGCTATGGCTGCAGTGGCATCTCTCCTGGGAGCCTTGTTGCAGGTAGGTGTCAGCTTTTTTTCATGCCCATGTTGGCTCACTCAGAATGAATTATGTAAACAAATAATTGCTGGATACCATTATGAGGTTAGTTTTTATTCTCTGTTGGGCACTGACCTCAAACAGCCTGTGGCTCAGCCTCTGCTTTAAGCAGCCATGTAACTATACCAAATCCTGCCAGCTGAGTACACACCAGTTAAAATCATACTTCCCTTCTCAACATCCTCCCTTCTTGCCATGTTGGGGTTTTAACTTTCTTACACAGTACCTGATAGCAGACTCTCTTCCTTCCTCAGGCAGCACTCAGCATTTTTGGCATGGTTGGTGGCCCCCTTTTAGGACTGTTTGCCTTGGGAATCCTCTGCTCCTTTGCAAATGGAATTGTAAGTAGAAATTTAAAGCCCTGTTCCTCCAAAAATGTTGATAATTTGGGACATCTCCTTCTGCCTTCCCCCAGCTTCTGCTCCAAATAATTTTATGTTGGGTAGCAAGGGGGATGTCCTCATGTAAAGTGTCTAAATCATTTCCCCTTGTTCCCTTTCCTCCTTGTCCCAAGGACAAGGGTGTATGGGAAATTGAATTTCCATCCCATGAAGAGATTTTACCCGAGCAGAGGGGGGAAAATATTCTGAGTAAAAATGAAACTATGGCAAGGATTTGTGAAAACACAGTTTTAGAAGCAGGGAGCAATGTAAAATGTAGCTGAACAATCAGTAGACTTTGAGGATGCTAGCCTGCTTGAGCAAAAGGAGGTCAGGCTGCGAGAATGGAGCCCAAGAATTTGCCGACTGAGTTGGGGTTTTCTCAGCATCATGACATTATAATTTCCAAAGGAAAAATCTATTCCATCAAAAAATGGATTTTACAAACTTTGCGAACATGGTCCCTGCGTTAGTCTGACAGGATTGCTGTTTAGTAAGGTTCACTAATCATTAAGCTTTACCTTTCTGCAGTTGCAAATTTTATGTATATACTAAAAAAAAACCCCAAGAACCAAAAAAAAACCCAAAAGCCTACTAGTTGTCAGCCCCAAATCCCCCCACCCTGAAGCAGAAGAAACTTTTTAAAAAACAGACCACATGATAAGAAAGAAAAATGCTTCTGTATTTGTTCAAGGAGGAGCTCAAATAAAGCAGTATTTTCCAATATACCATGCAGCCCAGAGCTATCCTTTGATTGAAAAGGCATAGTGGAAAAATAAAGAGAGGTATGCTCGAGAGCTGTGAGTAAACACTGTATCTCCCAAAAGGGGAATCAAGTAAATTCCCCAGCTCTCCCCAGCTGTATATTTCATTTTTGCTGAGGAGCCTACAGTTTAGATTATCTTGTTTCTTACTGTTTAGGTTATCTTACAGTTTGTTACTCATCTAGGTGCTGGCTTTTTCAAATATCCTTTTGCTTTTCACGTAAAGTTTTATTTTCTGTTTTGCAGGGTGCATTTGTGGGTCTTGTCAGTGGCTTTGTTATTTCACTTTGGGTTGGAATCGGATCTCAGATTTATCCTCCACTTCCAGAGAGGACCAAGCCTCTATCTCTCTCAACTATAGGCTGTAATATATCCTCAGGAAATTTGACGGCAACAGAAAACCCATTAACAACAATCTTCAATACACCAAGTGCAGAGAGGTATACAAGTCCATCATGTGAAATCAGCAAAGCATGTATTTGTTTTAAAGTAATGCAAACATCTGCCTAGCATATGGGTTACTATCCCTCCCTTGGTTTACCTGTGAGGCTGCTTAAGGTGAAGCATATTTTTCCCTGTCAGGGTTTGTGTGGGTTATCCCAGAACAGAAGTCAAAGTGAATCATTCTATTGATCTTTAAAGCTTCAGTTCAATATTTGAGTCTAAAGGCTTGCATATGTCTTACTGGGAAGCATAGTGTTAAAGAAAGCATAACATTTATAGTTATTGACTTAACTTCCACAGTCTGTTTTATGAATTGAAGTAGTAGGCAGTTAAAGGGCAATTTGCCAGTTGAACAGCTCCACCTACAACAGCTTGTCTGTGCAAAAATAGGTTTATTCAGGAAATTCAGAAGAGGACATAATCTGTGTAATGGACAAAATATAAGGGATTTGCTCCCCTCTGCAATTACTGTATATCTTACTTTCGACAATCACAGTTAAGTGTAACTTTTATGAACAACAATATAGGTAACAGCAGGAACAGAGAGAAGCTGAACAAACACATTTCTAGGGATTACCAATCCTTACATCTTTGAGCATTGTACAATCAACAGATACCCTGGTACGCACATGGATGACCAATATCCAGTGTCATAGACTACACCTCTCACATGAGGCCTCCAGCATTCTTTATGTCTGGGAAGCAGCCGTTGCAAGAGAGTACATTGTCAGGGAGAACAAAATAAGGTGTAACATGAGGTGTGACAGTTGCCCTGTAGTTTCTGGCTGTTTAGAGCTACACGGTGGCTGATTTCCTGCTCTTTTTGGTTTTTTTGTGCCCCCTCCTTTAAATAACATCTCCCATTCTAAAGAAGTTATCCTTTCTTCTGGATAGCTGGAGTGCTCAGCTCTGCACTAGAGTCCTAGTAGAGACAGGCTCTGCTCTTTTACCTGTTCTGTCCCATGCATTGCCTCACTGTACTGACCTGTCTCCTCCCATACCAAGGAATTTGTCTTACAAATTTCAGAACAAACGTTAAGTGTGCATTTTATTGTACAGAGGTAGCTCAAGACTATCAGGTCACTTGGTTCAGAAGTAACTGTATTTATATGCTGTCTGGAATTAGAAAACATCTTCAGGTTGCTTGGAATAGGAAAGCAGATTTACCCTTTTTCTGCTCTTTTGCAGGCCTGTCCTGGCAGACAACTGGTATTCCTTGTCTTATCTTTACTTCAGCACACTTGGGACACTTATCACAGTAGCTGTGGGAATAATTATCAGCCTCCTAACAGGTACTAGTTCCAGAGCTGTGATTGAATGTATCTTAGGTTGCTTGCAAACTAAGATGAGTAGAGAGCTGTTATTCCCACAGGAAGTACTGGTAACCCTATTGCAAACACTGTGTAAAGCTTACTACTCTAAATCTCATTTCCTACCCCAGACCTTCTGCATCCCATTCTTGATCTCTGCTCATAGCAAAAATTACTTCAAATTTCTAAGGAGAAAGAAGTTTCAACAGTTTTTTAACCTGAGGGAAATAAATAAATAAGACATCTCCTTCCCATTTTATTAGATGCCAGTAGGGGCTGGAGGTTTAAGGGTTGCCTCTGAACATGGCAAGAACCCCAAGCAAGGAGGTACACCCAAGCTTCTAGAGGACAAAAGCAGGTTTGCTTCAAATGAATTCAGATCACTCAAGGTTTTTTGTCTGCACCTGCACAGTGCATGCTTTTCACCACATTCACATATTTAAGAGCTGCAGACCCTCTGCATGGCTACATTAGCTTCTTTCTCAGTTTCCACCATTTATGCAAGGGGCAAAAAGCAGCATTCCACAGGTAGTAACTTTAGTTCCAGCCCACAGCCTCACTGCTTTTGCATCTAGGTAAGATGCAAAGCACACTTATCACCCACCTCATGCATGGCAGAAATAACAAAAAAGCAGCAGCTCCCACAGTTTTCCCCAGTATGTCCAGCCAGGTTCCCAGCCCATTGCTATAGTGACACTTGTAGACAAATTTTGCTTCTTACTAGGTTGGGAGTCAGTTTATCCACAGGCCATGAAGCCAAGTATGAAAACTGGACAACTCAGTAAAGCCAGATGAGAAATCATCAGCCCAATAAACAAAAAAAATCCAACAAAACTAACTTAATGGTCCTACTAAACTCAAAACACTTAACCACACTACCTCCCTACTTTTTCTGGCACAAGACCCCATTTAAGTCCCATGTGGCAGTCATCAGAGCTAATTCCTGACACCTGCATCTTGTTTCTTTCCCACACGCATTCCCCCACAAGAATAAGTTAATCTTCCATGGCTTAAAAATGATCAAATGTCCCTTTGACCTTCATCCCCTCTACCTTGGAGATGCCCTTAAGTAACTTACTATACAAATTGCTGGTGACTTTGGAAACAGGAGACCTGCTGATAGCGAGCTGAGAACTGAGGCTCAAGCTCCCTGTCAGCACTTGGTCCACATCTCCTGGGCAGAGTGGTCCCCAGTATCATTGTATGAGATTCATCCTCTTCTGATGATTGTTTCAGTCTTTTTACACAGTAAGAAATCTGGTGAAGATCTAGGAAACTGTAGGAAATGGCTAAGGCATTTCAAATAGACCTTGAAGGACCATTTTTATATTTTGATAGGTGAGGGATATATATAATTGTAAAAAAAAAATCCCTAAGGCCTGTGACTGCTTGATAGCTTTTGATGCATGACTCTGTGCTGCTCACCTGGCCTGGTGCCCATGGCTGGGCTCTGACATATCATTTGCATGTGGAACCCTGGCTGATTGAAACCTGCCTATTTTGCAGGAGGACTTAAGCAGAACACAGATCGTAAATTCCTGCTGACCAAGGAAGATTTCCTGTCCAACTTCTCATGGTCTAAATCTGAAACAGTAAGTGTAATTACGCATCTCTGATTTAAATCTATCTTTCCTCCTGGGAACAAAGGGCTTCTGGCTTATTTTTTCCCACCAGGATGAATAGCACCTGATGCTGCCTGATACGACTGTCTGCTTTAGGGCAGTAGCAGAGCACAAGGCGCGTAGAAGTAAAGCAGCTGGCATAGGCAGGGAAGCTATGTTTGGCCACAGCTTGACTTCAGTGAACAGTAGAGGAGAAGCTGAGACAAGGGACAGTTGTTCTCCAGGTTTCTGCCAAAATACTCCCTCACTAGTCTCTTGGAAGCTGGCCCACGGCACACTTTAGGCTCAGCAAAGCTTTCTTTGTTTGTAAACATGTGTTCTCTAAAATCTGGATTCTTTTTGCAACTTTTGCTGCTGTTTGAGAGAAGACATTTCTAGTCAGCATATCTGTTTCCTAGCTCCCTCCCTAAGATATAAGAAAAGGAGAGACATTGGGTAATAACAAGCCTTCAAAGAGAAAATGTAGGGGAAATTTGTTTGTTTTAAATAAACTATAGGTCACTTTTCAGTTAGTATCATCAGGATGCTGAAACTCAGCTTTGTTCAGTGCTTTTCAAGTGCTGCAGTACAGTCACTGATCTTGTCTTTGAGATGGTTCAGTTTGCAAAATGTTTTTTCTCCATGATGACAACTCCTTTTAGTATGATCTCATGTATTTCAGCTTCTCGCTGTGAACACGAGGGAGAGAAAGAGATTTTTACAGTGCTATTGTAATGCTGTTTGTCCATGTCAGGACTAGCGAGCAGCTATCCAGTTATTGTCACTCACTGCTTTTAATAGGCCAACATCTGTTTTTACTGCCTGGGAATTTAAACCCTGAAAAAGAAACAAACAAAACCCCAAGCCCCCAAAACAAGCAAAAACCAAAACACCAGTACCAAGCCAACCAACTAACCAAAACTAAACCAAAACAAATCCACCCACATGGAAACTAATGTCCACAGCCATACTATTTTATGCCTGGATTCAGAAACAAGTGTCTGCATGGCTCTACAGCTAGGAGCTAGCGGTTGGCATCACAAATAATGCAGAAAGTTGGTGAGGAAAAAATAATCAGGTAGAATTGAGAAACTTCCTGCACATAAAAAGTTCAACATCTCATTATGTTTAATAGAGATGAAACATGAAAGCAATGACGCGTGTTTATCTGCTTTTCAAGTCAAAGATGGGGCAAGTACCAGGGACTGGGAGTCAATAGCTCAAGGACCTTGTGGTGGCAGGTCTCTAGACATGAAAGCAGCAATTAGAACTTTGCACAACCAAAACCACTTTAGACAATTTTCAGGACAAGAACTTTTTACTTGACGAGAACATTTCATGCAACTCGTACCTTACGCAATAAGAAACTTTCCATGCCCCTAGAAAAATACCAGCTACTCCAATGAATAACTATTTATGCTCTGTCAGCAATCAACATGTACTTCCCTGCAAGGCATCCTGTATGCCAGGCCTGACTCTGCTTGTATGCAGGTTAAAGAGAGGAAGACTGTTTCTTCCACGTCACAGCACGGCTTTTGTCTTTTGTTTTTTAGCCACAGAAAGTGGAAGTGTTGAACTGGAAACCATTTACCATGGCAGCTGAAGGAACTGACAACCCTGCTTTCAGCCACATTGAAATGGACGTTGCAAGCAATAAGAACAAAGTCAATGGCCTTCATATATGACGTGGGGCCATGTCAGCCCTCCAGGACAGTTTTGTTCATGTAAGGCACTATTGACAGTCCTGTGCCAGGTCAGTTACCAGCCCTGCAGGGGTAATGGGCAGCCGTCTGCTGAGCTTTGTTGCACTGTCACCCTTGCATGCCCTTGATATTAGTCAAGAAAGGAATCAGGTCTTTCTTGCACATCCTCACCCTCTCTTTCTCACTCTGGATCTTGGTGACAGGGCTGAAGGCAATGTTTATATGTGAAGTATTTACCTGATACTCTTGAGCTTCCTGGAAAATATCTGCATTTTATCTCAGTTCACTCTCAGAGTAATTTTTTTATTTGGTAAGAGCACTGTTCCCCCAGACATAGCTGGTTTTCTGGTTTCTTTTTTTTTTGACTTTTTTTTCTTTTAAGACATTGCAAGTACAAAGACATTAGGGCTGCAGGACCTTAACAGGTTGCAAGAAACAGTGGGGCTTTTTTAATACAGGAGGTGCATATAATGCCATCTGATTCATTTGTAGAACTGAGAGTGTATTTATTTTGCTGTTTTTTTTGTGTATGTTTGGTTTTATGAAGCTATTTCTTCCCTGGTTTCTAGCATCTCATCTGTGTTCACTGCTGGAAGCTACAAGAGTGTCTCTGGTGATGGGTAGAGGCAAAACTCAGTGACATACTTCCCTTCATTCCCCATCTCCCTCATCTGCCCTCTCTTACCCTTACAGAGCTGGTTCTCACAAAGGAAAAGAGCTATTTGGGCTTTTTGTTCAGTGCCATACAGCAGAACCACAGTAGTCTTCCACTTCTTGCTCAGCATTCTGGCCTAGGACTGGTCTTGCACTGGGCTGGCCATAGTGCAGCAGAGATGTTAATGCAGGAAAATGGCCCTCTTTGCTCTACGGGACAAGAGGGAAGACTGCATCTGCAGTTACCACTGCTGTTATCTGTGGAGCTGTGAGCTGAAACTTCATGTAGCCGTTTGTATTCATGCAGTCCCTGTTGTCTCTCTGGGGATTCACATTCAAGTTTGGCCCAGATCAGGCTAGAGTACATTGTATGTTTTAGCAGGCAGGCAGAGTTCACTGTGCAATACCCCAGGAAACGGAAGGCATTGCAGAGGATGTTATTTGGTGAAGGCTTCTTCAGGGCTGCAAGGCATGGGATGACTTATCCTCTGGCTAGGCTGCCAAGAGAAGCTGAACGGCACATCCACTCCAGACCACGGTACTGGTGGTTTTGGAGGATGAAAACCCCCAGCTGCTTCACACCCCCCATGTGCCTTCTGGTAAGGCAGGGAACAGATGCTGACCCACTGTGGTGTTTTTCTACTGCAGACTTTTTGCTATGGCTATACATGGGAGTTTAAAACTCTTACAGCAGTATCAAGTTGGGAAATAAAAGCTATTGCAGTAAAGTTAAGCTGTGAAGCTTATAAAGCAGTCATGTTTTGAATCAAATGAAAAACTGACTGCGTGTCTTAAATGCTTTCTAAAAGTTATGCTGCTTTTGCCAGGTGCTGAGCTGCTTTAACTTGGAATACAACACAATTCTAGCTTATCTATCTTGACTGGAACCCTTTAGCATCTAAATCAATTTATTTTGTGCCCCTGTGACAGAGGGCATTTGGTGATCTACTGCGTAAAATGAACTGACAGTATCAGAAAACATTAGGGATTAAAAATCTGGTCCAAGGAGCAAACCTGTGCTAGAGGAGTACAGGCCAGACACTGCCACAGAAAAAATATGTGGACTCAGTCAGAGATCAATATGATCAGACAAAAGGCATTTATTGCAAAGCCTTAACTCCTTATATTCTATTGCTTACATACACTTACAGTGATTTGGCATATTATGATTGGATACATGTCTTGAAGACCCTTAGCAGCTAACATATAATTGGTTAGGCACAGGTGTGAGAATTTGACCTCGAAAGCTTGCCAACAGTCCACAGTTCTCATAACTCGGTGAATTCCAGCTTCTTCTTATCTTGCTTGCTTAAGCTTCCTCGGGCCTCTCATGGCCTTGCTGTATCTTTCAGGATTATTCAGAGTTCATGTACCAATTATCCATTCTCCTGTGAGAACACTGTCTCCACAAGATACTGTATGGGGTTCCCACCGGGGGCATACCTCCATCAGCTAACTCCGTGCAAAACTACGTAACAGAGGCAGGTTTCCCCTTTGCCTCCTGATTCACTGGCTTGCACGGTCCAGACCCTTATCTCCCATTCCTCTGCTGCAGCTCTGTAACTAGCTAAGTGCTGAAAACACTGTGTGGAAGGGCTGTGAGTGAGCTGGAGAGATCCCATGAATTGTGTCTTGTGTTCCTATATCTAAAATCTGAGACAAACAATAGCATCCTGAATAAAGTCTTCTAGGACAGGTATCTCTGTTCTGGGGCTATTCTAGTCACTCTGAGACAGCTAGTCCACTGTCTGAATGAGCTGGCTATGCTTCTCAAGTCTCAGAAGATAAGTGCAGCTCATTCAGCCTTGTGCCTTGTCTTCATGACACAGAAATAGATACTGCATTTTGTGCAAAAGAAGAATTCTTGAGCCTTGAAATATAGTAATTTGTACTTACCAGGTACTTTCAGTCCGCAAACCTGAAAAAGGGTAAGTACTGGTATCTCCACATTGCTGCAGAGTGCTGAAATGAAGAGGACTGGTGTGCCCCTCTGTACCTGTGCTTTATGGCACAGAGTAAGCTGTGGACAGAGAGAACAGAAGCCTGTAACAAGCACTTGCCTGCTGGTATGGCTACAGTCCTCCCAACACAAATGACAAACTCTCATCTGAATATTCCTCTCAGGAGAGTGACTGATCACTGCTGTGTTAAGCAGCATCATTGTGGCCTTTGCGGCACCACTCTGTGCTGAGATCACTGTGTGCTGTAATGGATACTGCCTTAAACTGTCTGGGATGATCTGTGACTTCTACCTGTTTTGTTCGTGGAGTGAAGACTCATCTTCCCAGTTATCGTAGTTAAAAAATGTAGGACCACTGATGTTTTTTTTTTCTCAGTGCTTTGAATTCACATAATTGTTTAAAACAGAGAAAACATGTAAATGACCAACTTGTCTTCAACTTATTGCTTGAAGTCACTATTTGAGAGCTGAACAGTCACTGAACTCTAATTTTGATATCAAGTGAAAGTTTGGGTGAAGTGATATCTATTGGTCCACAATCATGACACAAGATGAGTTTTCACTGGGGAGAGTATCTGCTGTAAGCACTTTAGAGGCAAGTGTTCTTAAGCTTTGCAGATGACGCCAGTAAATACCCCGTTTCTTGCTAACTAACCTCCCATGATTGCTGCACAGCTCTCACAGAAAGTGACTCTTTCTGCTTCACTTTTTTCTAAATGCTTATTGTTCTAATTGGAATCAGTAATTAAAGCAATTAATTAATTTTGAATAAGATTTTCCCTGAGATCATACACTGTCCTCTGCTAGCTGGACTGTCAGGTAGGGCCTTGTTTGTGTAAGAGCAGCAAGATAGTTCTTGGTGTCTCCATCACACTCCTGCACCCTAATCCTTCGTCCCTCCCAGCTAAAAGCTCACCCAACAAAGAAATACAGGATGCTCAAAATTGACAAATTCCATGGGAGTGGGAGCATCCCATGCTGTCCAAATAACATGCTGCATCTGGCAGGATCAAGAGAGAAAAATAGTAGGAACATTAAAAAAAGAACTAAAACCACAACAGAACAATGTTGGACTACAAGAATGCACAAAGAATCTACAGAGAGACAGTAGTGACAAGACTTTGGTCTACGTTTAAATTTGCTTTCACCTGACTGGCCTTTTTGGCTGCTGAACAAATAAGGTAAACAGAAAATAACTTACGAATGCCAAGCAGCAAATATTTCATATGCATAATTTATTTTAAAGTTTATTGCGTCACATTATACAAGCATTAAACATGGCTTTATGCTGATGATTTTTTTTTTTTAAGTGTGAAAACTTGACATTCTTTTCCATAGGATTTTTCTATTTACAAATAAACAATCTCTCTATATACTTTATATATATTATATATATGGTAAGTAACATAACTCCCCTCAGAAAGATTTAAAATAAAAAAGAACTGATTTGTAAACACGGTTTCTTTTGTAGTATTTGGTGGCTGGAACACAGATGATATTCTATACCTAGGATTTTTCTTCTGTCAGAGTATCCAGGTTGTTCATTTGCATTTTTTACACTAAGATCTGTAAAACCAGCATGGGACAGAATGCAAAAAACGTAGTAAACAGGCTGAAAAACAGTCCCAATATACAATTTTGTTCCTTGGTTTTAAAAACTGGCATGTAACTGCTCATGAAGTACATGCTTGCTCTCAAGAGTGGTCTATGGAGATCAATCCTATGCTGATTGCAAGATGATTTCACAGTAAATCCTTTGATGTGTGCTGTCCTGCTTGCTATGTAAAATGCCTGTGGCATGCATTGAGGTTGCATTTTTTCGCATTCCCTTGAAGGTAGTGCTCTTGTGGAGCTGGAATAAGTAAACAACATATAGGATGGCCACCTGGAGGTTTAAACAAAACCCATCATCAGTTCAGAAAGAAGGGAATGGCATACATTTGTTATCTAGAGACCATTAAAATTCCTTTTATTATTAGCTTATTATTTGTATTATATCTTCCTATAAAATAAGAAAGGGATCATCTTTCCTGAGTGTTCTGCTATATAGCTCTGAAGCACTCAAGGGAAATCTATTCAGCAGACCAGCAGCACAGAAACCTCCATGGGTTGACTGGTCAACATTAAGTGGCAGAAATGTACTCAGGATCTGCCAGGGAGGTCAGAGCCCCTTTCATCATCGTACTCAGCATAAGCTTGGTAAGCAGCCAAGTTGTGTTTTCTCATTTAGAACAGGACACAACTTCTAGCAATGTATTGTCATGAAAATTCATCGTGATGTAGCTCTGTTGAAAAGTAGTCTCAAAAGCAATTATTATCTATTGTATTTCTGCTGCACTTTATTTGTTTTGGCACATTACACTGCTGTGGTTCCTCTGGACTGGGAGTCAGTTTATATTCTAATAGGTTTCAGTTCAGTTCTTGGAAGTTATTGAGATCTACATTGACAAAGCTGTATGTTACTGCATGTTCCTTTGCAAAGGTTCACACTCAGATGGGTGACACTGATTTTATGTATGACTCATGTTTCTCTTTACTACTCAGCAAACAGTTTCTAAGCTCTTGTCATCTGTTGTTTTAGATATTATACAGAAGGTATGCAAACATCCAACTGCTCATGTGAATTTGTCCTGAATGCAATTTTGCACAGTGATCCTGCCCTAGAGTCCCCAGACTCAAGTGCAGTATACACCCGTGGGTAGTGGATGGTAGATACTATCCCATCTGGCATGTGTGCATTGCAGGATGACATTGCCTAATCCCCAACCACTATGTACAGAGACAGAAATACCCCCGTTTCTCCACTGCCCACATGGGATGTGTTCACAGCTGCTGTAAGCTGAAGCAAAGATGAACAAGTTCACTTCTCAATTAGGCAGTCATGCTCCCCACTCAGTTTGGCACCACGTCAACAGAAAACAGATTAATTCTGAAATTCCTTCAGTGCTTATATTGCCTCAAAGGACCTTCAGGCTTGGCCCAGGAGCACCTGATTAAATGGGAACTGCTGTGCCATTTATCCTCTTCGTTTAGGATGTGTCACTACTGGAGGAGTTTCCTTGCTACAAGTAAGCAAAGTGTAAGCACATAGTGGCTACAGAGATGAGGGTACATGCATTTTTTCCACCTCTCTGCGTCCTCAAGTCATACATTCTTTCATTAAGACCTTCACTCCATTATGGAAATAGCAACAGTTCTCCCTTGCAGTGGAAAGAAGTTAACAGATCTAATTTGGCAATATGGGGTTGTGGTGCAAGTGGTCCTGATATCTTGTGGAGCTTGAGGCATCCATCCATAAAGTCTTGCATTGTGTGGTCTGTCCAGAAGAGCAAATTCTAGCCCTTCTATCAAATGATTTCTAGAAGAACTTGTACAGCTTGCTGAATTTTCCTCCCTCTTAAATATCCTCAAACTAACAAGGTCAGAACTACTTAAGACTTCTGCAAAAATGGTATTTTTGTGGAGCTCCAGTTATTTGGAAAAGGGCTAAGTAAATGGTTCAGCTCCAGTATTTTGTATCTAGCTGGGCACAGGCTTGATTCCACCTGGCTTCTTACAGTCTTGGCTTTTGAACTTCGTTCTTCATTCTGGCTGATTATGCCACTGCATGTTCTGCGAGAATTGCAGTGTTATCATTTTGAGGCAAGAGGTAGTAGAGCTTTCATAACACTCAGCATTTTGATTCATGTTGCTTCATCCAACACTGCTGCAGTCTTTAGACCTGGGTTAATGATCTAGGAAATATTTAATTTCTCAGTGCTAAAGAATTTGGAGAAGAATATAGACAGTGGCCCATTTCACCCAAATCTAATTCTGCATCCTGTGTAGAATTGCTCTGCTTGAAGGATTAAAATTTCAAGCTAGTCCATCCTACAGTCTGGTGTTCTATTTTTCCCCTCCACCCCTTCATAGGTAATAGTAGAATGAATAAAGAAAATATTACAAGAAAATATTCTGGGTGACTGTGTTCTTTTGCTCTGATGACCTTGTTCATCTGTTGGGTTTTTTTGTTTTCACTTACGCAGATAGGTCTTTAAGACACAGTCTGTCTTCTGTTATGTGTATGATACCCCTTATTTCCTGATGATGTGATATTGCAATACAAATACACAGGCAGTTCTGGGCAAGGTGCCCTAGCCTGATTTGTTTCCTTCAGAGGGCAGAAAGTCCTATACCTGAAAAGGCACTGTTCAAAACTTTAAAATATATTACCACCATTTCACAGTATTATTTCCAAATGAACGACCCTACAGTCAGGCACCTCTGGCCACATTTAGATGCTTGCCTATCTGTCAACAGTTCTACTCACCTAAATTTTCAGCATTGTCAGACCATCTGGTTAGACTGACGTTCAAGTATCTCCTCCTAAAAAAAACTTCAATAGTGTTGGAGTAATGGAAGTGGTCCACATATGTGACTTTACCTTGTAAATGCAAGCTAACACAGCTGAGTCCACTGTGGAAGAGGGCAACACTGCCATGCATGTGCTGCAGGTGGTGACCACACACATGGACAAGTACTGCCATGTTGCCCAAGGTGCAGTCACTGGTTATGAAGTAGCAACTTGGCCATGAGAACAGGCTGCAAAATCACCAAGTTCTGTAAAGCACTGTAAGAGATATAATTGCTTTGAAGGTCAGGGCCTTGAATTTAAGTCAGGGCCTGGGAGCCTCCTGGCAAGAGTGCAGACAGTTAAGCATTGGTCAAATCTGCTCAGGCTGGCATTAGGTCTGGAGAAGACTAAGCCTTGCAAGACCTCTAATTTCAAAAGGTTTATGACAGTATTTGCCCTTTTAAACATTGGCGCACTTGTAAGAGCACACAGCATTCACTGACTATTCCTTTCACTGTACTCTCCACTGTAGAAAACAGCTTTTATAAGCAGAATTCCTATCTCCTTTTAAGTGGTTTCTTCCTCACCCCATCACGGCCACTCATTGTGATAAGATTTTCCATTCTTCTTCCTTTCCTTCCGCTCTTTCTGCAGACGTTCTAATTCAGCTTCATACATCATTTCCTGAATCAGGTACTTTTCTCTCCTCATCCTATCTCTCAGATCTTTTGGGAGATCTGGGATTAAGTAGGAAATCAGGTGCTTTATGCAAAAGACAAGGTGCTGTAAAAACAAAAAAGGGATAAAAAATTAAAATCTTAGGAAGAAAACAAGTACCCTATTTTCTGAAAACCCACCACTTCCAATTCACAACAAGATCCTGTGATAGAACTAAATCCGTTACTAAATTTAAAGAAATTAAACCATGAGGTTTTCTTTCCCCACAAAAAACTCCAGGCAAAGTCAGTGGAGTATGGATTGCTGCAAAGTTTGTTACAAGCAGCTGGTTCAAATAAAGCCTCAAACCTATTGTATGACCTGTGTGTTCAAACTCCCGAGGTCATGATTTGCTCTAAGGTTGCTTGGACATGGCATGGTATTAGTGGATTACTTTGCAGGAAGAGGTGAATCAAATGATACAGTTTCCTGTTGCCAGAAAGTCCTTTCATCAGAATCAGAACCAATGAATTACCTATGCAAAACAAAGTATTTTTCTTTGTACTGAGTCTCTCATCCAAAGACATACCTCAATTACCAAACATCACAATTAAATACCAGGTAACTAACCCTTTGTCCCTCATGTTTTAGGCATGCCACAGCAGAGCTTGGGTGTGATGGGGGAGGATTGCTTGAGTGAACTTTTTTTGTTTGCTTTGAGAGAAGGAGCAGAGAAACAGAGAAATCATCCATCTCTTACAAGACACTCATTCTAGATTGGAAAAACAAAGGTATCGCTTCTTCTCCAAGCAGGACCCTTCCTATGAAAGCCACTGAAAAGAGAATGCAACATGTTTGCCCCTGTATTCTTCCCTCATGAGAAATAAACCCACAATACTTTAATTGTTGCTTTTTTGCCAAGCCTAAAATAGTAATAATGAAAAAGCTTCTGTCAGTTTATGTGGAGACAGTGTTCTCACAGGAGAATGCATAATTGGTACATAAACTCTGAATAATCCTGAAAGATACAGCAAGGCCATGAGAGGCCCGAAGAAGCTTAAGCAAGCAAGATAAGAGGCTGGAATTCACCGAGTTAATGAGAACTGTGGACTGTTGGCAAGCTTTTGAGGTCTAGTTCTCACACCTGTGTTTAACCAATTATATGTTAGTCACTAAGGGTCTTCAAAACATGTATCCAATCATAATATGCCAAATCACTGTAAGTGCATGTAAGAAATAGTATATAAGGAGTTAAGGATTTGTATAAAAAGAACAAGAAGCATAACTCATACTGAGTCGTTCTCTTGATTCTGGTCGCTCTCTCCGACAAGTTTAGCCTTGACAAATAATTCTGCAGTGATAGGAAACATGCTTGTTTTTGAGGGAGGACAAGATAGCCTAATTAACCACCCCACAGTGTGAAAAATTTGGTGGTCTTCTATAATGGGTTTAAAGCATTGGTGAGTAAGGGAAGAGCACTACCTGGACTTGTGCAAAGCATTTGACACTGTCTCACACAACATCCTTGTCTCTAAATGGGAGAGATATGGATTCAATGGATGGATCACTGTGGATAAGGAATTGGCTGGATGGTAACACTCAAAGAGTTGTGGTCAAAGGCTCAGTGTCTAAGTGGAAACAAACATCATTCGTGAGGGCTTGCTACTGGGACCTGTGCTGTTCAACATCTTTGTTGCCAACATGAACAGTGGGATTGAGTGCACCCTCAGGACATTTGCCAATGACACAAAGCTGTGTGGTGTGGTCAACATGCTGGAAGGAAGAGATGGGATCCAGAGGGACCTTGATACACTTGAGAGGTGTTCAAGTGTGAACCTCATTAAGTTCAACAAGGCCAACTGCAAGGTTGGACGGGGCTTTGAGCAACCTGTTCTACTGGATGGCGTCCCTGCCCCTAGCAGAGGGTTGGAACTAGATGATCTTTAAGATGCCTTTCAACCCAAACCATTCAATGATTCTATGAAAAATGTGTCTCAGCTTAAGTAGTTCATTTATGAAAAACCTATCTTGAATCACTTAGTGCAATCTTTTACTGTAATTGCTGGAGCAATCACAATATACCATTAGTGTCCTCCAAAAACATGATTCTGACATTTCAAATGTCCAAAGACATTTCATGATTTCCTCTGCAATTGCCTTTTTTAGTTCATAGATAGAGTTAAGGAAACAGTTTGCAGTGCCAATAAACAGAGTGTCCCTGTAGAGAGAGACAGCTGTGAGCCAGCCTATGGCTTTGGCTGGGGCAAAGCAAAGTGAAATCTCTTGTGCAGACATTGAGCAAAGAAACAAAGCTATTCCACAGCCAGTTGCAAATTTTGCTGGGCACTGAGACTTAAGCAGTGCTGTTTTTTCTTCCCCCAGTTATCTTTCCAGTTATGCTGTGCTGCCTTTATGCCAAGTGTGTATCGAAAAGCCAGGCTGTTTTCAGTCTTGAAACTGCTTAAGCTGACCTGCCACAACCATTCTTGTCTCCTTTTTGGAGACGGATACCCTGGCTCTCAGTACAAGAAACAAAGAAGAGATCAAGCCCAGCAGGCCTCTATCAAATCTTCCTTTCCTTCCTTCCTTTCCTTACTTTCCTCCCTCTCTCTCTCTTTCTTCTTTTCTTCTCTTCTCTTCTCTTCTCTTCTCTTCTCTTCTCTTCTCTTCTCTTCTCTTCTCTTCTCTTCTCTTCTCTTCTTCTCTTTCCTTTCTTCTCTTCTCTTCTCTTCTCTTCTCTTTCCTTTCCTTTCCTTTCCTTTCCTTTCCTTTCCTTTCTTTCCTTTCCTTTCCTTTCCTTTCCTTTCCTTTCCTTTCCTTTCCTTTCCTTTCCTTTCCTTTCCTTTCCTTTCCTTTCCTTTCCTTTCCTTTCCTTTCCTTTCCTTTCCTTTCCTTTCCTTTCCTTTCCTTTCCTTTCCTTTCCTTTTTTCCTTTTCTCTTCTCTTCTCTTCTCTTCTCTTCTCTTCTCTTCTCTTCTCTTCTCTTCTCTTCTCTTCTCTTCTCTTCTCTTCTCTTCTCTTCTCTTCTCTTCTCTCCTCTTCTCTTCTTTCTTTTTTCTTTTTTCTTTTCTTTCTTTCCCTTAATGTTTCCCTGAGTGTGGCAGAAATTATGGAAGAGCTGATCTCCTTAGGACCAATCTCTAATGAGTTAGGCCAGTGTAGAGGAAGGACAGAGCCCAACCTGCAATGGCATATTCCTCCTTCATCTGGGAAGGGCTGAAAATGACAGTCAGGGGGAATTTGCAGCAGACCTTGTGCTTCTGCTGAGCCACCAAATCATTCTTATGCAAGAAAAAGTTTCCTTTTCACTTTTCCTCTAATTCCAGTACTTCTGTTCTGTGATCCAAAGAGAGGATTCAGAAATGCAGTTCAGAATGAATTTACACAGTAATGTGAACCAGAAATGCAGCATGTGCTCATGAACATTATGCCAATAATTTATGGCATAAATTATTACAGTTTCCATATCTGTGCTGGATGCACTGTTGCTATGATTTCAGAGCAGAAGATTGAGTAAAGAGTTTTAAAAATTATTTGTTCCCTGTTTGGCTTCTTCACAGTGTAAAAAGCATTTCAAACCACTTAGAATAGAATCATAGAATAGTTAGGGTTGGAAAGGACCTTAAGATCATCTAGTTCCAACCCCCCTGCCATGGGCAGGGACACCTCCCACTAAACTATGCCACCCAAGGCTTCGTCCAACCTGGCCTTGAACACTGGCCAGGGATGGAGCATTCACAACCTCTCTGGGCAACCCATTCCAGTGCCTCACCACCCTCACAGTAAAGAACTTCCTCCTTATATCCAATCTAAACTTTCCCTGTTTAAGTTTTAACCCATCACCCCTTGTCCTGTCACTACAGTCCCTAATGAAGAGTCCCTCCTCAGGATCCCTATAGGCCCCCTTCAGATACTGGAAGGTTGCTATGAGGTCTCCACGCAGCCTTCTCTTCTCCAGGCTGAACAGCCCCAACTTCCTCAGCCTGTCTTCATATGGGAAGTGCTCCAGTCCCCTGATCATCCTCGTGGCCCTTCTCTGGACTTGTTCCAGCAGTTCCATGTCCTTTTTATGTTGAGGACACCAGAACTGCACACAATACTCTAAGTGAGGTCTCAAAAGAGCGGAGTAGAGGGGCAGGATCACTTCCTTTGACCTGCTGGTCACGCTCCTTTTGATGCAGCCCAGGATACAGTTGGCTTTCTGGGCTGCAAGCGCACACTGCCAGCTCATGTTCATTTTCTCATTGACCAACACCCCCAAGTCCTTCTCTGCAGGGCTGCTCTGAATCTCTTCTCTGCCCAACCTGTAGCTGTGCCTGGGATTGCTGCAACCCAGGTGTAGGACCTTGCACTTGGCATGGTTAAACTTCATGAGGTTGGCATCAGCCCACCTCACAACTGTGTCAGGGTCCCTCTGGATGCCATTCCTTCCCTCCAGGGTATCAACCGAACCACACAGCTTGGTGTCTTTGGCAAACTTGCTGAGGGCGCACTCAGTCCCACTGTCCATGTCACCAACAAAGATGTTGAACAACACCGGTCCCAGCACAGATCCCTGAGGGACACCACTCATTACTGGTCTCCAGCCGGACATTGAGCCATTGACCACAACTCTTTGCATGTGGCCATCCAGCCAGTTCTTTACCCACCGAGTGGTCCATCCATCAAATTGATGTCTCTCCAATTTAGAGACAAGGATGTCGTGTGGGACAGTGTCGAACGCTTTACACAAGTCCAGGTAGATGACATCAGCTGCTCTACCCCTGTCCATCGGATCCGTAGCCCCATCATAGAAGACCACCAGATTGGTCAGGCAGGATTTCCCCTTAGTGAAGCCATGCTGGCTGTCACCAAGCACCTTGTTGATTTTCATGTGCCTTAGCATGCCTTCCAGGAGAATCTGCTCCAAGATTTTGCCAGGCACAGAGGTGAGACTGACTGCTCTGTACTTCCCCAGGTCATCCGTTTTCCCCTTCTTGAAAATGGGGGTTATATTTCCCTTTTTCCAGTCATCGGGAACTTCACCTGACTGCCATGATTTCTCATCAAATATGATGGCCAGCAGCTTCGCAACTTCATTTGCCAGCTCCTTCAGGACCCGCGGATGGATCTCATCAGGACCCATGGACTTGTGCACGTTCAGATTTTTAAGATGGTCTCGAACCAGATCCTCTCCTACAGTGGGCCCAACGTCTTCATTCTCACAATCCCTGCGTCTGCCTTCCAAGACTTGGGTGGTTTGGTCAGAGCCTTTGCCAGTGAAGACCGAGGCAAAGAAGTCATTCAGAACCTCAGCCTTCTCCAAATCCTGTGTAGCTAGATCTCTCACTTGTGCTGGAGAGATGCTGAACCCCTGGTTTCTTTCAGGATAGATATTCAGGCACCTGAAATTCAGGCCTTAAAAGCTGCATTTTGTTTTGTAAATTATCTCATCCTATTATCTACCCTCCTGTCTCTTAGTTTTCAAAATCAGCATGGGAATACCCATCATGTGAAGTTGGTTTTACCTTCCCTGGTTTGTCTTAAAGTTTTCTAAGATACTGAAAGTAAATACCATTATGTTGAACATTGACTAATGTATTGAATCCTCTTCATCATTGTCATCTTTGTGATGCTCATCACTTTGGGGAAATGAATGGTATTAAAAAAAAAAACAAAAAAAAACCAACAAAGCTAGATGTGTAAGTGCTGTATCTTAAACTATTTTCATTTTTCAGTTGTTCAGATTTCATCTTTTCTTCTCCTGTTCTTTCACCTATTCCTTACACACTGAGGAAAACCTAGACAGGTTTTGAATGCCAGACCTCAGAAAGTTAACAAAAGCTTCATTTATTTGCCCTGTTGGCAAGTCACTGTTATGGCTTTCAAAGTGCTGCATTCCCCTTTTTGTTAGAACCTGAATACTTGTGACTATTCAGAAAACAGATCTGAGAACACAGAGCACAATATAAATAGCAGAATAACACAAAAAAAGCTCAACAGCTGCCATTGTAGATCAGCACAATGAAAAAGCTTCAAAGGAAAATGTGTTTCATTTTGTTTTGCCACCTGAATGGTCACATACCTCAAATACAATAATGAAAGCCAACCGTGCTGCTAAGACGTGCCAGAACTGCAGCGTGTAACCATAGGGCACTGGGGAGTGAGGAGGGTCTCTGTAGTCCCTGTATCTGAAAGGCAAGCAGAGTACAGTAGTTAGAAAACTCCTGCCCTGCTGGCTGGGAGGAAGGCAAAGCCAAAGCCCAACTGCTCTTGTTCGTTGCATTTTCTGCTTACTTCTTAGGCTGGGCTACACTGACACTTCATTTCAGATCAGGTGAATGCTTTTGGAGCAAATGTCCTGATCACCCCCACTTGCCATGCTTTGGTTCACCCAAATGGGTTTGTCTCAGATGAAATATAGTGGTAAGGTGCACTTCAGGTACTAATGGAAATTCAGTGCAAATGACCAAGCCAATGCCTGTATGAAGTGAAACTGCTGAACCAAATACAGAAGATGTGGGGTGCTCAGCACCAGCACTTTGACCCTACAGCATTTCCTTTGGCCATGCAACATGTGCCTTGCAGGCACCTCCTCAGAACGTGGAGCAGGGTAGGATGCCCTGCTGTTTTCAGGGCCACTTTCTTCCCACTACAAGGTAATTTCATCAGCCTGACAGCCCTCCCAAAATCCAGATGAAACTGCCTCGGGGGCTCCATCTGGCCCTCGGTCAATTAGTTGGCTATCCCTGGCATAAAGCATGACTCATCCTGACTTTAGTGGAGACAGAACTGTTCTTCTTGGTATGCCAACAGGCAAGGGCTGTGTAAGAAAAGGATGTAGTGCCTTGTCTCACAGAATGTTTCTTTAAAGACTTTAGGTCTCAATGACATAACTAGAGATGTTTTAGCAGAATTGAGGTGGGTTGACTAGCTGATAAACTCAGCTAAAGAAAGATGTTCATTTTCTTTCAGGTTAGAGATACATAACAATTCAGTGTCCCCCAAGAGAACAGATTTATCTTCTGGAGATTTATGACACCAATTTTAAGTGTTCCGTTTTGGGGATATTGAAGGGACAACATTTTTATTTATGGGATTTCCACCATCAGCTTTAAGTAGCAGCAACCTCATGCTTGAAGTTGGGGAAGAAAGGAATTAAAGAGGGGGAAGAGAATGATCAGAATTACAATACATTATTAAATGGCGCTATGGCAAACAATGTGGAATGAAGTATTACAGAATCACAGAATCCTAAGGGTTGGAAGGGACCTCAAAAGGTCATCTAGGCCAACCCTCCTGCAAGAGCAGGGTAACATAGGGTACATTACACAGGAACTTGTCCAGGCAGGCCTTGAATATCTCCAATGTAGGAGACTCCACAACCCCCCTGGGCAACCTCTTCCAGTGCTCTGTCACTCTCACAGTAAAGAAATTTTTCCTGATGTTCACATGGAACCTCCTGTGCTTCAGTTTAGACCCACTGCCCCTTGTCCTATCACTGGACATCACTGAAAAAAACCTAGCTCCATCATCCTGACACTCACCCTTTACATATTTGTAAACATTGATGAGGTCACCCCTCAGTCTCCTCTTCTCCAAGCTGAAGAGTCCCAGCTCCCTCAGCCTCTCCTCATAAGAGAGATGTTCCATTCCCTTAATCATCTTTGTGGCTCTGCGCTGGACTCTTTCAAGCAATTCCCTGCCCTTCTTGAACTGTGGGGCCCGGAACTGGACACAATATTCCAGATGCGGCCTCACCAAGGCAGAGTAGAGGGGAAGGAGAACCTCTCTTGACCTACTAACCACACCCTTTCTAATGCACCCTAGGATGCCATTGGCCTTCTTGGCCACAAGGGCACATTGCTGGCTTATGGTCATCCCCCTATCCACCAGGACCCCCAGGTCCCTTTCCCCTTCACTACTGCCCAGCAGGTCAGCCCCCAACCTGTACTGGTACATGGGGTTGTTCTTCCCCAGATGCAAGACTCTACACTTGCCCTTGTTGAATTTCATCAAGTTTCTTCCCGCCCAACTCTCCAGCCTGTCCACGTTTCGCTGAATGTCAACACAGCCCTCTGGTGTGTCAGCCACTCCTCCCAGTTTAGTATCATCAGCAAACTTGCTGAGGGTACATTCAGCTCCCTCATCCAGGTCGTTGATGAAAATATTAAACAACACTGGTGCCAGCACAGACCCCTGAGGGACTCCACTGGTCACAGACCTCCAGCTAGATTCTGCCCCATTAACCACAACTCTCTGCCTTCTCCCTTCCAACCAGTTCTTGATCCACCTCACTACCTGACCATCAAGCCCACACTTCCTTAGCTTATCTATGAGGATGCTGTGGGAGACAGTATCAAATGCCTTACTGAAATCAAGAAAAAACACATCTACCGCTCTACCATCATCCATCCACCTAGTTACTTGCTCATAGAAGGCTATAAGGTTGGTCAAACATGACTTCCCCTTGGTAAAGCCATGTTGGCTGCTCTTAATGAGCCCCTCATCCTTGATATGTCTAGAGATGGTGTCAAGAATAAGTTGTTCCATCACCTTTCCAGGGATGGAGGTAAGGCTGACCGGTCTATAGTTACCCGGGTCCTCCTTCTTGCCCTTCTTATAGACTGGCGTGACATTTGCCATCCTCCAATCCTCAGGCACCTCTCCTGTTTCCCACGACTTACCAAAGATGATGGAGAGTGGCTTAGCAATGACCTCCGCCAGCTCCCTCAGCACCCGTGGGTGTATTCCATCTGGACCCATCAATTTATAGATGTCCAGATTACTTAACTGATCCCTAACCCAATCCTCATCTACCAAAGCAAACTCCTCCTTTACCCTGACTCCTTCCGGGGCTATAGGAATCTGGGTCCTCCGGGGAGAGTCTGCAGGAGTAAAGACAGAGGCAAAGAAGGCATTCAACACCTCTGCCTTCTTTATATCCTCTGTCTCCAGGGCACCCACCTCATTCAGCAGTGGGCCTATACTGCTTCTTGTGTTAGTTTTATTTGCTATGTATTTGAAGAAGCCCTTTCTATTGTCCTTGACCAGACTTGCCAGATTAAGTTCCAAGGAGGCCTTAGCTGTCCTAATTGCTTCCCTACATCCTCTAACAGCTGTCCTATATTCCTCCCAAGTGGCCAGCCCCTCCTTCCATAATCCATAGATTCTCTTTTTCCGTATGAGTTTGCCCAGCAGTTCCTTGTTTAACCATGCTGGTCTCCTGGCTCCCCTACTTGACTTCCTACTCATTGAGACACTCTGATCCTGAGCTTTGAAGAAGTGGTCCTTGAATGCTCACCAACTATCTTGAGCCCCTTTACTGCCTAGTACCCTTTGCCATGATACTTCCCTTAGCAATTGATTGAAGAGGCCAAAGTTTGCCCTTCGGAAATCCAGAAATGTGGCCTTGCTAGGTATTCTATTCCTCCCACACAGGATCCTAAACTCCACCACCTCATGGTCACTGCAGCCCAGGCTGCCATTGACTGTCACTACTTCAACCAGACCCTCCTTGTTGGTGAGTACCAGATCCAGCAGCTCTCCTCTCCCAGTTGGTTCACCCACCATTTGCATTAAGAAGTTATCAATGCACTGGAGGAACCTCCTAGACTGTGAATGACTGGCTGCGTAGGTCTTCCAGCAAATATAGGGGTAGTTAAAATCCCCCATAAGGACCAAGGCATGTAGTTGTGAGGCTGCTTTCAATTGCCTGTAGAAAGCCTCATCAACTCCTTCGTCCTGATCAGGAGGTCTATAATAGACCCCCACAGCTGTGCCACCCGTACCAGCCTGTCTCTTAATTCGCACCCACAGACTTTCCACTTGGTCCTCATCTGCCCCTGGACAGAACTCAATACATTCTAGTCGCTCTTTCACATAAAGAGCAACTCCACCACCTCGCTTTGCTGACCTATCTTTCCTAAAAAGGACATAGCCATCCATAACCACATTCCAGTCATGTGAGCTGTCCCACCATGTCTCTGTAATTGCCACCAGGTCATAACCTTTAGACCGCACACAGACTTCTAACTCCTCCTGTTTATTCCCCATGCTGCGTGCACTGGTGTACAGGCATTTCAGGGAGTGAGCAGAGCACGCTAGTAGCACCCTTGGAAGGCGGGAGGCCTTCTGGTCTTCATTCATACTAGAATATTGCCCCACTAATTCAAACCCAGCTACAACCCCCTCGCACTTTGAATCTAACTTAGAGCTCTGTGAGTGAGCTCTACTAACTCTTGCCCAGGTACCCTGTTTCCCCTGCAGGACAGGGTTTAAACAACTACCCTTTCCCTCAAATGAAACAATAGATTGAGAGTTCTCCCTAGTCTGCCATCCTTCAAGCCCTAAAGTATTCTCACTGTGGTTCTGCTCCATAGAAAATGTTATCTATGAATTCAACAGTGCGATGTTCTTTTTGCCAAATAAATTGCAACAGTCCTCGATATCTGTTAATTAAATGAAAACATTAATGCCATATCCCACCCCACCCCTGTTCATTATGCTATGCCACTCAAACATTATTATTAATGAAAATGTCACAATATCACAAAGTATCACTGATTTGTTCTGTATCACAGTATATCTTTTGTTCTTTTCTTCTTTAGGCACTCATGAAAAGATATTTTAATTCTTCATGGTGAGAAATACTGGGACCAAGTGTATCTGCAGCTACCAAGACCCATGCTTGCAAACCAATGTTGCGTTAAAAAAATGGTAGCTGTATTTTTTGTTTGGTGTTTTTGGTTGGGACCTAATTTAAGACCTCTATGCAGATCATTGATTCTTTGGATCACTTAAATCAATCAGGTGCAAATTTATCATTACAGAGCAGTCTCAGACTGCTACTTCTCCAGTCTGTTGGCTGAGGACAAAGATAATTAACTGCTAATTTTATTTTGATTCAAACCACAAGTATATGAGTATTACTAATACTTGCACCTGTAAGCAATGACATAAACATATTATCCATTCAACAATTAGGAAGTGCCAGATTTGAGGTTTCATAAATGTAGCTTAGGACAGACCCTGTGAACTAACTCAGTGTGCAACCTTGGCTTGTGCTATGATATAACTTGATTAAAGTTTCATCTCACTGGTACCTAAGTAACCAGTCACCTATTACTGGCCATTTAATACTGTGTTTCCCCATGATGGCTCTGTGCGATTCAAGCCATGTCACCACAGAAATACTGCATCAGGAACACCTGCCAGATATTTTTGGCCTTTTCTGTATCAAAGGAAGGAATTAGCAGAATCCTGAGCATGTGTCTGAACAGCACATGTAATTCTTTCCATTACTGTTTTTTAAGTTCTGAAAACTAGTTCCAACCCCAATTTTATCCCAATGCTTCTCCCTTGCAATGAGTTATTTTGATCAGATACTTACCTGCAATATTTTAATGGCGTACCAGAGAATTCGCTTCCATTTGATGTTGGCTCCGAACGGTTCTCAAAGTCAGACACCAGAAATACTGATAAACTGGCATTAACATACCCAACCATACACCTAGAAGGTGAAAAAATCCTGTAGTCAGGATACAGAAAGGTTTTTCTATTAACTGTTGTAATCAGGAGGATATTCTCTGGGTTTCATGAAATCACAGTATAACTGCGATGCTTATTAATATCTGAAAAAGATGTTGAGGTGATATAAAAGAGATGCTCAAGTAGGTCAGATGGACAATAAAAGTGAAGCAATGATAGGTTTCTGTAGGAGAAGAAATGGTGAAGCCTGGGACTGGTTACTTTTGAAGAGAAAAGTCACCTAATAGGTGACAAAGTAGAAGTAGAGAAAATAATGAGTAGCACTTGGAAGATAGAATATTCCCACTGTTACCCTCATGGTATTATCACAAAGGGACATCAAATCAGATGGAAGGCAATACACTTAAAACAGCTTTTTACAAAATGTCCAGTTAATCAGAGGAATGCAGTACTAAGATCTCAGGGTGGCTGAGCACTGGGTCAGATAGAGTTTGGAGAACACTGAGTAGGAGAATGTACGTTGAAGGGCTGTGAGAGTCACTAGAAGACTCAAGTATGGTGTTAATAAAGCTGAGGAGAGAGATTGCAAGCAAATTGTGCTGCTAATTCTGCACTGCCCAAGCACAAGTAAGTCGTGGCACACTGCTCAGCTTGCTGCAGAGTACAGTGAACAGAAAGGGAGAAACGGTTGGGGCTTTTTGTTTTTGTTTGTTGGGTTTTGTCTGGTTGTTTTTTTTTTAACCTATGGATTTTAGTCTTTGAGAAATTCCATGTAGACACCATCTGGCATTGCCCTGAAATTTCCATACTGATTGGATTTGGAACTTTATTTAATTACAATGTTTTTCTGTCATTACTGGGTGTCATATACATCTAATACCTTTTTTGAAAGAAAGAAACACCTGCCTCAAGTTATTCAATAGCAGACGTTCTTGACTCCTTAATTTGAGAAAACTCATTATGCCTGTGGTTTTTGAATAGCTTCTGGCTTTTTTAACAGCGCTTATTAATAATAATATCCAGAACGCTGACATAGATAGTTTTTATCCAGGTTGGCTTCTTCAAAGAATTACTACCTAATGGTTTCATCTAGAAATCCAGAAAAGCAGCAAAAGTGTGGAAACACTGTACAAGAGGTTTTTTGAAAAGATGGTAAGAGCTTCCGCTCTGAGCCAAGCTACTTCCCCTGTGCTGAGCTAGTTTCAAAACTGCTGAGTCATATCTGAGTCTTCATAAAAATAAAATTTCTAAAGGTGGCTTTTTGTTTTCATGCACAGTGGTCCTGAGAAAATCATTAGCAAGGAAAGTTGCTGACAGTACCTCAATGTCTTATGGATCTTCATAATGGTACAAGCAGAGGTACATTCTCAGGAATTACTGGTGCCAGACCAAACACTTTAGCGAAGGTACTTTAGCTCTTCATGAAAATAAATGGAACAGTTCCCTTGCCAGCTAAAATGCCAAAGTCACAGAATCACAGAATAGTTAAGGTTGGAAAGAACCTTAAGAATATCTATTTCCAACCCCCCTGCCATGGGCAGGGACACCTCACTTTAAACCATCTCACCCAAGGCTCTGTCCAACCTGGCTTTGAACACTGCCAGGGATGGAGCGTTTACCACTTCTTTGGGCAACCCATTCCAGTGCCTCACCACCCTCACAGTAAATAACTTCTTCCTTATATCTAACCTGAACTTCCTCTGTTTAAGTTTTAACCCATCACCCCTTGTCGTGTCAGTACAGTCCCTAATGAAGAAGAGTCCACTCCCAGCATCCCTATAGGCCCCCTTCAGATACTGGAAGGCTGCTATGAGGTCTCCATGCAGCCTTCTCTTCTCCAGGCTGAACAGCCCCAACTTTCTCAGCCCGTCTTCATACGGGAGGTGCTCCAGTCCCCTGATCATCCTCATGGCCCTCCTCTGCACTTGTTCCAACAGTTCCATGTCCTTTTTATGTTGAGGACACCAGAACTGTGCACAGTGCTCAAAATGGGGTCTCAAAAGTGTGACTTGCTGGTCACGCTCCTTTTGTTGCAGCCCAGGATACAGTTGGCTTCTGGCCTGCAAGTGCACACTGAAGCCAGCTCATGTTCAGTTTCTTGTTGACCAAAACCACCAAGTCCTTCTCTGCAGGGCTGCTCTGAATCACTTCTCCACCTAATCTGTAGCTGTGCTGGGATTACCCTGACTCAGGTGTAGGACCTTGCACTTGGCATGGTTAAACTTCATGAGGCTGGCATCAGCCCACCTCACAAGCGTGTCAAGGTCCCTCTGGATGGCATTCCTTCCCTCCAGTGTATCAACTGAACCACACAGATTAGTGTTGTTGGTAAACTTGCTGACAGGATCCTTGCAGGACAGCAAATTAGCAGCACTGCTAATCAAGAGTTGCCACGCCAGCTGCCCTTCTTCCATCAGTATGATTAAACAGTATTGACAACCAAAATGTGGCAAAAAAGCAGCAACAGAAGAACTTACTCTCTGTAGCAGGGAAAAAAAATTGATCTGCCATATGTCTAACAGCAGAATGTAAGCTCTCCATTAATGTCTACTGTTTAGCTTGGGTTTCCTTGAACAGTAGGGTCCTTGCTAATGAAACTGCTAGGAGATAATTTGCAAAATATGCCTATGCCTGTTCAGCTGGATTCAATGACCTTCCTTGAGTCCAACAGCCTAGATTGTACAAGTAGCGTGCACACACTAATATAATCACAGTGTTTAGCAACACTGAAAGAAAATCCACTTAGGCAGCAGGGATTCAGTTCACAAATGTCTGCTGACATGAGGACTCTAGTTTTAGAAGAAAACCAAATTATGTTGGTCCATAAGTACGTCTTGATTTGCTAGTTGAGAATTGCTTCCTTACTTTTTCTGAACAATACATGGTGAATAGCACAACTGGAAAAAAAATCCTAGTGGACAAGTTTAAAATGCTCATTAAACCCATAACTGATAAATATCAGCATTGCTTCAGAATGATAAGAAGGTTATATTCATGTACACTGGCTGAGAAGTGCAGCTTGTGCAGCATACTGTTATACACACCTAATCTCTGTAACAGCTCTGGCGTGTTTTCTTTGAATTAACCTCATAAATTCTAGTCAGTCAGCAACCCACCCTGTGAATACACAGAGCATCAATATCTATGGCTGATAACTGTTACCTAAGCACAACAATAAATTTGGGTTAGTGGAATCAGCAGAATCACAGACAGTACAACTGTATCTATAGAAGCAGTAAGTGATTTTCATGGGCATCTGTTTTCCCAAAGAAAAGCTTACTTTTGTCCAGCTTCTCCTTGGCCAGCACAAGGTCCATACTTGTAAGCATAAACAAGGCGAGGGATGAAATCTGATGTCACAGCTATGACGAATGCATTTGTGATAACAGAAAGAATTCCAATGCCTTCCAGGATCCCGTACCAGATTCCTGTTCAACAAGGAGGGTATGTTACTCCAGGAAAAACAAAAACCAAAGTGTCTGAGACACTGCATGCTCTGAAGCACTTGTCCCCACCACCCAAAGTCTTTTAATTTCCATCTGAGCATCACTGAGTAAAAATAATTGTTCTTACTGAACAGCAAGACTTCAGTGGACCAGATTTCTGTTCCCACTGGGTGGGAACTTTGTTGATCCTGTAAATAATCTCAAGGAACCTGCAAAAATGCTTATGGAGGCTTTGAGCCACATAACCACGTGGGTGGTTATAAGAAATACTGTAATACTCCCTGGTTATGATTATAGCTACCCAGTCTTTGAGGAGGGTCTGCCAGGTCAGCCATGAACATATGCAATCCATGATCTACCTATCACAGGCACCTTCTGTGTAACTCGTGCTCAGCTGGTCAGCATGTACTTACTGGCAACAAAATTTTCACGGCATCCTAATGCTATACAATGGCACACAGCCCCTAGGCATCACCTGGGCTTTTTGGCTCATCCTCAGTCATCTGACAGGTATGTGGTCCAGGCACACACAGCAACTCTGGTCATGAGGACCATCAATGAGAAACACATCAAAGGCAGGCTAGACATAGCCATTGATTTTAATGAGGCATCAAGCTGTCCCTGAGAACTTAGCTGAATAGGAAGTGAATGCAGCTTACTCTGAGAAAGCACACCTGAATCAGCCTGAAAAATATATGTATTTTTCTGTGCTTTTATTATTTACATTATATAACTTTTTTTTTCAGAGATTATGACTGCAGTGTATGCTGTGTACTGGCTTATGTCCAGATTTGTACCTAAACTCACAGATTCACACTGCTCACATAAAAAAACTTTACTCAGACACAGACTTCAGGTATACATTCTGGGAGCACAAAGTGTGGGTTTCTGCTATTTCAAGGTGTGGGCTACTGGTTTTTGCAATGCAGATGGGCAGTGAGGTATTCTATTTACCCCTCCACAGACACAAGTTATTCAGTGTTTGGCAGATGACTTGGTTTCACAGAGTCCTTCCTAAAGGTGTTCTGCTTTTGCAGACTACAAGGACAGATGTATAGTCAAAATATGTACAGAGAGCCCTTGAGGTAGTGTGTGGCTGTGTGACCTCTAAGTTATGTGAACCCTGTATTTAGCAGTGTAGGTGCACCTCACTGAGAGCAAGCTGTTGCTTGAGATATAGACCCACCCTGTTTGACCCATCAGTGACCCAGGGGACATACCCCTAAGACTCAGGGGGGGGGGGCTTGGTTTTGGCCAGGTGAACAGAAACCACACAGGTCCCTTGCAGAAGGGTGGCTGCTTTAACTTGACTTTCATGTTTCAGCTGCTCTGTCTGGTTATTATGTTCAAACTGAGCAGTGGCATGTGTTCACACAGTGTGTCTGCCACAAGGAAAAGCCTGCAGAGAACACTGCTCACTTCATTAAAACATCCTGGCTGTTAAGTCATCCAGGAAATAACTAAAAGACATTTTCCAATATAGACTCTTGATTGCATAAGTAGATTGGCATCAGATACTTGAAGCTGACTTAACACAAATTGTGTGTTGTTAATAGGAAAGATGACTGAAAATAAGTTAATGTGCTCTTATTTGAAGCTTTCAGTGCTTTGCCTTGAAAGTAACATACACACGTAACAAATACACATACAAAGAACTCACCTATGTCTTTGGCTCTTGAAGCTAAAGGTCTTCTCCACTGGGTAACAAATTTGTATGCATCAAGCCTAATTTCAATAATATTGTTAAGTAAGGCCAGGAGTGGTGCCAGTGGAAAAGCTGCCACAAAAATGGTTGTGAACCCAAACTGAAGAACTAGAAAACAAAGGAAAGGTCACATTGTAACTGTTAAGTTCTAATCCAAGGAGTAAGACACCAAATAAAATAAGCATACAAACATTATGTATAAATATACAAACATTTCTTATTATGCCATACCACACAATAGTCTAGTGACACTTGTACAGCAATCCCTTGTCCAAAGTTCAGAACAGGACGACAAGAACAAAGACATTTTGTTCTTAGGATGCATAGCAACATCTAGATTTTGTAATGTGGGGCTTGGCCAAGTTTGTAGGTGGACAAACTACTTTTAGAAAGGGACTTTTTTACACCAGCGTCGACTAGGGTGTCTCAATACCTGTAAAGATTAGGGCTGAATACCTTTCTTTATATAGTACAGATGGGCAGCACTTTGAAGCTTTGTGTAAGTTTCTAGAGGCAGGTTTTTAGACTGTCAAATTTCCCATTAATTCAAAAAAAATTGTGTGAGGGAGAAAAGAAAAAAGCATCACATCGGTTCAGTCACAGAGGGCAAAAGTTCTTGTTCTTTAACATTACTTTGAGCAGTAACTTTGAGCAATTACCCTCTGATCTGTACATCTTTAGCTTCATACAGCGATAATTAAAAGAATACATCAGCCCACACCAACAGGAAAGCACCAACATTAAAATCCAGTGAAAGAGAGAGAACAAAGGTCAGTGCCATACTCATTTCTAGGTATTCATCAAAGAGTCCATAAGCATTCATAGGTTGCAGATTGTAGTCCTTTTCCCACTGTGGGAAGCTTGTTTTTCTCTGTGTGCCGTACTCTTGTCGTAGTTTTCTCCTGGTCCACCAGTTTTGAATTAGTCTACATTTTCAAATAAAGAAACAAGGTAAATTATATTAGTGGCTATCACAGAATTGGAAAAGGCTTAGTGTGCACAAAATATCTTGCAAAATTAATTTCCAAATGCATAGGAAAAATAGAGCATTATTAATACATGTGGCTGACGACATGGCATAATAGGTACGAAAACATTTACGGCTGATGTGCTGCAATCCAGGCCTAGGAGCTGTTGAAGTGGTGAAGGGAACCCAGGACAGACATCTTTTCATTATTTATTTACCTTCCCTTTTTCTACACAGAACAGAAAATTGTTTCAGGGCCTTTTTATATGGCAGAATGCTGTGTGGAGATAGTTGAGTTATAATTGAGAAATCAGTAAATACAGCGCTAATGCTGCTTGATCCCTTCCTGTGTGTGAGCCAACATCTCTACACAGCTCTACAGTATGAAGAATAATAGTCCTCAGGCAATCCTGGAAGGGAAAAAGCAACCTTGAATAGTGTCTGCAGCCAAATATTCAGGGGATTGAAAGGCAGAAAGAAGTGTGTGGACTGCTGACAACACTTGGTGGCCAATAGAGGTTTATGGCTCACATGAGAGCTATCTCCATCTCAAGAAATGGGGGAGCTGTACTGGACTTCAGGGGGAAATTAATGTTTCTGAAGAAACATGTGTAGGGCACCATGGGAAGCGCTAAGCCAGAAGAGTAATGAGTGCTCACATTCGAAATATACATCTTTGCCTTACCAGGATAGGGAGTTGCACTGGTTTGGCCAGCAAATAACATGAATCACAGCTAATATGGATAAGAAAAAAAAAAGAAAAAAGACAGAGATTTTCTGTAAAGTTGTGGTTGGCCCCTTCATCTCAGCAAGATAGAGGATGATGGCTCACCCAAATAATTCAGTGACACTGAATTATTTCCCTGACACTGCCTTGCTTCTTGCCTTCACAGTGGTCTGGTCTGAAGAGCAGGCAAATGAACATTGGGTTTGGATGAGAGTTTGGCCAATTGCTTGTTTTCTTAAAGCTTAGAGATTATTTCTCCTTTCAAGCCATTTATCAGAGAGGTTATAGCTTTTTCTGTCTTCCTTAAAGAAGTGTAGGTGTAACTGAGTGCAGGACATTAAAATCTAGAGTTTAGAAGTGCAAGAAAAAGCTGTAGAAGTAGAAGCATGGATTTCAAGCCAAAATTTGTAAGTACTAGAAATTATTAAAATATTTGGTTTTAACACCTCACAGCCGGTCACTAATGTGTAAAAAGCCTAAAAAGACCTTTCCTGTGAACGACCACAGTTGTGATTGATGAACTGTGGGATAGTTAAGGGCACATCTTTGCAGTCCACAGCACCCTTTGGGACTTGGTCTTTCTTGTTCTACCCATGACAAAGTGGGAGGGCTGAGACTTGAATTCCTGCAAAGGCAGCAAATTGAGGGGTGAGGTGCATGTGAGACCAATACATTGAGACAGATACTGGTTAACTTCCTCCTTTGTGAGAAGGGAAACCTGTAACCAGTGTTACAAAATACCCAAGGCTCCTAGTAAAATTCAAAGAAGTGTCATTTTCTGATTTATGTGGGAGCAAAATGTGAGTAACACAACGTAATATGGTTTTAATATGGGTATATGTTCTTCTTCCAAGGAAAATATCAGCTTGGAATTGCAGTTTTCCACCTCCAAATGAAGCGATAATTTATACTTGGTTTCTTAAGTTATTGCAAATGTATCTGTACAGGAGAGGAGAACTGATGCATGCTATCAGAGGCTTTGAGGTGGTGTTTGTATGAAGCGGAACCACTCTCACATGCCAGAATTTGTATTAAAAAAGTAAACATTAAACAACTGATCCTCTAGCACAAAACCTAGGTCCTCTCTTTGGTATCTTTGCAACCTAGTTTTTTAACTTTCAGATAGAAATTTCAGAGAAGACAATGTCACATGTATAGCATTGCCACATAACAGCAGCTACTGGGGTTCCTGTCACTGAGAAGTGCCTTTTCCCTCCACAGGACCGAAGAGATGCAGGCAGCACATGCCTGTATCAGAACTGGGCTGCCACTCTGAAATGGTGTAAAAAACCTCTTCAAGACAGGCTACTGGTGCTTCTCTCCTAGGGCTGTCTTACTGGGAAATATTCCCTGCTATAAGCTTTTGAGCTCTGGCACTGTGCAGTGCTGGCTCTGCCTGGGTCTCAGCAGGAAATAGCCAGCACATGTGTGGAGGCACAGTGATGTTCTACAACAGACTATATGATTGCCTCCAAATCGTCTGGCTGTCCACATGGTATTGGCTCTGATCATGCTCTTAGCAGGGATGATCTTTGGGTTTTTTTCCAAACAAAAAGGATATGCACTTGCCTGCAGCATTTCAGGGCTAGAAGATGGAATGAAAGGTCTGAAGAGTAAACATAAATTGAAGTATCTCACGCTGTTGTGACTGTTTATGTGTTGTGATTTTCATTGGAACTCTAAAGAGAAGCAGTTTATTCCTATTAAATCACTTGTTCTTAAACAATCTCCTTCTATCTCCTTCAGTCACCTTCTCTAATCCCTTTCTGTGCTCTTTATTAGGTTTCAAAATCCCTATTAATAGGTAGCAGAAAGCTCTAATGAGAACTGACAAAAGAGGCAGGAGTAGAAAGAGAGGATCGATACTGTTGCTGCTGCTGTTCCCTCCTCCTTACCCCAACTAATTCCTCCAGCCCTAACTGCTGCAAAATCCTGGCAAGCATTGCCAGGCACAAACCTGGAAAGACAGAGAGATTACAACCTTTGAGTATCTCGACTGCCAATTACTCTGCATTTAAACCATTTACTCTGTTCTCATTACAGCCAGATGTGATCAGAACTGAGGCTGCCTGAAATTAGTTCTGCAACATGTTTCTGTAGTTCAGGGACCAAACTCTGCACTAGCTCTGCTGTGGATCCTGCCATGAAGCAGATCCCTCTGAACTTTGCAAGGGCAAATTTCTGATAATGTCAGCTCTCTGATATTTTTACACTTGCTAATTTCTGTTGATGACTTGTCACACTGCCTCTAGCATCAACTGTCTGTATTAATCATATTAAACATGCTCACTAAATACTAATCAATAAGAAACCAATAGGAAATGACTGTCAGCCCCTTTAGCTAGGGCACAGATACAGTACATTTTTCTATCTCTGCAAGTGTGTCTCTGCAGCTCTGCCAGCCATGCATTCTTCCAATTCATACCTGCCCTTTCAGGCATCTTTTATCACCCGGTAAGGAGAAATCCAATTTAGAACTTCCTGGCATAGCTAAAAAATAATACATACAATATTTCCTGCGTAAGGAATACAGACCTATGGTTAAAGAGTTTTAAAACATGGAATGCAATTTTACGAAATGAAGTACTTCCCATATATTATCTAGTTCCACCTCCCAGGAATGGGGACTGTATCTTGCTTTTACATAAGTGGTCATAAGAAAAGCATAAACTTAGTATTCTTCTGTGACCTACAAAAGCATAGGCATTATATTTACTTACGGGTAGCCCAGTTCCATGAAATTATTCCAGGTCTGCTTTAACACCATTATAATACCCATCTGCATACAAAGATCAATAAGGCATCCACTAGGGTGGCACTACAGAAAAAAAGAAACAAAAGGTTAAACAGAAACAGTTTCAAAGCATTTCTTTGAGACTAGAAATGGATATTAGCTAATTTACTTAAAGGAAATTAAATGCCATTCTCTTCCTATTTTTTATTAATATAAACTCATGGGAACATATGAGACTATACCATACCATCAGCCTTTTAAGCCTATAATCTAATTCTCTGCAGAAGTCAGAATCAGATGAAACCAGTGCAGATTTCACATTAGTGCCTCTAATATGTGGTGAAATGGTGAGTGGGACAGAGGCAGAGGATACCAAGCTTCTCTAATGATTTCAATAGTACTGGGGGAGGTTTGCTGCATCATCAAAGAATGAAGACAAAATTCCTCCTGTCAGCACAGGCAAACAGTTTCTCTCTAGAGGATAGACCTAATACTGTTTGTTGAGTACTATTTAAGGTATATGACTGAGTAGCCCCTGCAAAGCTATTCTTTCTTGAACAACAGTTAAGCACTCCTGCTGCTTGCTTGCTTGCTTTAGCAGGGGCTCCAGACCTTAAAGAAGTGGTGCTGCATTCTTGGAGATGCTCAGATAGCACTAAATTACGTTATCCCACAATATAACCTGAGAGAGATAGGTGCAGTATTAATGAAGTAGCAGTGATGCTTGTAGAAACATCACTAACAAATAAATTGTGTAGATACTCCACAGACACTGGACTAGACTGTATCACATCATTAAGTGTCTTAGACTTGGCTTCATCCAACAGGTGAAGAGAGGGCTATTGGAGGTATATCTGGGCATTATATTCTAAACTATGCTCCTAATACGACCTAGCACAGATATGGCCAATAAAGTTAAGATTTTTTTAATTAAACATTTATTTTATTATTAGACTTCTTTTTTTCCTCTGAGAAAAGCAAAACAGTAACTTCCCCCAGCAACTGACCCAACTTGTATCACCTTGCTGTTGCACTTCCCTCCCAAACCCAGTTTTTTCTTCCTCCTATCTGTGCTCCTGCAGAGAGATGAGGTTCTTTCCCTGTTCTCTGATCCCTCTGTGAGATGATTCAGACCAGTAATCCATCAGAAAACTAATTCAGCCAGAAAAAAAGAGTTCCCTGCTGATACCGGGAACTGAATATGCTCCTCACATGGTTGGATAAGCCAGAGCAAGTGCAGGGGAAATGGAAGGAGCAAACTTCTGGGGCAAGGCTCAAAGGAAGAGCAGAACTATCTCCTTTTGGCAGCAGCAAGCTGTTAGGTCAGCTCAGCCCCTCTAAGACTTTGGAGCAATATTGAGTGAATTTCTGTCTGCCCATTTATCAAGTATTCTTTTTTTTTTTTTTTTTTTTTTTTTGAGTTTACAGAATTCACTACTTCAAAATTAGGATGGCTTTTTCAAATCATTCATTTTTGCTAGCATTTGGATGACCTCTATTAACCAAAATATTTTATCTGGAAGTGTTTGTAAATTCATGATGGCAATGTAAGACCTGTATTTCTCACTTGCCTTTTGTCATTTACTTGAAAATTTGTTTCAGTTGTTTAGAGTTGTTTAGTTGTGAAGCAGGAAAGAAACCATAGGATTTGGATGTGCGAATTGCAGCCCTGAAAACTACATGTCTGGTCCAGAAACTGCTGCTGTTCACCTCCAGTAACTGTCAAATGGGTTTTGAATTCTGAATGTATTTGCCAAAAAATTGTGGCTGGTTCTTGAGTGACTTGCAATGCCAACCTCTCATTACTCTCCAACTACATTTGGTTTTATAGACGTGGAAGATTATGCCAGTAGCTCTTGTGGGAAGTTCAGTTGTTTTGGTCAAGTTTCAAGTATATTTTATGTGTGTGGGTGTCCTGGCTTCAGCTGTAACAGGTATTTTTCTCCTTAATAGCTAGTGCTAAGTTATTAGTTTATTATTTTAGCTCCCTGGTCAGCAAGGCTAGAAAAGCTGAGAAGAAAGGGTTTTGTTAAAAGCAACATATTGTTAGTTTTGTATCTAACTTTGATTTATTTCAAGGATGAAATATTTCCAGTGTAAAAGTGTGACTAATGTTTAAACCATTTGATACCACTATCCAAATGTCATGCACACACTAAAACTGCTAATATTGAAAAGGGTGTGTATATCAATATGTAGATGTTTTTGTAGCAAAAGGTATCATCAGCAGTGTGGAGTTAGCAAGCAAAAACTCAGTAACAGACTCAAAAATACCTAGACAGTTATGTGTCTTCCTCTACTTGCATTTATTGCTTCTGTGTGCAGCAGATAAATCAGTGTGTAGCTAGCAAACACTCACCTCTTCCAGTCTCCACCGGTTTATCAGCCTTAAGTAGGCACCAGGGTGTCCTGTAAATCTTTAACAGAGGAATATGCATCAACTATATTTGTAAGCAGTCTGTTCACAGCAGTAGAAGAAAGCTCACACTGTAATCTTAATCTAATGTTACCTTAGAATGATTGATAAATCTATAAGAGATCTTATGCTGTAAAACATTTTGGGGGTTTCCTGGAATAATTTCCATGAAAGGCTAAGTGTATTTTTACTTCCAATTTTATTTCAATACCAAATACCCTGCACTTGGATATTCAGCTTATGCAGAAAAGAGAGAAAATCTGGATAAAACTGTTCATATCAGTTTGGAAAATGGCTTTCAACTGCCAGTCCATTTTCTTATACCTTAATCCGGGTTGTGATATCCCGCCTTTCTGTGAAATCAATGAAAATATTAGTTTTCGTTATTTTTCTCCTTTTTTTTTCTCCCCAAATGGTTTCCACATACAAATAAACTACACTGATGAATTCTTCTAGTCAAGCTTTCTCTATTCAAAGGCTCTTCACTTGATTTTAAGGGACTTGCAGAGGATTACAAATAAATATATATTTCATTTTCTGTCAGAAAAAAAACAACTGATAGCTCATAATTCAATCTTAACAGTCCAAACAATGTAATAGAAGCAGAAAAATATTCAGGCAGTTGGATTAGATGATATTGTAGGTCCTTTTCAATTGAATTATTCTATTCTTTCCTGAAAGAAAAAGACACAGTGTTATTTACTTACCTGTACAAATTACACACGTAAAGACAGAGTGAAGTGACCTGCGTATATTGTATTATGAGATGCATCAGTTCCCAGTAGTGAAATTGTTAAAAGTTAGTACTGAGCCAATGTGAAATGAAAACTGTCTGTTTCTGGGCTTTTGAAAAGAAAAGAAAACTACAATCTCTCCTGCTTTTCTAGTATGGAATTTGCATTTTGAGATGTGCGATTAATATTGCCCCATTTTGTTTCATTACAGACAATTTTATTTCTTTTCTCTACTTCATTTTGTACATATGAGGGTGCAGACATCAATCCTACCTTCCAAGAAAGAATGCTATATAAAAGGTAGAGCTGTTCAGATTGACAAACTGAAAAAGAAACATTTTCAGAGTGAAGCTGTTCTCCCACTCGGATTCAGTACGAGGCTGCTCTGTGAAGAAAGAGAACAGAGTTTCAGATGTTTAATCAGACTAACAATTTCCCTTGGCACAAAGGCTGCACACACCTATCAAACCTGGCAATGTATCTGTAAATTAGCCCGCTGGTTTCAAAATATAAGATGACAGAAGAAATTATATCCAAAAGCAGCACATAGCAAGTGAGCTTGTGAAGACTTAAAAATCTCTTGATATCTGGATATGTATATTCCCAGGAGAGACTGTAAGAAAGTGGTTGGAATAATGTGTATATTAAACATCCTCCTAGGTTCCTGTGTGCTTTACAGGCTCAGGCTCCCCTTGTTCACTTTTCTGCATCCTATCATAATCACATTGCCAGAAAGCACTCCACTACAACTATGGAAGTGCCTTTTTGTTAGAGATGACACACTGAACTGGAGCAAATCCTTCTTTTAATTCCATTAAATGGATTTGCCACCTAAGGACTCTACACAGGTGTCAGTGGAGTGCCATTGCATGACTCCCTTTCCTTGTCCCAGCGAACTCACTGCAGAAAACTGGGAAAAAATATTTTGCAACTGATGGGCTGAGGCCAATGCGAAAGAGGGAAGGCATATTCTTCCCTCTGGGTAGGCCCTAAATCTTCATCTAAGAAGATATTGTGACAGAAATTAACAAAACAACTTCTGCGCCAACACACCAGTACCCTGTCCTGGAACTACTTTACAGCTGGCAGGAGCTTGTTAATAGACAACCATTGCTGTGAATAGGAGCAATCAGAGAAGTGGAGGTGCTAATGGCGATTCTAAATATCATAGTGGTAGTAGTCATATGCTCCTTCCAAAGGAGCCTCCAGGGAAGTACTGGAAATACAGAAACAAACTAGATTCTCTTTAATTAGAGCTGCCCTACCCCTGAGGAAATTTCAAATAGATGCATCAAGAAAACCATAAAACAGACCATAAATTAACAACTGTGTTAATGATTTGCAAATGCTTGTCAAGAAACCCAAGTTCCTGTGTATGCCAGTGCATACATATTTAGTTAAACAGAAAGAAATAAAGCATCTGGGATTTTTTATGTCAGTTTGTGTGAAGGACAAGTTTGACTTTAACAAGGCTGCTGCAGCTGAAGCTGTGCTCATACACCCATCAGAGACAATGGCAACACTCGAGAGTGTGGCCATGAGCTCTGAAAAAGGTCATGTAAAGACTGAAGAAGGACATCCTGAGTGTAGCTTTGCTGCCAGTACCACTCTGAGCTTATTGCACTGATAAAGATCAAACAAACTAAATCAGCTACTTAGGCTGCCAGAGTAAATACCACAAAACAGTCTGAACATGGTCAGAACAGCTTGACCCGCTGAGTTCTTGTACAAGTGCTTTCTGCAGAGTCTAAAAGAAGCAGGCCTATTTCATTTTAAGTGGCAGAAAGTAACCAAGCTTCAAAGTCTCTAGACCATATCTTACTGTTCCCAGGGTGTCACAGGGAGTAAAGGTACAGCCTGTACAAATCACATACTTGAAAGCCTTATTTCTCAACTGTAACTAGCAGGTATCTTTTCCATGGATATAGGATGGCAAAAATATTTTACATCTACAGCAAAAATATGGGGACTCTCAGTTTAATTAGAAAAAATAGAATAAAATGCTATCTTACATAGATGTGCTTTGAACCCATCACCTATGACTTCCCAGATGTAGAAAAGCCCTGACACTATCTAAAGTCAGCTGTTTGTTTCCTCTGAGAGGACACCCAAATCTGTCCATCTGTCCAAAATACCTTTCTGAACATTATCAATGTACACAGGTATCCAGAAGCTCAAAATAACATCCTCAAACCACTTCCACTCAACCACTGGAGCTATAACATGGTTTGCCTAATAGGCCTTCATCAAGAGTCTCATTTCAGGCTTCCTGACACTAAGGAGCACTTGCCAGTTGCCTCCAACTACTGCAGCATGATCAGGATCTTTACAGACTCTGCCTGAACTATGGATATATGAGTTATAGTCTATTGCTGCCACAGCGACAATACATGATGTCCTTAAAAAACATTGTTTTCAGCATAAAGATCACCTTTTGTGGGAACCGAAAAGATTACTGAAACGTAAAACATCTAAAACATCGAGTTTAGATGTTGGTAGAGCTGATGAGTCAGTTATTTTCCCTCCAAATTACTGCCCCTCTTAAATGTGTGTGTTTGATAGTCAATAAACACCTTAGTTTCAAGCTATAATTTTGGCTTCCAGAAGTGATTCCCTCATTTCCAGGTCTTCACAAAGCCTGTGGGTTGTAAGTGCTCATTCTCTCTGAAAATTCATGCTTTTTTTCCACAAAGGTAGCAATTTGTTTAAGTTCTCACAAGATAAGTGGTTGGTACAAGAACCACCCATAGCAGGCCAGTGATGTCACTGCTGATTGAATGGCACCATAGCTGTTTATATGCTCCTGTATTATAAACTTAAGAAAAACATCAGTTCCTATAGATTGAAAACTAATCAGGATTTTTCATATTTGTACAGACAGTTTGAATGCTATCACAGTATATGGGCCAAAAAATACAGTATCACTCAATTTTGTATTTAACATTGCTTACCTAAATTTGTCAGGAAAAGAGCAACCTTTTCATACAGCTGTAACAGAAAAAGAAACAGCTTCTTAGATACATGACCAGCTCAAAAATATAAAACTGTTTTCTAGGCAGAGTAACTTCTCCTACATGTTAAAACTGACACCCAGATGGTCTGTGATGCTTTGACAATGATGATAATAAAACTGTGTAGTAATAATATAGTAATGATATAATCAAACAAGGAATAGTAATATTTTTAAAGCTTATACTCAGCTCTTTTCATCCACAACATAAGGAGAAAAAATCGTTGTTACTGTCCCTATTTTACATGCACAGTGAAAAAAGGGTAAGATAACTTTTACCAAAACACAAAGCACAACAATAGCACAACTTGGATTTTTGATTTAGTGACTTATGGAAAACATTTATCTCACATTAAAAAAAATTAAAGGTCACCCTAAGTAAGAACATGCACTGGTATGTTGGGTATTTGGGGCTTTCTGGTTTTGTTGGGATTTTTTTGGTGCTGAAAGGAAAATCACTGGGAAGACAGGGTTGCTTCAGAGGAAGTCTTTAGTAATCTTCACCACCAGACACATACCTTACTCTGAATCAGTGACACTGTTCTAGGTCCCAAAGTGGTACTTTCTGTGCTTAGCAGATACCCTGCTCTCAAACTCACTGGGAGACTGATAACTTCATAAAGCTTACGAAAACTAACTTGAAACGTTTTCACATTTAGTGTTTGCAAAGGGTTTATGAACCTATAAAGTACATTACCACGAACATCAGTATTAGTGTAAATTAATACTTTTTCCATTTGCTTTAAATGAGTCTGGAGCCTGTTAGCACAAAATATTAGATGTCCTTAACTCTCACTGATGCCTGCAGGGATAAAAAGCTCCTCATTCTTTAGGCTCAAGTACTTACTGATTCCTAAAATGCATATCAGCAATATTTCTTTTCATTTGCAGTTATAAATTCTTAATTAAATTGAGTTATGTGCAATTTACAGATCAAACTGCCTGCTTAAGAGCTGAAGTCACCCTGAATTATCTCATCCATATTAGCAAACACTTCTTACTTAGGATAGCTTTTCTCTGCCTTTGGAGTAAACAGTTTTGTTTCAAGTAATGAAAAAGGTGATTTCTTTTAGGTTTAAAAGGATCTATTAAGGACAACTGTAAAAGTGCTAAATGTCTGGGTGTTTTATATCCTGGTCTCAGCAGGGAGTGTGCTATTTTGCAATTTTATTTATTTTATGCTTTGAAGGTCATTTTGTTTTGTCGGTGTATGTGCCTAGCTCTCAGTGCATCCATTCTAGAAGTTATTATTTGTGGTCTAGAGCTTCCCCCTGATGCTTAGAGAGATTGTCAATCCCTATCAGAATCACTAGTGTTTTTCCAGGCTTCCTAGCAGTGAATTCCTTACTGTTATATACATCTGGGTCTATTCTGGTTTTATTACTGTATCCTTGCCTGCTCTCCTGCTACTTTGTTTGAGTCACTGTAGAGAATTCAACCACCTGAATTGCTCCTGGGGAATTTAAAAAAAAAATAAAATCCCACTATTGTCCCTCAGCATTAACTGCATTAATCCATGATGGGAAGTGAGGGATTATGTACTTAAATCCTTTTCAAAAGCTCCTACAGTTTCGTATTTTGGGGATCTTTTGTTTCCATGAGCTATATCCAGATCTAAGGCGGTGGTATTCGTTGCATGGTAATGAGTGTAAGGCTTAAGAAATCCATCTTTGCAGTGCTTTACTTATTTGATGCATTTTAGGAAAGAAAACAAAGTTTCTCAAAAGGCACCTTCAAGCCTTCTTCCATTATTTAAATAATTTCTCTAAGCTGTAAAATGCTTTGAGAACCAAATAATTTTGTTTGTGCTATAATTCTTTGTTGCTGCTTCACTGCATATACAATGACTAATGCTGAGAGCTTGGAAATGGATGTACTGAAAGATATATATAGTTTTCTTTTTATTTCTTCTATGCTTACTGTGTGCTTTAGGTGGATTAAAAAAAAAATCTAAAAGCTCCAGATAGCAAACAATAAATCAAAATAACATAAAACAAGAGACCCCCTCAGTACAAATTCAGACAGAATAACAGCTTCCACCTCTTACTTCTTTTCTTTCTCAGCCTATATCCCACCTTAGGGAAAATACAGGAAAGAAAACAGTTCTTGACAGACTGTCCTAGTCACCAATCCAGTCTTGCCTATGTGAAAGGGAGCAAAGTCTCTTGGAATTTCCTTCTATATAAATGAGGGGCTGTTAAAACGAATTTTTAGATGATGGAAATGCATGGGTATTGCACAGGAAATAAGAGAAAGAGGTCTCCAAGCCAGCACTTGGAAATATGCAGGCCTGAAATAGCATCTCTTATGTCTGCTAGGAGGTAAGTTAGAGTACCTCCTGAAGCAAAAACTAACAAGCTTTCTGCAGAAAGTTCTTGCTACTACTGAGTACAGATACTCCATCCTGGATCCATTACCTGGATGTTTGTAGGCGGATCCCTTCTCTCCCTTGAAATACATTCTTAGAACAAAACCCTGACAGTAAAAAGCCATAAACCTCTTGCTAAGAGCAACTAATTAAAACCACACTGCTATCACAGCAATATACAGCAGTACCTGCATCTCGATGGAAGGACAGAACTCATTCCCCATCTATCCTATGATATACTGTCTTACTGTGACTTCTACCACATGGAAATTCCAGTTTTTAATTTGCCCCAAGACTAGTTCTGAACGAGTTCACAACAACAACCTGACCCCAGAAAGCCCCCCTCCCAGTGCCTCCAGACCATGTCTCAGGTGCACTCTGACAAAGTCCATTGCTAGCTCATGAACAAGACAGGTCTGCTCAAGCATCGTGAAGTTCTTCAGCCCGAGGCAGTCCTCCTGCATATGGACATTGTGTCTCTATAAGCTATCCTCACTGGTAAACTACTGTGAAAACTGAAGCTTGAATTGCTGAAATTAGTATGAATTAGAATTAAGCTTGGCCACTGTATTTAAAAAATAACATCAAAACACTAATTAAAAAGAATAATATTAACGAAATGGACTGAAACCTGCAAATATATGAAAAGAAAAAAAGAAGCAGAGGATAAAAGAGAAATAGGGACATGTCTCCCTAGAATATTTTTTTTAAATATTCAAACACAATGTTTTGGATTTGGAACTGTACTTTATATAAATAGTAAATGATATTCATAAACAATAATGCCATGGTTTAGCAAGACATTGAATTTCTGATGAAAAAGGAACCAAAAGCATTTGGTGGTCTGTAGACTGATGTATATACTAGTCTGATGGCTCAGGTATATCTTTGGATATGTTACTCACCACATTTAGTAGCATGATGATGCAAAAGTTGATGCACACTGCAGTCCCTGTAGTTGCAACCTGAGAGTTATTTCTGATTAAAGCCCACTTAAAGGCAGCAAAAGTGCTGACAGTCACAACACGGTAAATAACAATGCCAAAAACAGCAGCAATCACCACACAGATCTAAAGGAAAGAAAAAATCAGAGAGAAACCATTTTAGCATGGGTGACTCATCTCATAGAAACTCAGACACAGTACCCATTAGCCACCTTATTAGATAAGGAAAGTTTCTTCAGCAGAAGACATGATTATTTGCAAAAAATAGGTGTATTCCAAGGTTATTCACAGAGAAGTGTATCAGAACTGAAGGATATCTAAGATAATTAAATGGGCAAAATGATTTTGAAAACACTGAATGCTAATCATCAAGCTGGTTTCATATTTTATTAGTCACAAAATTGATTGACGTAATCCCAGTGAAGAAGAAAAATAAAAGTGTGTGAATGTGAAGGATTGTCTCTGAATTCCCTGCATAGTGTTGAGTGGAAGAAGGACCACTTTCCTTTGTTAACAGGGAACCACTAGTACGGTTCAAGCTGTATCAGTAACTGCACTGTGAGAGTTAATGCTGTGAAACTCAGAACAGCTCTAACTTGAAATTTTTGTAAGCATCTATCTCCTATGTTTAAAGCTATAACTTTTAAGGAATATTTTTACCTAAATGAGGGGAATTCTGAGTTTTTCTAAGTCATTGGAAGCCTGCACTATGCCAGCAAACCCCCACATTTTCAGTGAAAATAACCCTTGACCTGTTTCAAGAACTGTTATGAGGATAATTTGTCCTGCGTGCAACTCAGAGCAAGGTTACTTTCTGGCGCTTTGAGCAGGATCTATCACTAGGCTGAGAAGATTAATGACTGTGTTTGCAAAGGATAGGGAGTGAATACTGTTCCCCTTCAAGAGAAAAAAAAAAGTAGGGAAAATATACAAAATGTTGCAGGTATAGAATCATTTCTGAGCAAAGACTACAGTCCTGAGCAGACATAAGTCTTCAAAGACTGAGTCAGACAGCATGTTGGCTCCTCATGCCCAGTGTTTTCCTGTGTGTCTGTCCATCCTCCAGACATACCAGAGCACAGTTCATCTCAATAATGCTCTTGCCTTTCTTGACCGAGACTGCATTGGACAATTTTGAAGCCATCAGGTTCCTACAAGCCCTCTGACCTGTTCTCTTCTGTCTCATTCAAACACAGAGTTGCTGGGCTAGCTCACTTACCTGGCTCTTCACAGCTCCTGAAATTATACATATATAATTTTCTAGCCTCCTGGGAAAGCCCTAGTAAATTCCATGAGGGTCTGAGTTGATGTCAGCTGTGTTTTCAAGACCAGTCCTACCCCTGCTGCTGTCATGTGAATAACAGTTTCAGTGAAGTTAGAAGATGGGGGCATTTCAGCAGAATGCAGGCAGCTTTCTTCAGGAGAAGTGCATCTAGTTTTGCACTTTGGAAGCAGGAGAGACGCCTCATTTTAGACAAGGAACATCGAGTTTTCCATTTCAATTGCATCAGGAATATGAACCCTCCTCCATACACTGAAAAACTGGGACATATTAACATCATTAAGTACTGTAGGCATCTTAGCTGCGTTTTCTGTAGCGTTTACAAAGAACAGCTGCCTATTCTATGGCATCAGTCCTCATTACTCTGCGCAGTCTACACAGGGAAGGCAAGGAAATTGATGAGCTGGTTCAGTCAGCTGAAGTTGGTGCCTAAATGTGATAGCATTACTATTCCAGCAGGTGTATTGCTACATACAGTGATACATGTATAACCCTTGAAGGAAGGACTTAAGTATCTGTGAGACTCAGTGAAGAGTAAACTTGTGTAGGACTTTAAATCTCAGGCAATTTGCTTTGTACAGATTTTCAGCCTGCAGTAAACATGCTAGACCTTACTTGACTTTAAAGCAGTCATATCCAGTATCTTTATGCTCTCTCACTAGAGATAATGCTATTTTGTATTTTTTCAACTGGTAAATAAATAAAAGTTCTCAAACCATAAAAAATATTCCAGATGCAGAAACAATGAGTCTGCTGCATTTATCTGCAAATGCTTGATAAGGCTCTGGCTTCCCGGATATGGGGTTCATTCGTTCTTTCTTGGAGTACTTGGCTTCAAACTGTGGACGTATTTCCTCCTAAAGAATAGACAGACAATGTTCACATACAGCAGAGCTAGGAAAGATTCTGTAGGAAACTTCAGATTGCTTATCAGATAACCAATATCATTATTGGGAAGTACATCTTTGAATTCAGCAACTGGCGCATCTCCAATAAAAGCTGAGCTGGGAACTCAGGTCTCCTTCATGAGAACTAGAATAAAACACTGGATTCATAAAGCCATATTGTAAGTACTTAGTAAACTCCCCAGTTAGCTAGCCACCTAAACAATATAACAAATTCTAATTATATGGCTGTAAACCAGATAATTTTAAGGCTGATACCACAGAATTTTCCAACCTGGTATTAATCTATTGATACTGGAATTCTACAACAAAGCAAAAAAAAAAACAAACCCCAACATCCCAAAACCAAATTCCTTTATCCAAACCCAGTTGCTGTTTGCTAGGTAACTAGGTTACCTTCCTGTTATCAGCAAAAGTTTCTCAGCATTTGAAGAAGGAGCTATGACATCTAATACTGCTCAATTCTTCCCAACTTGGACAACATTATTTGAAGTCCTGTTTTGCCATAAAAACTCTCTTCTGAAATGAAACCTGTGGATCTCTTTGAGAGGCACTTTGATACATCTGTTTACAGCCTTGTCAGAAGACAAGGTTCACCCCTAGTTCAGGTAAGACCTTATGATTTTCAGCTGCAGTAGGGCTACCCCACTGCCCTGCCATCCAGGAGGTTCACCAACAGTCACACGTCCTCTGCCGTCTCACCCAAGTCTGACATTGAGGATGCTGTTAGAGTTGAGAGAAGGTACCGGAGAGAAAGTGGAGAGGGACTCTCACAGCTGCTGGCGGTCTATCTACATTAAGTCAAGTTTTACAACGCTGTGATGCATACTGGAGAACTGGCCCATGGTACAGCTGGCTACAAGGGAGCACAAAGACAGCTATGGCCTGCCTGAAGCTTTTCCACCAGGCCTCTGCTGCACATTTCTTTGTAAGAGCCAAGGACTGAGCTTAGAAAATTTAGTCACTTCCATCCCTCAGCCTGCATTTAATTGATTGAAAGTTGTACATGCCCAGACCTTAAATGACTGCATTGAAACTGGTGAATATTAACTGCTCATACAAGTCTCCAGAATGTGAATAAAAGTAAGATATCCTAAAATCCTACATCCTTTTTATAAAATTCCCCTGGGGTATGGGGAGAAAGTCATGCCTCATTCTCATTCTCTCAAGTTTTGAAGGTACTTTTTTTGAATACAGTTAACTTCCAACTTTGAGCAGCAACCTGGTAATATGGTGTTACAAAAAGTTAAGAGGCATGTATGTTCAGCTGCAGTGCCAGTGTAAGTAATTATGGGCTTGAGGGAACCATGCCTACATTAGCTATTTACAGAGACTAAGCACGTTTCTGAGGGGGCTCTTATTCTACCTTGCTCAAGCTGTTCCTGCCATATTAGGGGTGAAAGCTGCCAAGCAGATCATAATCTAGCAAGAGAAACAGTACTATTCCTGTGTGCCCAAGGACATGCAAAAGGACAGAGTGTAATAGCATTGAAGCAGGGTGCTTGAGGATGGCACCCCAGCTGGGGTTAAACCACTACAGGACTCTGCCAGCTGGCTTACCGAGTCATATACAAGAAACCCTTTCTTCTCTGCAGCTCTCTCTAAGCCAAGTTTCTATTATCTTTCATAATCTGCACTATAGGGAAGTCCTTATCATATCCACCCATTCATGAGTCTAGGTATCTATCTCCTACAATCTCCAGTCAATTTAGATAATGCAACTGCTATTTTTACAGACACTTTTCACACAAAACTGACACTTTGGCATGGGCCTGTTTAACGACACCCAGCAATGCTGAGCACAGTTTGGAGCAGGAAGTGTACAGTACTGTATCTGGCTGAGGTTAATGCTATAAAGTGACACTGAAGAAAAATATAAAAAGTATGCTGTAAATAGGAACAGAGCCATATTTCAGATGGCAGTGCCAGGAACTCTGCACAGTTCATTTCTGGTCGCACACACAGCCAAGACCAAGTTACTCTCCATGTCTCCCATCTTGCACCTGATTTACTAGGAAAGGGAATACAAACATGAAGGGATGAAAAACCCAGAAACATTTAGCCTATGTCTCCAGGCTGGGGGATGTGGGCACTGCAGGGACTGCTGCCCGCCCTCCTTAGGTGAAAATCTAAAGTGGTGAGGAATTCACAAGGTTGCATGTCTGAAGAAATTTAATTCTCCTTCCCTTTGTCTTCACTGCTTCATTCCTTTGTTTCTTCATTTAGAACAGAAAAATGATGGTGAAGTGATAGGAAGCCTTACAAATGTTTTGTATTTTATTTTTAATCTGTTGTAGGCAGGAATTAATAAATTTCTGTCTGTAGCAAAACCTTATTTTTCAATTTGACAATGAAAATTAAAGCAAGCAAAAACTAGACATGGCGGATAATGCTAATACAAATAACAATCTTCATTATCAAAATCTTGTAACTTAAAACGGTAATTAGAACTCTTTAATTAATTTCTTTGAAATAACTACTAAAAGAAATAATCTGATTTTGTCCAGTGACAAATGAATGGGATGTAGAGAGGAAATTTAATTAGCAGTGACTTTATGAGAAAGCAGCACTTTTAGGAGTAAATTTTCACCCTACAGAGATAAAATTCTCACTGCCATCTCACTGACATGAACAACTTCACGATCAAACTTCACAGGATACGTCTTTTTCAATCTAAATAAAACTGACTGTTCTGCTTCCTTCCTGCTTCTCAGACACAGATCATTCCAACTCTTTATTCACGGGAGAAACTGTACTGATTTCTGGAATATCAAAAATGGATTAATGTGCAATGCCTTAGAGCAGATATTTCCACATTAGAAGAAGTACTCTAAATTTCTTTTATCCTTGAAAATACATCCTTTTCTTTTTGGACGTTACTGAGTCCTTCAATAAGTGAATTCTTGCAGGATTCCTATCCTGCCTAGTCCAAGGATATATTGTCCTCTATATCCCAGATGTACAAAAAAGGGATTTGTAAAAGATTGAAAATCTGAATCTTGATCACTGGGACAATGATGTCACCCCAAGAAGGAAGTCTACTTGCAAAGCTTGTGGTTTGCAGGTCATACTGCTTGCCGCTGAAAGCAATAGCGAAGTGAAGAGATGAACTTTGAACCACAAAACAGGAAAACGGGAAACCACTTTTTCACCTGGGACACCTGCTTCCAAACTGTGACTGTCATAGGTGCAAAGTCCTGCAAGACCCCAGCTCCAACAGAAAAGTGCAGCATTTGATACTCAATAAAAGGAGGCAGTGTTCCACAGAGATGATCTTCAAGCAAGGACGTACATGAGCCATGAAGTAGGCATGGGCACTGTCAACTGTAGCATCTTCAGAGAAGACACCTCTGAGAGGCATCAGCTCTCACTCTTGGGATCCCACTGAAAGCTGAACAAAGGAGGAACTGATACCTCAAATGCCAATGAGATGCTGATGCTCTGATGACTGATCACATAAATCTTTGAGAAATAGCCAGGTGAGTTCCTATTAGTATCTTTAATCTCTAATGTGACAGATAAAGGTAGCATCTGGCACACTGCTTCTGAAAAGAAAATATCTAAGGAGAAAAATTCTCATTTCCTAGTTTATGAAAATGTGAATGGAGAATTGAAAATATATCGAAAAGAAAACATGCTTACATTTTTAACCAAATCTTTTTGTACTAAAGATTAAAGAATACATTCTTTTACAAACCTCTTCTTCTTCCCAGTCTATCAAGTCCCAGTCATAAGCAATTACTGCTCGCCTTCTTTTCCAAAATTCCAAAAAAACAGTTGCTGGAGCAAATAGAAAAATAATATAAAATTGGTTTTCAGTCAAGAAAGTGTTAATAACGATCACAGAACTGTTGAATGAAACTGTTACATTATTTCCATTTCTTTGCATAAATAGGTTCCTTTGAACAGCAAATCATGCTGATGATCAAAACTGCTTTCAAAAAACAGTGCTTTCTAAGGATTACTTAACTTTCCCCAAGTATGATCTAGGCTTTAGAGATTTGATTTAGTGCTAAATAAGAATGTTTAATTTCTAACCAACCAAGGGAGGACTCTCAGAGAATAAAATTGTTCCTGTGAGTCATCATTACTAGATATAGCAGATTTTTGATGAAGCAAAAGGTTTCCTGGGGCTATTGTAGGCAAAGCAGTAACTTTCCTTTGAAGACCATTTAAAATGCACAGAAACCAGTACCCAGAGGAAGCACATTACACTGCACATGCAAATCTGTAGAGTATTAGCTGAGGAAATGGGAACTCTTATTTTACACCTGTCTAATCCAGACCATTTTTTTTACACTACATGAGTGTATATATATGGTGTGGCATTAACATATGGCATTTTCAACATTCTGTGCTGCACAGCCCTTACTGATAGAATTCAAGATATTGTAATATGCCTATACATGACTGTGTTTCTATTTTGTGTAATATGCCTATAAATGACTGTGTTTCTATTTTGTGATAGGAAGGACAATCAAGGAAGCACTCAGTCATAAAACAGTATCTTCATATTCTGGAGGTTAATACTGAGTCTGTTTATGTTTATTTTTAGTTATTATTAGTTGCTTTCTTAAAAGAACATAGAAGATGTCTAAAGCTAACAGAAATCAATGGAAAGACACTGTGAGGTTTGTGTCTTTATTGATCACTGAAAAGCATCAGGCTGATAACCACAGCAAACATAAACTTCTCTGTTCATGAGCTAGCATGGTATCAGCTGTAACAGTGTCACAATACCCTGGCTATGTATTCTACATTCAGTCCTAAAAACATCTTAATGGACTATCTGCGCTATTGCCACATATTGATGATGACGTGGCATGATACTATGCACTGGTGCCAGTTTAGGGAAAGTGAACTTTTAGCCAGTAAGAATTACTATGTTGTAATGCATGCCAATGTGGCTAAGATATACTTAGAAAATGAGCACTGTGAGCAGATAAGATATCAAAAGCATGTCTAAGGAGGCAGATATTTGGCTTGAAGGCATTTTCCTACATCACATTATCCTTTGTCTGAAATCTGGAGTTATGTTACACCAGGTAACCAGCTGCTTTGATTTAACCTAATAAAGTCAATTCAATCTCCTCAGCTTAATGTTTCTATGACTTTCTGTAATAACTGCAGTATGATCAGTTTGGATAACTGATAAGTGCTAATAAGGCTCTTCTGTGGCTGAACCACCACATTATTCATTCCTCAACTTGTCTTCTGGTGGAGCTGCTTCTTTCCTGTCAGCTCATATTGAATTATTTTGTACAGGCTAAACAAGCAGCCCTGCACTTTTCAGAGACCTTGGAGAAACAAGCCTGATTGATTACTACCACTCTGTTTCCATTCCAAAAACAGCTTGAAGAAGGACTGAAGTGGACGTATGAGTCCACAGTCATGAACATCTCAGGTACATCTGTGCTGAAACATACTTTTTTTCTTCTCTTTTTTTCACAAACATGGAGTGACAAAACTATACTATGCATATTATATTTTGTATATTTAGCACCTGCTAGAGTAAATAGGTGCAGCTCCCGAAGCTTGCTTACAGAGCTAGTTGTCAAATAATTAAGTAGCAAATAGGATGATCTACTCAGCGCTGCTTCAGCTTTTACTGTGCTATACCTTTTGTCTTCTATCCAGGTCAGTATGCACTTCTCCCTTGATAGATATTTAAAAATGTGCTATAAATAACCATCTTTGATTGATTCACTGTACTACTGAGGTCTTCTAAAAAGTACTGCATTTTGAAATGTCTCTGTTTCTTCTCTAGTCAAGTAATCACTAATACCCTACATTACACTTCAACGTTCTTTTCTGACTTTGACAGCTCAACACGACACAGTTGTACTTACCCTTCTCCCATTTTCCTATTGGTATGTTTAAATCAGATGTTGAGAGTTCTCAAAATTATCTTGCTTGGAATTTTTAATTTCGCATTGGCCTTAACTCCCAGGTCTTTTTTTAGCTTTTTCTATACTGTACTTGCCCTGCTTCAGAGCTCAGCCTTGCCGCTCAGTCCTCAACGCCCACTTGCACAAACAGCTGTCTTAACATAACTTCCTCAGATACTTTTGAAACAAGTTGTGATCTTATCTAGTTATGCAAATGGCCTCTCACAGCAAATAGCTTAATCCTGAACTTCTCTCAGAAATCCTTTCTTTATTATATTTCATTTAATATATCCATCCTGACTTACAGAATATATTCTGTACACCAGGAATATTGCTGAAGAACCTCCTTAAATTCTGTCTTCTCAGAGATCAAATCAATGCGAATGTTTTATTCTAGAGCCAAGGTTTGCAGGCAAGTAATACCTTCTATTAGACTAACTGATATAATTGGAAAAACATGTTTTACGTTGGCATTTCTTATTGCTTGAAAAAAAAATGGTGTTAAATTATTCATGCCAGGCCTTTTTTCTCCTCCCAAGTTTGCCCTTCAGCAAGTGTTCTAAAGCTACTTCCTTTAGCAAAGGAAACATGCTTCTAGGTAGACTAGAAATGTCAAAAAGGGCTTTTCTTGTGTCCCTTAGTCTCCCAAAGATATGTAGAGACAGAGAAATTACCATCAGCCCACCTTGTCTTTAACAAAGCATTAGAAATTATGAATAGCTGAATTCTCCTATTGGACAGTTACAGAACTTTGCTACTTAGCTTCAGGAAACATCTAGACAGTGACATCTTTGTGCTCACATTCCCCAGTACTTCAACTGGAAAAGCAAAACTACAATTCCATCTGGGTTTACAGCAACATACTGGGAACCAACTGATTATCAAATTTACCTAGATTTGTTTCTGAGAATGAATTTTTGCTGAATTTTAAATGTCAACATTTACTTACAATGACCATCTGTCACTTTCTGTCTTTGGCAAGAATCCAATTCAAACAATAAAAAGAGAGGAGTTTTTCCTAGAAATGGGACCTACCTTTTCATCAGGCTTGACACATCTCAAAGTATACATAAAGGGCAAAGTGTAGGTGTTTCCCTCTACCACAGAAATACACAAAATGCTACTGCTCTCCTCTTTTTGAAAGCTTTGAACGTTTGGAAATACCATCAGGATTAGAGATTCACAAAAGGAAGAATTCTTTTTCAGCTTCTGAGATGATGACATCTCAGTAAGAATCAACAACAATCTGTTCACCAATAAAAAAAAAAGTATTAGTGTTTACAGGGACTTGCTGCTTCCTTTAAACCACAGCACTTCATAGCTTCAACCCTTTTGAAAGGGTTTTCCCTTCAACAGAAGCTCCAGTACAGAAAAGCTTATACAAACTACCAGTGAATATCACCAGTGTACCTAAGGGAGACTACCTTTTGCCTTTGCTACACCAGTTTAAAATGAAAGTTGTCTTAAGTCCTATGTCTTTTGGGAATACATTAGTAAGTATAATATTTTTTCCTATTGTATCAATTACTTTAATTCTTACATAGAACTTTGCTTAAACCAGGCAGAAATACAATAAGTGAGGTGATGGGTCAATATATTTTTTGAAGAAAAGTGTTTCTCTATTCCAATGTCTCCTGGTGCACTTGATAATTCCAACCTTTCTTTGATGGGACTGACTTATCCTACATCTAAGCACTATAAAAGATGAGTCCCTCTGCTTCAGAGTCCCACAGCCAGGCCTACTGCTGCTCCACAAATCAAACAGCTCAAACTGATATTTGTCATGGTAATGCATCTCCCTAGCCTGGCCACAGCAGTTTGCTCATCATTTGAAGAAACATTTTATTTCTATTTAAAAAGGGAGCAACCCTCTTTCTCCATCAATTAAAGATGTCTTTAGAGTAGAAAGAGGAAGCCTCCATACAGATCACGTCTTCATGGAAAGCCCAACCTGAACATGCCTGGTTTTGAGAACATCAAGCAAATGGCTGAAGCTTCTCCTTCAAGATGTGAGTTCACTAATGGATTTAAAGGCAGTGAAGGAGGAATTTTAGGTAATAAGACAGTGGCTAAGTTCAGACTAAAGAGGTAACACAATTCTAGCTGCCTTTTTTTGCTTTCATTCTCTATTTTTAAAAGCACTGCCATAATTTTTTATATGCTAGTGTCAGTCAAACTGAAGCATCTAGAAGGCTGAAGCTTTCACAGCCAATTTACCATGCACTTGCCAGTTGTTTCATGCTGACAGAAAAAAAACATTCCCACAGTTAAACTCCTATCATTGTTTCTTCTCTTCCCCTATGATTTACTGAGATGATGGTAATGCCTGCAGCTGCCAATAGGCTTACTGCAAACTGAAAATCCATTTAGGACAGGAGGTAAGCGAACTTATATATATAGTACCATAAAATCCCTGGAAAGTGTGGCTTTCCTTGCTCTGATGCTGGTTTAGCCCTAACTGTACGGAAAATATCTCCACAATTTCACTGTTGTCTGAGCAAAGTATTATTCATGAAAGTACAGTCTGGGTGGAAACACAGGATCACCCGATTCCCCAGTCCATAACCTATGCTTGCAACCTTGTTCCTATTCCTGTCCCTGCATCCCTCTTGGCAGCAAGCTCACAAGCACAATGTAAGCCAACAAAAGTGGTGAGGAAATCTCTCAGCCCAGCTGCTGTCCTATAGTCTCTTCTCCACAAACCAATTCATCTCTCTCTGCGGGATTAGGTGCTGGAGATGCATGGATGGACAGTGTATTTTGGAGTCCTTCTCCACTGGTGTGGTGATATTCCCATGGGGAATTGGGTCTGGGAGTCTGACAGGGATGCTGAAAGAGGGGGAAGAATGCAAGGCTACCCAAAGTGAGGTGCAGCTCCTGTCAGCTAGGGACAGCTTAGCCTTCTCCCACACAACAACTACAAGGCAGGATCAGGCACAGTCATCTGAGTGAGCAACTCCCCTTACTAGAGCTTCTTTTCCTACAGCCCTGGCTCTGGGCCATGCTAAGACACAGGTGCAACCCTGGGAGTACAGCTGTTTCATGGAAGCAGTGTTACTCTTTAGGAGGAACAAAGGCACTGTTGCCAAAAGCTGTAATCCAAAGAGATGCTCACCAGCAGTTAGGAACAATGACATAAATATTCAACAATGTTAACCCCTCGATTTTCCTATTGAGCTGAGATGGAAGTCTCTGCCTCTAAACTGTCTTGGAAATTCTCAACTTCAGTGAGCACATTGAGAAAAGGGTTGGAAAAGCTGCGTAAACATCTAAAAAATCTTTAAGGCTTAGAAATTTTTGGTGATTCTGAGCTCTGACATAGCCCTAAAACAAAGGTAAAAAAACAAGGAAAAACATTAAATTGTAAGATCTGTGAGTTTTTTCTTGAAGGTGATTTGTGATATTTTAATACTCCCAATATTACATATGCTGTATACCAATAGGCCTGACTGGTGTATGGTCTAATTTAATTAGTTAACTAAGGCAAAAACGTAGTTTTGGAGGAAGGAACTGGACAGACTGGTAGGCTAATCTATGTTATCCTGGCTGCTCAAATGTTGCCTCCTGGATATTTCTTGTGCAAAACAGATTTGCAGTTTAAAATGCAGATTATAAGGATTACTTGGACAACTTTCCAAAGTAGTTGGAGGTGTGTGAGAAAGAGCAATGGCCAAATCAGACTAGCTCAAGCTCCTGGAGCTATAAGATGGATGCCATTTTTGAGGCACCTCATGATCTATTTTCTAAAGGTGTTAACCTCTCAGAATGGCATGGTAGGAGCTAAGAGCCTGAGCATGCTCAGGGCATGTTTGAAAGACCATTTCTGCTGCCAGAAATTATTGTTTCCTCTTCCCTTCAATTCTGCCTATGAGACCACAGTAGGGAAAATAGTGGAGGTGGATACATAACTGTCCTATATGCAAAAATCAGACTCCATGGCAACAGTTAGACTGCTCTAGCATTAATTTGTCATTCAATGAAATCTTTCATTTATTTCATCAGTTTTGCTTTAATTACAACCAGCCTACACGTATTTAAGGTTTACTGCCTTTCTGCAAAGTGGGAAGAATAATACCTTAATTCATTTTAGTAGACACACTAAACTGAGATGACCCAAGCTAAAAGAAGTCCTGAACAGTAACAGAGAAAAGGCCTCAGTGCCAACAGACTGAAAACCAATTACAGCCCCTCCAGAATATATCCACACAGACTCTACATACTGAATTCATGTTTTTATTTTAATTAAAATTATTATCACATAAAAATATGATTTCAATCACTTCCATCTTCCTTTTGCAGAAACAGAAAAGAATCAAGCCTATATTGGTTTTCTCAGTGCCTGAAAAAAAAGTGTACTGGAAATTACAAAGGCCTGCATTACATCATAATCTTTAAGAAAAAGATTGTGCAATTACTTAATATCAAAACAAAAACTTACCCCACACGGCCATGAAAACAGCAAAAAAGACAGTAGCTCCATTGTCAAAAAGGTGGGTTACCTAAGGGATATAGTAATAGTATGATCAATGTGTGGTAGGGTTTTATTTTCTATTTTGACCTAATAGAATAAACGTGATCATGAGTGTAGCTGTCCTGTACTGACAATCTTGAGGATCCTTCCCTTGACATGTGAAATGCACCACCCATTGACAGGACTGTCTGCCAGCCTGGCCAGGGTATGACCGAAAGCTTTCATTTTAAGGAGCCATGTACAAAGGATGGATCATAAGATAAAGGTTGATGCCAAGGACACCGTAGCATGTGCATCTAGGACATGACCTCTGGGACTGCTGACTCTCTAAGTGCAAATTACATTCTAAAGTTTTACAACCCAAACAAGTGTTTTACAACCCAAACTAAGTCTTGGTAAAAGGCAATGAATGTTAATATTAGCTGAAGTTATCTGTCCTTTCAAGATTTTATCTGCCCAAGATCACTAAAGACAAATGCAAAGGCAAAATGAATGCTTTTACAAGGAAAGCATTTCTAATTGCATAGTTTAAAAATGTACCTTGGCATAAACGCAGCTGTCTGACAACCTCATGAAGGGACAGTATTTATCACATATAGGACACATTATGATATCTGTAGCTTGGCAGACTTCTTTACTGGAAAAATAGAAAAGATAAAAATCAGTAGCTTGATGCACAATGAAGTCTTAGAATGGATTGATAAGTTTCACTAACAGCTACTTGTTGAACAGTACTGGTTCTGTAACTGAAGCCAAGATCTTCATAACTGCATGTGTATAATTAATGTTTGTTGACTATCTAAGACTTCAGAGTATACAGTCCTAACTGCAGAGGCCAGCTCTTCATGGCTAGCCTAGCAGTATCTCTTTACCATTTCCAGCTTCTTCTTAAGTCAGAAGTGGCCTTTGGTAAGAAGAGAGTGGGCATGACTGCAGATGAAGTTAAGTTTGACTTATTCTTGTCATTTGTCTCAAGAACGTAGAGATGCTGCACTCAGCAGAAGGTCCCGGGGGTTCTTCATCTGAAGAATGCCTCCCTGCGGTGGATCTTTGGAAAAGGCCTTAAAGACAGTAAAAAATGTCCCACTCTTCTGCTGGTCTGTTACTATGGTAATAAAAGAGTTCTACTTTTTCCCTACTTCATGCTGAGTTGCCAGCAACATCAGGAACTGGAGCTGGGCAAGAAACATTGCCTTTCATCCCAGTTCCAGAGCACAAAACAAGGGAAGCTCGATACCGGGTAGCTTATGAGAAACAAGCACGGTCTTTTCCTGAGTTTTTATTCAATAGTTCAAAATGAAATAATTAACAATTCATATGAAGATCTCTTAAATTATTCATAATAACCCACTACTGTAATTTCCCTTATAAAAGTGCCCACGTTACCTGACTTGGCAGTGGTTCAAAGTGGTGACTCCATACAAAAAGACAAATAATCCAATGAAGGCAGCTGGGAAGAGCATCCCCGTGTACCAGCCTAACCAGGCAAAGTACAACCCAATTTTCTCACCAAAGTACCGTCTGTTACAAAACACAACACAATGAAGTTACCTGCTAATTAGAATAAATCTGCTTAATCTTGCTTGTTAATAGAAAGTAAATATTTATATCATATCTGAAGAGTAGATTAGAGAGCAGAGTCTGAATCCCCAAACAAAAAAGCCTGCAGCTTGGCTTATAGATCCACACTGAAAGACCTGCCTTAGGAAAGAACTTAGAAAAAAAATATTAAAAATTCACAACCCGAGTTTATAGTGAGATGAATGGAGACTTCAGAAGTAAACACTGAGTTCATGTTAAAAAGCAAGTTCTTTGTGTCTGGGAAACTGATGGCTCTCTTTGCCTTTTGGATGTATAACTGTACTTCCCAAGAAATTGCACTGAAATTAATTTAGTCACTAAAACTGGTGTAACCGCAAAAATTATTTGGGCCCAAATTATTTCTAAGGAATTAGCTAACAGAAGTTATTCTCCAGTCCAATTTATTTTCATTTGATTATTTCTTTTCTTAGCTTAGTTCATGCAAAATTAATCTCATGATTCTGCCACAGAGGAAAAGAAAATAAAGTGCAAGTGAGATCCAGCAATATCTTTATGCATCATCTTGCACTGATTTGAGGAAAGTAGTCTGAATTAATCCTGACTTGTTAGCTATATTGCTTAAAAACTAACTGCAAAGTGGCCAGGAAGCTCCTATTTGCTAAATATTCATTAACTTTCTTCCTCCTCCTAAACACAACCAAACCTTTATTTATGTGTTAAAGAATACATCAAACACACAAAAAACCCTGCTGAATTTACCAGCATAAGAACAGGCTCATGCATTGCCTTGTATTTGATAGTCTTGTACACAGTAGGATGTTGATTAGATTAGGATGCTTCACAAATCAATATGAAATTATCATGATTACAATGAATATTTTAGTAGATTATTTGCAAGATTAGTTTTAAAGAATGAGGTAAGATGATATTCTTGCATTTCAGACTTTACAGAAAACTTAAGCTTGATATCAACTGAATTTGAGAATAGCTGCTGTTGAAAACCCACTTTTACATTAACGATGCAATTTCTGATCTGTCCAGAGACAAAGAACGCAGAAAGACAGCACTGCTGGCTCCTTTATGCTACCAGAAAACATCTTTGGTTAACCTTTCACAGTGAGGAGAAAAGGACCCATGATGGGCTCTAGGGCTGGAGGCAGTGGAGAAGAGAAAGAAAAGCTTGGTCTGGAATGGACAAAATCATCAGTTTTCAAATGAAAATGAAAAATTTCCAGTGTGAGCAATATGTGTCTGGGCTGAGCTCATGCTCTGTTGAATGATACTGACCTACACTATTATCATTTGAGTTCACCAGTTCTGTATGAGAAGCCAGATCACATGGTTTTTGTTTTTCTGACATTCAACAGAAACTCAGATTTACAGGATAAAGAGGTGATAAGCTAACAGCAACATACTCAGCTCTGACAAGGACAACAGGTATGGCTGTAAAAAGACACACTGGAAAATGCTTTCTGAGCCCTCACTTTAGAGTGTTAGTGAACCCTTTGGCCTAGTTATTTTCCTGACACCTAGGATGTCAAACTGTGCCTGCTACACTGAAAAGGCAGGCTCACATTTCAAGATTACTTCCACTGAATGTTTATGATCTCTTTTTTTTTCCATATACATAGCTCAAATTAGTGAAGTAAACCTAACATCAAGAGTTTTTATTTCATTCTCTACATTCAAGGATGAATGCTTCCTTGTTCCACTGCCCAAGTCAAAAGACATTAATGACAAACTTCATCTCCTATCCTGCTGGACCTTTCCTTCTAAATGGCGCAAATCATAGTACTCTTTTTTGATCTAGAGATCAAGCAGCTTCATCGTAAATGAAGGACCAAGCAAAGTTCAGTGTCTGCATAAAGAAGAATGGACATGATGGGGAGGAACCCAAATCTCTGCAATGTAAGGAAAAGGGATTTGAGGACATTTGTGAGTTGCCCTTTGCTTCACAACTGGTATTCTACAGGTTGTACTACTGTAATTTGCACCAGGATCAAGTTAATATTTAATTTCTTATGAACCCATAGCATATTTTTTCTGTAAACCTCTGCTCAGAAGAAATACGAACAGAGTGCTTATGGGCTGAGTGCTACAGGAACAAACTATGGCCGTAACAAGGTCATTGGAGACCTTCCTAGTTGCCATGTTCACAGCAGTTCCACATTAATTCTAATCCACAATTGAGTTAGCCTGGATCATCTTGACCCTCAGGAGACAGAGGTGGTTGAGAGATACCTTTGCCACTCATTCCATTGAAGTTGCACCAAAGACAAAAACAAGCTCTGCTTCTTCTCTGTCACTACATACAGAACAGAAATCTCATACAGCTCTCCAAAGTGGTGGCAGTTCTTTTACCTTCATGCTGGTGCTTTAGCCAGAAATCAGTAATGTACGTGAAGAATTCTAGGGTGCATCACTGTGCATTATTTATACCCAAATTTAACCTGTTATCACTTTGCTCTTTGAAAGCCTCTTTGAAATTTTCCAACACTAGTAAACATTTGCATTTTTGTTAACTTTGTTAACTTATTACCATCCAATTTTTCAGATGGTTAATAAGAATAGGAAAAAATGATTTGTTTCTTTGATTGTTCTCCTACAGAACATTTCCTCCACAGCTAACCTAAAAAGCAGATATAACCCCCCAAGCACCTAATAGAATAATTAATCTCTCCTATCCTCATATATGCTGTACCTTTCCAATAATAATAAAAAAATAAATTGAGCTTCTCAATTTTATGCTAGCCCATCACCTACCTTAATGATGAACTGTCTCTCCCCTCACACCCTTCCAATGGTAGAACTATCACTGACTCAACTGGGCCAAGATTTCAATCTCAGTGTTTATCAATAAGGCACATTTTTGAAAACTATTAAGCCACAAAAATTTCAGACTATTCTGTGTTTAACAACCTTCATTATAGAATCTTTTGCTTTCAGGATGCCTACAAGGAAGTCATGGAACTAAAACACAGGCAGGTTTAGATTCAAGCTAAGAACATACCTATCCTCATTAATCCTTTTGCAGGTTAGAATGAAATCCTGTGCAGAACTTTTTACATCACAGAAACAAGTTGTGAGGGAGCTAGGGCTTTCCAACAGGTGTTTTGATCACATGAAGATCTCATGTTATGGCAGCAGGTTGAAAGGGAGTTGTCAGCTTACAAACAAGTCATTTAATGTAAACATGGAGTTAAATGCAAATTACTTGGGTATTAGCTTTGTCTTGAGGTTCATTTAGGTAAGTTTACCATCACTTTATAAATACATTTTCCCCTCCCTTTTTCTCCTGTAAATAACATGCACAAGCAGCAGGAGGAGCAATTTGTGCACAGCTTAGAGGACAGCAGCAGCGATCCAAAGTGCTCAGGAATCACTGCAACTGTTTCCATTGATTTAGGTTGTCCCAGAGCATATAAATGTAAGTCCTGCCTCTTTCCAATTGCTATCAATTCTAAGGATCTTAAATTATTCCTGTAAAGTGACTATGGATGCTAGATTCTAACAAAAGTGTAATTAAAATCATGATACCACATCTGCTGATTAATAATACTGCCTTTGCAAATGTGCCAAGTCTGTGCCTTCATACTGCCACGTTTCAAAGCAGAGTGAAAGCAGGATCATGCAATTCCCCTCAAATTACTTTTCCCCATTTATTTCTAGTGACTAGTACCTCCATAACAGCCAGCTGATGAGATTAAACGAAATCTGGGAGGCACCAGACTGACAGCGTGAGAGATCTAAGGCCTCTAAAACAGCTAACGGAAAAATAGAACAGCACTAAAGTATAAACAATTTCTCTTCCTATTGTGGCAACTTGACTTTAAGGTGGAAATATCATATCTGTTAATGAGATAATTTACCTAGTGTACTCCTTAGCCTTTCTAAAGCATATAATAAAGGGGAATGCCAGCTAGCAGCTGTAAATTCTGATCCAGTGTCTGTGGAAGAACTAACATCCATCCATTCCTTTAGTACAGATGGCAAGACTACTCCCTTCAAGCACACCCCACATAGCTGTTCACATGGGAAAAAAATAAAAATGTTGCTCCTGCTGCAGACCTGGTACTAAAAAAATCTTCTGTTTAAAGTCTGCACGTTGAGATACCTCTGAGTGAAATGAACAACAGGTCTTGCTGGTGTTGACAGCTCTTCAAGGAAAAACCTCCAGCTTACCAGACGTGTGAGCTGCTGAGAGTGGCAGTAGACACAGAATATTCAGCAGGAGCTAAGGAAATGCGAGGGATCTAGCACCTGTGAAGTGAGAAGAAAAAGGCATTCCCTCCCCTTTCCTGTCACCCCTCTTTCAGTGAATTCATTGCAGCCACGGCTGCAATCCAGGCAGCAAACAGCAGGCTCCTGAGACTCACGTTGCTGTCAATGCCCAGGGAGCCTCACAGCTCCCCCTGCCCCCTCCTCTTTGGGTAAATGCCTATTCTGGACCACCACAGGTGCAGGACACCATGACCTCAGCCAGGGAGACTGCCATTTTGATTGCTGCTTTTGTTTTATAAAATGACTGTGTAAAAATCTGTGGATGTCACTGCCTGATGAAAAACTAAAGCATCTTACAAAATCTTAAACAGCAAACCCAGGCTACTCAAGCAGGCTGCTACCAAGATCCAGAACAATTACATCTAACTTCACTCATTCTGTTATTTATTTGCATGCTTAAAAAACCTTCCAGATATTGGAGCAACAGAACTTTCACAAACAAGAAATATTGATGAAGAACAGGAGCCTTGACCACTACGGACAAATGATTAAAAAACACTGTTGAGATAAGTTGTTTATCCTGTCACATTAATATCTTACTGCAAAATTAAACATAAAAAAACCTTTTGGCTCCTTTGCAAATGAGCAATTTCCATAGTGTAATTTGACACAAATTCTGTAGCTCTGTACAGGCCAGCGGATTAAAAAAGAAATAAGAAGCTTTCAGGATTAAGTTATGAGGTTCAAATACTTTAATTTGTTTTCTAAAGCATTTTAAAGATTATATGACTCAGTAAAATTTTTTAATTACAGTTCTCTGTGAACTTTTTATCCATGGAAATTGAACATCTCCTATTTAATGAAATGGAGAGGTTTTATATGGCCTTAGTCAATAACACCGTCCATCTCCAGGGCCACCCTCTACAAGTCTTTCATCTGGAAACAGTTTTGAGAATCTATAAAAACAAAGGTTTCTGTCAGTTACAGGACTTATAAAGGGGGAAATTAATATGCTGGACCAATTGCATTCTCTGTATGACCCTTCCCAATGGCCAGTATCTTAATATTTTCTATGACCTCCATACATCTTAAGACTTTATTAATAGGCCCTTGTAGCTTCATATGCCTCTCTTCAAGTAGAAAAAGCCCACCAATGCCCAATAATACTTCTGCCAACATGACCAGTAAAGGCTATGGCTCTCTCTGTATGCATAAAAAAATATGTAATCCTCAGCGCATGCAAGCCTATTTGAAAATATATTTAAAAAAGCTATAAGAATTTGGAGTCACTTTTAGGCTTTCTCAGTGTTTCTTCTTTGCAGGCTACTTCCAAGAAGAATACAAATCCAGGCTGTGGTGATGTAGCTGGACTAGGTTTAAGAGAGATGGTACTGGAGAGACTTCTACCCACCTACCACTATTGCTGCTGAACTCAATAGCACACTTTTAAACTCTACTCTGTACCATTTGTAAACATTATTAAACTTCATCTAGGGTTCCTTCCATGGCTGCTTTTTAGTAGAAAAGATGTTCTAGTCAGTAAGAGCCTGTTTTTCACCAAACCATGCTCTGAGGAGGAGAATACAAATCCAGGCTGTGGTGATGTAGCTGGACTGGGTTTAAGAGAGATGGTACTGGAGAGACTTCTACCCACCTACCACTATTGCTGCTGAACTCAATAGCACACTTTTAAACTCTACTCTGTACCATTTGTAAACATTATTAAACTTCATCTAGGGTTCCTTCCATGGCTGCTTTTTAGTAGAAAAGATGTTCTAGTCAGTAAGAGCCTGTTTTTCACCAAACCATGCTCTGAGGAGGAAGAACTACTTCAGTGGACAGTCATGCAACCAAGTCTTCCCAGCCTCCACAGATTTCTCTTTCTTTTTTTTGTTCTCTTAAATATTCTGCAAACCCTTCATTTGAAATCATGGTGCCAAGGAATTCTAGATGGAAACTTTCTTCACTTTCAACTCCTCCTACAGTGGCATCAACGAATTCCCATGACCTCAGGATCACTTATTAAAAACAATATAATTCAACTGAGCTTTTCATGTTTTGTTTTGTTTGTTTTTTTATTTTTATTTTTATAAGAGATAAGTTATGCTCAAAGCACCTATAATGGGACATACTAACAGCAGGAAAGTCTTACCTCACGAGATCCAGTGGTTGGTATTTATACCACACTCCCCAGGAAGCCCAGCACTCATAGAGCAGGTGTCTGTGGTTTTCTGCCCCATGGGTTCTTATTGAATTCTTACTTCTGTAACTTCCCTACAACACAAATTTGGATATTAATGAACAGCAGCAGCAAAAAAGAATATCTAAGAAATCTCTTGCACTAGTAGTATGGATAACACAAGTTATGCAAACTCCATCCTTGTGCTCCAAAAGCTAAATATGACATTAAAAGGAGAATTTCCTCTGACCTCAGTAAGATTTGAGATTATTCTTCCTAAGAAATTTATGATAAATGATGTTCAACTCAAAGGCTATAAACTGGAGAATCTTGAAGAGAAAACCACAGCATGATAATTTGCCCTGTGAAAACATACTGATTTATCAAACCCAAATACTTTTTACAGAGCAGATCCAAACCAACACTCTCATCTCTTTTTGCAAGAAAAAAAATTCCAAAAAAAAAAAGCATTACTAAATGGGATGGATGTCAGAGCCAGACACAGAATGCAAGAGAGTAATAACATTAATAAGATTGAGAATAAATGATTACACAACTAAGAATTTTTGTGGAAAATGTCTGTTCAAAAAGAAAAAAACTGAGAAAAATACCTCATGAAGAGGAAATGCAGCTTCATAGGAGCCATTACTGAGCAATCGATTCAGACCTAAGAATCAAAAGCATCCAATTATTTACCAATAGGACCAGAAAAACTTCTAAGTGAAAAAAGCAAAACACATTTTCATAATAAGCTGGCTAAATGAAGCTTGAAGCCCATTGACAGTAAAATATAAATGTAGAAAAGTTAATCTTTTATAAATTTTGATGAACTAATATATAATACAAGCAAAGATTTGTTCATATATTAATTATCTTTTATCATTTATTATGTCATAAGTTTAAAGATTCATTTGCCAAATCCATCTTTAGAGTAACTGGTGAAATCAAGACCTTACACCAGGGCTGAAGTTTGACTCCATAAATTGTAGTCTAAGGAAGCCATTTAGATGAAAGGCTGTTTTTCCTGGGAGCCAAAAACTTCAGAGAAGATCGTTGTATTTTTGAACTGCAGGCCAGTAAAGCAACTGGAACTCTTAATATAACAGCAACATTGTAAAACATGTTCAGTTTATGTCTTATAAAATCTGCTGGACTAAGGGATAGAACAGGAAAAAGACAGGCTGCAGTAGTGTAAGACCAGAAAATACATTTGAACCTGAGCCAAAAGGACTGCTATTTGGCACATAAAAAGTAATCGTACACCCCACTTGGTCAGGCCTTCTCCCTCTTTAATGAGAACCTTGAAAGAAATAACGAATGATTGCTGAGATGCGGGCACTTGTCACTTGGAAAGTCACCAAAATAGGACTGAACAACTATCAGGCAATGCAAAACTAAATACTGGTACTAACAGCCTGAAGGCATTTGGGCCGCACTGACTGAGAGGCAGAGTCCTGATTCCTTTCCTAATTCACAGGGGAACGATAGCAACAAGAACACAGCAATGAGAAGTACTAATTCAACACAGATAGCACTTTCAGAGATTGCATTAGTATCTGCTTGCAGAATATGCTTTCTCCCAGAGTCTCTGGCAGAAAACCAAAACCTGTACAGATCTTTGCTCTGCCCAGTCATCAGCCCATACTTGTGTTCATGATAGGTACAACACAAGTAGATATATGAGGGAGTCTGGGCTCTTGAGGAAGGCAGGGACTGCTAGTGTGTGTACTAGATGCAATGTCTGCAAGCATGCATGAATTCTTCCCTTTCTTCTCTCCCCTTTGCTCAGAGTCATTCTCAGAGCTATTACAGCCTTCATTCCAGGAAACGAAGAAGACACAAGTTCTGGGATGTTTCTCTACAGGTTGAGGAAGGACAGGGTTTCAACAGCAAGGAAATTAAGTGGGCTGCAGAGTTTTATGGGGATTGCCTCTCTGTGATGCCCCAGTCTCTATCTGGTACTCAAGCAGTATGTCCTTCATCACAAGACAGAAGATGGCCAATGTTTTTTACTCCATCTCTCTTCTGCCACTGCCTGCTCTCCTAGATCTACATATGTGCCTTTCCAAAGGTCCACTCCAACCTCTATCTGAAAGTGACGCGACTGTTATGTGTGGCATCCTTTTGACTTAAAGTAGCTACAGAGATGCAGAGCCTTCCATCTCCCTTAGGGGTGGAGAGGTATTTAGGGAGAAGCACTACAGACTGAGATGTACAGAATCACAAATCTTGCTATCCTTTCAAAGACATTTTTATGAAGGAATAAAAGCTTTTCTGCATGATTCTATCTGTTTCTCCAGAGCTCTTAATCCAGAAATATTTCTTGCTTAAGTCATTCTCTTTCCTTGCAGAAGTGATAAATCCCATGTGGTGACATATGTGCCTGTGGAAACAGCCTGATATTACAAGGAAATGATAAGGTCTTTCAGGCAAAACCCCTACAAACGCAGTGGGTGAGATGTAAACAGATCAAAACTGAGGTGATTAAAAATGAAGCAGAAGAGTCTAAGTTCAGGCAGACTTCTCTTTTTTTTCCGGTGGGAAAAGCACATTGCTCAGCACTTACCAATTTTATTTTTTCCTTCTTCATATTTCACTCTTTGTAAGATATGGTGTACAATTCTACTTCTTGTAGCATTATTGAAGAAAGTTTCTTTGTTGTGTATGATGAAGCTATATAAAAATACAAACAAAAAACATCTCAGAAATATACAGTAGCATGTTGAAAGCAAATACTGAGTTCCATTACATTCTATAGTACACTAAAAATCTCCACTATGTGAGCAAGTGCAAGGAAGATTAAAGGACACCAGATTAAATGAGACAATGTCAGTAACAGTATTCATTCCCTAACAAAGAATTACATGGAGAAGTGTGAAGAAATATCAAAGATACTTAAGCATTCATTATGTTAAGCATTGCTTTTAGATAATTCACTGAAAACTACAAAGTACTTGCACAAAAATTTGCAAAATAGTATGATTTATAGGTGCAACTATAGAAATTTACATTTGATTTCTATTTCAGGCTTCTTTATCATGCTTTACATTAAGAGTCAGATGGAAAAATCTACTTTGGAAACCTCCCTTACTGCAAATCAAATACTATGTTACAAATGAAAAATATTATTTCCTCCTATGTTTGGTCCTGGAAGTTAGAGTAGAAAATTAGCTTTTGGAAGCTACATACAGTTACACATGAATGTAGCTTTAATAGCTTAGCCAGAATAGTGATGAGTCCAGGAAATTTAAAAATTAAAAAGTCACAGAATATGTTGTATTGATTGCATTGGTTGGCACAGTATATTTTAAACAGATTTTTTTAATCCCAATATACATACTCAAAGCAAAGAAGATATTTTAGCCTATCACTATAATTACTGGAAAAAGGCAAAAAAAATAAGTGTTTGGAGATATTGTTTTAACTTGTCAATTAAATATTGCTAAAGAATTCTTACAGTGGCTTGAGGTGTGTAGTGCTTCAGAATAGACTCAGAAATCATACATGGCTTTGCAGCTTCTGTCATTTGTAAATACAGGCAAGAAGTCCAACCTCTAGACTTTGGGGAATCCATATGCTCCCTCTTTATTAACAAAATTCTCTGCTGAATTTTCCATACAAGACAATCTGTAAGTTTTTTATGTTTGGCTTCAAAGGCAATTCCCAAAGCAGAGGTATAAAAGACAAGTTGCTCCAAGAGCACCATAGTTAATGAAACCTGTTATTTAGAGGTTACTATCTCATGTCTCTTTTCCTACTCCACCCCAGATACTTACAGGTCATTTGTGTGTCCACAAGCTAATCAATACTGTACTTCCTGCTTCCTCCACATCCCTACTAATCCCAAAGTCCTACATGTTCTACAGCATCCTACAGCATCCTACAGTGAAGGTGATTTGATTTATTCATATTGGCTACTGACCACTAAGTGTGTGCGAATTTAACAATGGACTGCTACCAAACAGCATAGAACATCTGTGTGCACTGGCCACTGCCTTTTCTGTATAGACACAGTTTTGAGCCGCTATTTCATTTCAAGCTGTTGATACTTATAAAGTAAGACTCTGCTTATCTCCGAGACAGCTACATCTGTACCAAATTTATTTGAAAGGGTTCAGAATGCAAAATAATAACTAGAAGGATTTTGATAAGGAAATACTGTCATCATACAAGTCTTAATCAGATAAAAAGCCAACCTAAACTCTGAAGCAGACAGAATAGCATTATTTCCAGCTGAAGATGGACCTCTGTATTAGTTGTTTTAGTATAGGTTGTTTTAGTGGCAGCACAAACAAATGAAAAGAAAGACAGTAGTAAGCCAGAAACTAACAGTTAGTGGTTTTCCCACTTTGTTTCATTTTCTTTTAATGTCTGACTTTTGTCTCCAAGATCTCACCTCCCAGACTGCACTGAATGTTAAAGAACTGTGAAGATAACTTATGAAATCAAACCACCACAGTAATTTTTCATTCTGACTTAGCTATGAGTTCCTGTAGGAATCAACTGAAAAATGAATCACCTTATCTAGGAAACTAGTAACATTGATCCAGCTAGCACCAATAATGTTAATCTATTTTCCTTGTCATATAAAGTTATTTTTTCCACTTGTTATCATGGCTATGTTGTATTGCAACTACAAGCAATTATTTCAAAACTTTTCTAAACAAGTTTTTCTGGATTCAGTTACTTCTATTTTCATGAGCCATGAATGAAAAAAGGGCAAAAAAATCAAACACTATGTGATCTTATAAAAAAAAACTACCTGTTTAAAAAAAGCACTTTTGTCATTTGCATTCATTTGTAAATTTAGCAATTGTGTTATAGCTTTTGATTTCACATGTCCAAGAAGGAATAATCATGTGTCTGTGATGCAGATGTCAACACCTCAGTATAATAACTGCCAGAACAAGCTAAAACAGTCCTAAAAACACATGTATAAGTGCTGCAGAGGTTCTGCCCTGCCTAGCCTTGTGCCAGCAATACATCTGATGGCAGGAGGGGGAGAGGAGAAGGAGAATTCATCATGACTAGGGCAGGCCAAAGACATGTTCTTCAGTGTTTTCCAACATTATTCATGGAGACATGGATGCAGAAGAGGTGCTACAGTTCACCAAAAAGGAGTTTTGGGATGCAATTGCATATGCAAAAGTTAAAAAGAATTCTCACCTATTTTTTAATATAAAAATCACAGGGTTTAAGTCAAATACTTAGGTAATTTCTGTGAAAGTGTCTGTAGAGTAGCCCCAGAAAGAACAGTATCACCATAACCAGGGGGGAAGGGATATCTGGCACAGGAAACAAGAACAGGCAGACATGAGTGGGAGGCATTGAAAGGTTGAGAATATCTCAAGCACTTGTAACTATGTGTTACAACATCCCACTTGAATGTTGACATAAATTAGGACAATGCCAGGAAGGTTTAAGTTTATCTCAAAAATCACAGGAATTGCTCTTGTCAGGTAAGGATCACGCACTTCAGTGTAGGACTTCCTTTTTTAACACTACCCTTCTCTCCTACTCTTTATGGGCATTTCTTTCCCCAAAACATTTGTGCTCCTTTCAGATAGTCTTCTTTGAGAGTGTGGGTGGTAAATCCATATGCCTAGAATAGCCATCAAGGCTATTTCATGCTCTCCAGCATTCAGTGAGGAATTCAGAGGAGAAAGACTTCCTCAGTCTATGGAGAATCTCACCCTTCAAATTTCAGTTCACAGGAGCCAGAGCCAAAGACACTTCCAAGCTGGTTGTAGATAAACATTTATCAGACATTACTGAGCTATAAACTACATAAGGCAGAGACTTTCTAGAGAGGTTTTAATCCTTGTTGCTTTCAGATGGAAGTTTCCTCACCTGTTCTGTTTCTGTTGTCCTCGTTAGAATTTCAATACGTAAAACGGTTTGAATAGTCATAAGAGCAAAGAATTTGTTTCTAGGCTTAGTAAGAGTTTAGTTCACTGATGGTTTTGATCACTTTGTCACCTCATTTGTAAGTTAAAAAATGAGTAAGGGTTAACACACTATTATTTTTTATTACCCATGAAGTTAATGTATAGTAGATAATAAACCCAGTGACTTGCTTCACAACAGCTGTAACCACTGGCCTCGTCCTGTGAGTCTTTACTAAAAAGGAAAATCCAAATGAAAATAATGAGAGCACTTCTGACAGGAAAGGTTCCAGAGTTGATTCTTAATTAATGCCCTGTTTAAAAATGTCATTGCGGAAATATTGCTCTTACATTCATGCTGTAAGTGACATGAATAGTCAGTGAAGGTTAATTGCTTTGAAAGTCTATTTGTAGCTTTCTTAATTAGACTCTGAACTGGAGATTTCAAACTATCTTTCCATGGATAACAAAGACACTCTAATGTGAATTCAGCTAAGAACAAACTAGCAATGAATTCCTGTTCATACATTCTCCTTGGTAATTTAGCAGGCTGTACAAACCCTTCAGAGGTAAATTCAGCTCTTGAATCTTTGCCTAACACCCTAACACCCACTTCTCAATTTTTATTTTATTTTTTTTTTTTGAGGAGCAAGAAAAGGCAGGGAAAGACTATTTTCTGCTCTACTGGTAAGACATACAGTCTAAAAGCTGAACACCCATGACCTAGTTTCAAAGCCGCAAAGTAAGGAATCATGCATGCACACATGAATGTCCATCTTTACTCCACAAGATCTCCATACAATGAAACATTTGATGTCTTTGAGAAACCTGGTCTAGCAAAAGGTGTCTCTGCCTGCGGCAGAGGGGTTCAAACTAGATGATCTTTAAGGTTCCTTTCAACCTTAACCATTCTATGATTTTGTCTGATATTCACCATATTAAAAGGTATGTTCCAAGAAAATGCCAGTTGCTGGAAGCAGCACCAACTAAAAGCACAGGTGTTATTTGAGGTAGTAAACAGTATAATGAGAAGTATATTCTTTAGTACAGGAAAAACGTTCAACACTGCACTCCCAGGTAAACCAGTAGCAGTAGGCAGCTGTTGTTGGCTGAAGCAATAGCAGGTTTTTACCTCATTTAACATCCAAGAAAATGATCAGCTGTAGTAGCTTCAACAAGATGAGCCTGCAGCATTCCAGTGCAAATATCACAGCGCATCCCTGTAGCTTATTTGAAAATGGGTGTATAATTATCACTATTTTCATTTTGCCTGACTTTTAAGGCTGCAGCTGACTTTTTTGTTCATCTTAAAGACAATGTTTATTAATGGTTAAAGGATTTTTCACATTATGTGTCTAAACCAGGATCACTTTGGTATGAAGAAAGTATTAGTGGCTTCACCTGTTTCAGATTTGGCACATCACATCCTCAAAACTGCTAAGTAAAACAGTCATGAAAATGCTGAATCTCTCCTCTACCTTCCTCTGCCCTTCCCCACCAGATCACTCTGCCACCCAAATCACTTCTTAGTTTAAATTGGTTCAGTCACAAATATTCATCTGAGATAGAATAAACTTTATGTATTTTTCAGGGATGCTCTGTTTCATTCAGTTTTCAAGCCAATTAAAACTTCCAGAAACAAAGAGAATTTAAAACACTGGGGCATTTCCAAGTTTGGTTGCATAAAGGTTTGTTTAGAGCATCAGAGCATTTAGAATCTGACAGAAGAACTGATTCTGTTTTCAAAAATTTGCAAATGTATATTTATCATACCATAGATGTATTTAAACACAAGCATGACCATTCTGGTTCAAAAAGAATAAGTGTCCACAGAGCCCTATGCCTCATCTCCAGTGGTAGCAGCTCCCTGATGCATACGTGACCTTGGGGTAAAGCAGCTCAGAGGAATATGGGCACAGATAATTGTGTTAGGGATGGGATTTATTAAGGCCAGAATGAGCATCAGAGACAGCTTAAAATGTAACTCCACCCTGAGAGACACATATCTTAGATATCTGACAAAGATACAGAATGACATCCACATGTACCACAAGGAGACATCTTACAAATGAGAATAACTCCATTAACCTCTGGTATGCAGGGCATCTTTGTTTAATTAATCCAGATACTGTCCTAGTCCTCCTAATTGTGTAAGTTTTTAATCTAATTTTCACTGAAGTAATAATTGTTTACTTTAAGTGGTTTATTCAATTGTACATTGGACTAATATTTAACCAGAGTGTTTGTCACCTTTGGAAGAAAAAAAAAGAAAAAAGAGGAGAAATAGCTCCTGATATGAAGTTTGAAATCTCTAAACAGCAATTAAAAGCATTTTCACAGCTAGTATACAGCTATCTGAGAAATTGCAACTAATTACTACTGTTCCTATTCCTAACTGACGAGCATCTCACTACATAAAATAACCAAGTAGTGGTAGAAAAATAACTAATTATCATCATTGTCTGATGGAAAACATTTTTTCACATATTGTGAACTGGTCATTCTTGTAACTGATAATTTCCAGAAGAAATGCTTTGGCATAAATAAAGCCCTTCCCAAGCTGTGGCTGCAGAAGACAGATACTCCTCAGAAGTCTATCTTGAAAATTATCATTTTGCATTCCACACAATTCCAAAATATTGTGTGGAATGCAATGGCAGAGATTTTTTCCTCCAAAAAGAGATTTCCTATCACTTAGGAAATAAAATGATTTTTGGTCTTCTCTTGTACTGATAATTTTGCAATATACCTATAAGGTATGCCATAATCTCTTTAAAAGAAAACCTGAAGTCAGGCTGTGAAAGTTACAGGCACATCTAACAGACGTGCATTTCTTTGCCTGTTTTGGAAGGAGGGCAGATGCTTAGCTGTGCCTCTGAGAACAAATGTAGTTTTTTTTTCTGAAAGCTAGGCTTTCTCCACATCTGGCCTTTTCCACCTGAATGGAAAAGAAAAATGCAAGAAAGAAAAAGACCATAAATATGGTCTACTACAGTTGCACATGCTCATTGTACATCAATATTTCAAAGATACTAATTCCTACTGACAAAAGGCCTGATCAGGCTTTGCTGGTTTTGGTCTTCACTATTTTCCTCCCCAAACTCTGTATTGTAAGTATTGTCAGTCATCTGTCTTTCCATGCTTTTCAAAGCAGCTATCATAAATGAAGACTGTACTCAGATCATGTTACAAACATCATCTGTATCATATTGGAGACCTGGATGTGAAAACTGTCACTAGATCAAAAAAAGATAAACTACCTATTCTTTAATGAAGTGAAAAAGGTCTGAGGCTATGAAGAACGTAAAAATTAAGGAATTCCAGGTTAAAATTGCAATATTGCAATATCTGGACAAACCTGGGACCCTCCCTGTCCTGTGCATGTTCTGTCTGAACCAGTTTGGGCACAACTGTGTGATGGAAGCAGATGCAGAGCCACATCTAAATGACCAAGAGCAGAGAAGAGACTGTCACTGTTATTCTAGCCTACAGGATGATGTTGAAGACAATGTGAACTCCACAAGTAACTGACCATGACAATTACATAGCCTCCACTGCCACTGCATTGTAATTGTTAAGGTTACTACACTTACCAGTGGGCAGAGGTGAAAGAGAAATCATCTTCTTAGTGATCTCAACTGGCACAAGTGATTCAGACAAATGAAGGTGCAAGTCACAGTAATTGATACATCAGTTAATATGTGTTGAGATAAAGGTAAATAAAAAAGTCCATTTCTACTCATACATACATACGCACATACTCCCCACGTGTTTGGGGATAGGTGAGCATCTTTACTAGTGGCTCATTATATAGAGGCTTTCAATAGAATATTTATGTATTTCTTGGAAGAAGCTGCAATTTGCTCAAAGCAAGCAGTAATTTCTCCAAAATCAGTGAACCCCAACATAATACACTTCTGATACTAATAAAATGATTCTTTTAAACTCTACATTTCCAATTATTTAATACTTGCACTCCATAATCACAGATTAAAAGCACACACTAAAGATACTCATGAAATGTTCTGCTTACTAACATACCCTGAAATTCTTGAAACAATTAAAACACCTGCATGCAACTCACTAGATGAATATTGAACAAGTCATTATGTTTCAAAATTCTAGTGAAGCAGAGTAAAACAGCACAGCCAACAGGCTGAAGCACGACAGGAACACAGGAATCCTGTCAGAGCCAACACCTTTTGGGAGAAGGAGGGCAGCTCAGTCAGGATTTTAGCAGTCCCCACACAAAAGGAAATGAATACTACAAGGAAAGCAAAAGAGAAAAAGTCAGGCCTGCTGGAGAGTACAGCTTTAAAGTCTATGGTGATGTAAAAGAAGTGCCAAACAACAGTGGGAATGTCAATTGAACTACCACAGCATTTAACAAACCCTTCCTGTCAGTTTGTCAATGCAAACATGAGCAAGGCAGAATGAAAAATTACTCTTGTTTGTATATGTTGATTCTCCTTGTGTGCTGTAAAGGAAGTTAATAGTTATTAACTGTTATTAAAAATACTAATCAGGAAGTTCCAATTTCTTAATTTTTTATTATTACTGGTCTATTGTAAAGCTAATTTGCACCTACTTTTCATCTTGCAGGGCACAATAACTGACCCATCTTTTAATTCAAGTATCAGAAGACTCTCTAGTCTGAACCTGTTGTCTATTCAGGGCACAGACATTAGTGGAGATAACCCTGGCTGGTTACTGGTGCTAGGAGCAGACTTCTACTGAATTTTCCCTAGAGATATGCACCTGGTTTTGGTTTTCTGCTGTATTTGGAAAAAAACTACTTATAGCAGAGGAGGTCTATTTCATTTCTATTTTAATTCATTCCTATTGCAGCTAATAAATCCAGTCCCGAAAAACTGTTCATTTAAAGCAAGGCATTTAAGAGCACTACATCAACTTGGCTTCTCTCTGAATAAAATCACGTATTTCAGATTTTTAGATTTTGAGCTGCCTATAATTCATTCTATGTCTTCTGTTAGCACCCTGATCACTGCTGCACATTCTTTGTGATTTTATTCTCAGTTAGTCAATGACTGTTTCCCGTATCACAAACATTGTAACTACCCATAAGGCATCCTCTTTCTCCAGAATTTAACAGCCTTGAAATTCAGCGTGGGATCTGAGAATCATTTGGGACTTTTTCTGTTTTGCATTTTCCAAGTTAATAAAGGCTTCTAGTTGTCAAATGATTTCTCTAGTGACATTGGTGCAACAGCAGTGATATTGGTATACTTGGACAAGTGTCACTGACAGGTTTTAACACTGGCATTTTGCAAGCAGTTTTGCTTCCCTAAAGGACAGTGAAAACTAAACAACAGTTTCTGCTTTCCTTAGAATTCTGTTTATTCTACAGTTGTAGCTAAGTATGAAATGCAGTATCAGATTTATTCCAGCCATCAGTGTTAGGACTAATTTTGATTATGCTAAAGTTATAGAAATGCTGAAAAAAAGAAGTTTTAATCACATCTTTAAGAGACAAAGAACAACTCCAATACTGACCCAAAAATTAGCCATCTGGCTGCTTTAAGGATGCAATTGAAATTCTAGTGAATTAAAAGGAACTCTTCAGTTGATTTCCTTTAGCTTTGAGCTGTACCTTTAATTATTAGAAATGTAGATGGACTTTATGCTCTCAGGACTCTGCCTCTCTCTTTTTGTGACAAAGCACTAATCTGAAGGCAGTAAGATTTGAACTGATTTTTTCCAAGGTGAATCCAGAAGGATAAGCTTTCATTTTGTAATTAAGATATTATAAAACACTCACTGATGGATCCTTTGTTGACTGAATGGAGCAGTATAGCAGTCATTCTCCTCCAGATCGGGCAGTGTCTCCTTGTCCAGTTTCATTGGCTTTCTAGGTAACCATCCTCGAAACCTGCTTATTTGTTTCTCGATCCTGCAGCAGATGAAAAGCGTGAGCATTTGAGATAGTGTTTTTTCATTACATTACAGAGGGCTTACAAAGAACACATGCTGGCAAACTAAGCCACCAAATATTTACAACTAGAAAAGATGCAATGTCTTTGGGTTTGGTTTTTTTTTTGAGGCAGACCAAATTGTACACGCTGAACTTGATTATTAATAACCTGCTTTCATGAGAAGAGCATCTTATTTTGTCTAAACAGAAAAGCAATTGTGATGATACATGCTGCTATAAAACTTACTAAGTCCAGAAGGCTCTTGGCAACTCTGTAAGCCTTTATTTCTCAGCTTTTCAGTTAATTTAAATTTCAGGCTTAAGTGACACATTAGGATTTGGACATATAAATTTGAGAACAGCAGAGACTGTGACAGACAGCTTTGGCAGCTAAACCCCAACAGGTTGCATCCGTTTACTGCTGTCTGTATGGATTCTTACCTCACAACTGATGCTATAAAAATAGGCTACTTTGCTAATTTTGTTCAATTGTAGTGTCTTACAATACTACAACCTCCATGAAACCAGAATATTCAGTGTGTAGATTAACAGGTGACTATCACACAGATTTTTATATTTAGAATGTGAAAGCAAACTAAGATAAAGCTGGAGAAAGGGCAGATTTAACTGCAAGTTCACTCATGCAAAGATGCACGCTGAAATGAAGGGAGAGGGAAGAACCAGAGCTGATTGGAGAAGACGATCAAAACCAAATTCAAATCAAAACTAAAATATGATAATAAAAAACACATAAGAAAGATGAGATGTGTCTGGCACAATAAGCCCTACTCTCTCATTTCTTAGCATCTTCAAGTCATAATCAGTGATCCCTGCCTACAAAAATAATAGACTACAAATTATAGACTATGCACATACTTCAGTCACCGGCTCTTTCTAGGCTCTTTCTAAACTGCATGCATGAATGGACATCCTTTGGACTTTAAGTTCAGTTCTGGGTGAAGCTCAAAGACTGGAAAGGTAGTCGATTCTTTTTTTCTGACAGAAGTCAGCACAATAACTCTGTGCCCAACAGATGCTTTGAGCTCTGCACAGTCATTTTGAGGGAGGGCAATCCATACCCAAGCAGCCAAGTGTGTGGCAAAGTGACACAAAATTATTACAACCTTTCATTTAAAACACATATGAAATTTCCTGGGATATACAACCCTCTCCCATCAAAGAGAGCTTTTTTTAATAAGAAAGCTAATGCTGATTTTTAAACATGGACACATTTCAGAATTGTAACCAAACTAATCTACTTGTTTTGGTACCATCTTTGTATTTCCAGTCTGGGAATAGCATGGGGAGGTGTGCACACTTACCCATAGGACTGTTTGGAAGAACTGGAATGGGCATGAAAATATACCATAAGACACTAAATTAGTTATCAACTCTTCATGGGCAGTGTTTGCACTGGCCCAGCAGTACAGAACACAGGAGGAGGCAGTTTGCAAATGCCACTGCTCAAGTGCAGGCAATGTCTGATCCTAGGGCTATAAGGGGCCTGACCAACTGTAACTGTGGAGTTGTAGCATCAAGCCTGACAGCTTTGAGCAAATCTGTGCAGGCACTGATAGGGAATGACAAAGGAAAAGTAAGCTCTCTACAGCGAAATTCCCTGTCTCTTAACCTCCAATTTTTCCTCTGTAAAGGCCAAAAGCTCTACATTCCTGTGTGTTCAGCAGGCTTAGTGACTCTGGGTATGAAAAAGGAAGAGGAATTAGGGAGAAGGGTTTTATAAATATCCTGTTCCATTCTTATTTCTTAACTAAAATCATTTGAATTCTCTAAGCTATTAACACCCCTTGCTAATCTGCAATCCTTTCCCATTCATCCTGCAAGTCAATGTGCATGTTTGAGATATGCGTGCTGCAGTTTTATCACACCACACATGCACGCACACAGGCACAGAATGATTTCCCCACTTAAGAGCAATGCATTATTCATGTTGGCTTCTCATGGAGTGTACTCAGAATTTGACTGGTTTGCTATTCCCAAGTCTTAGATTACTTGGCATGCTCAGTGAGCCTGCTGGCAAACAGGTCTGAGAAGGTTGCAAAGCCTTTCTGCAAGGCCCAGAACATGCAGTACAGCCATCCCTAGAGAAAATAGAAAAAAAACAAACCCTATTTGTCTCTTTGGAAAAGAAAAATGACCAAATTCCTAAGCTGCCTCGAGCTCACTCCAGCACTACCATCAGCCATCAGCACAGGCTTTGTACTCTATTGGAGACTGTCTTTAAAAAAAAACATGAAAAAGTGAGGTCAATGCTAACAAACAGACACACAGTGTTAAAAAGCTACTGTGTTTTATAACTTTTTCAAGGCTAATCCATGCCTCATTTTTGCTTATAGAGAAGTTTATATGCTCAGCTGAATAGGGGAATGGTGTTTGGAAAGCAGAGCACTCTACGCAAGAACAACAGAGTGCATGGAGTAACGAGGCACTGTAGAGCTAGCCACCATGAAAGAGATGAAGATCTGAAGATTATATCCTTCTTAAATTCTTTCTTTAAAAACACTTGTTAGCCTCATAAGGAAAAAAAGAAATTTCTCTTAATTCACAGTATCTCAGAATCTTCAACTTCAGTCCTACCTCTGCACTCCAAGTCTAGTCTCTACTCAGTATCCTCTTCCCGAAGATACATATTGTGCTTAACTCACAAAAAAGGTTTCTCAAATAATTTCAATTAAACCATTTCCTCATTAGGAAGTGGGGTAGGGATTGAATCCTTTTTTCAAAGGAAGTTAGGAAAATAAAAATGTTTTGAACTGAGACTGATTTTTATCTGCTGGTCAGCTTTGATAGAGCTTTACACATATTGCAAAGCTCGATGTTGTCTCAACTTAGTTTTCAACTGGAATGCAGGTACTGTATAGGTACCACATACTCTTCCTTTTCTCTAATACACATGAAGGGAATTTTGTTATTTGAAACTTTGAGATCACTAGAATTTTTAAGAGAGAAAATTCAAGTCAGGTTGACAAGCAGCAAGTGACCAGCTCTGGGCTTTGCCTTGCAACAAAAGTCCTCTTTAAAATAAATTTTGCCCGAACATCAATATAATGCTTGGCTAAGCTCAAAAAAATGGGCCAAGGCTTCAGTTACTTGTAATCTTCACTGAACTAGTAGTAGATAGTTTTATTGAAGCTGTATATCTGAGTTTCACATAAATAAAAATAAAGCTGAATATGTTTTCTTTTTTCTTTTCCCATTGGGACTATTCACTCACAGCTTTTCCACCTCAAGTAGCTATTTATACACCTGAATATAAAAATTGAATTTAGCCAAGTGTTCTCATCACTCAGGAGCTGAAATACCAGAAAAAGATCATGCCTATTCCCATAATGACTTCAAATCATATCCTGAGTTGTAATAAAAGGAATGGAAAACAAAATTTCAACACACCACATATAAACGTTAGAATCTTCACCTACTCCTTCCTATCTATTGCTTTGGTCAAAGCAGCCACATCTTAATTAAAATCAAGACAAATTCCAAAGTTAACAGCCGTTACAGTATTTATTGTAAGGTGAGGATGAAAAGTGTGGGAGAATCAACAAGTTTTAGAAGAATGGTGTGTGTCTGTTAGCCTGGGCTGACTAGGTAAAATGCCTTAACTCCACAAAGTGCCCATTTGGTGCTTACTAATGTAAATAAGCAAAAACTATAACGCAATATCAACACGGGTGCTCTTAAGTTACCAGCATGTTGTGATCAAATTTAATATACAAATTACTTTTTAATATGCTTATATAGCAGAGTGATAATAGGTGTTTTATTTTCCCATGGATATTCATGTAATGATATTACCTGCAAAGCAATACAGATGTTTACTCCAAAATGCAGATTTTTCAAATTTAATTTTTCCCCCAGAGGTTTGAGAATATTTCCACTGACCTCAGAATGACACAATAAATCAAATGCTAGACCCTTTCAGAAGGTGCATCAACAGCACTGTGCCATGAAATGGTGTGGTCTTTGCCAAGCCTGTGTATTTTTTTGGCTTTTTAGAGATATTTTAATTGTCTAAGGTATAAAAAAGAAAATGCAAACTGCAGCATTGGAAGTCTTTCACTTCATTGAGTAAGACACAAACTACACATCAAACATAATGAAAATATTTAAGAACTGAGTGAAAACACTTCAAAGATTCTTGAAAAATACTTATCTCTCAAGCTCAATAAAGTTACACTGCAGATTAACTTGGTTCATTGCTTTCCTAGCTATCAACAAAGTACTAAGCATCCCCACAGAGGAAGCCATAAATAAATGATGGCATCACTACTACCAATAAGCAAGGTGCATGGAAATGCAATAAAAAAAGCAAAAAAAAGCAAAAAAAAAACAACAAACAAACCCAACAAACTGTAATTGTGGTATTTTAACCCCAAGAAACTCCCTAATGAACTACATGAAGAGAAAAAGATATGTTTTTTATGCTTCTTCTTTAAAAGACTCCACTGAGTAACAAATATTTCCTTATTCCTAAGAAAGGCAACACTGATAAGATGAACTGTCTCCTTCACGTTGCAGATACCTTAAAAATGCAACTTCTGTATTTGGTTTTGCATGTGTCCTAGTGTGTAATCGCTTCCTCCTCCCTTCCTACAAACAGAGCTAATAAACTTTTTCTTGCAGCTTGACGTTAACCATTATTTTTATTGGGCCCAAATGAACATAAACTGGACTGGCATAAGAATCGTACTCACCTATTCATGAACTTGTATCGACGGTGCAGGTAATAGATTTTTCTCCTGGAAGAACAGCAAAAATGAAGCCAGTCGAGAAGAAAACCCATCGTCAGTTACAGTATGAACTAGCAAGGAAGGAAAGGAGATTGAAGACAGAAGCCTGTAAGAGGTGGAGGAAAAGACTAAAAGAGAGATTAACAGAACTGTCACAGGAAGCCACAGACTCTGGTGGCGTTTGAATTGCAAGAGGGTCATACTTTTCCCATTGTCTTCTCCTTTTCTGCTATTTGTCATGTGTGAATGACAGGGACTCAAAGATGTTTCTATTTGCATAAACTGTTGCAGGAATTCTATAGGACTGATACAACTGCGAATAAATTATCTCACATCCACTAGTGAATTATTAAGGCTGCATTTGGTGAAACGCAAGGGGGAATCACTTAGGAAAGGAGTACCTGATGCTGCAATATGCTTTAACACATGCAGTACCGACTGGGACCAGTACTTGCTCTTGGGGTAATATCCCCTGAAACAGAATATAAGCTATGCAAGCAATTGAGCATGTGCTTGACACCCTTCCCCCCCCAAGTATTCAGCCTTTCCCTCTGCCCCTTGTACAGGCACAGCTGATTTCTGTTGTCAGTGCAATAAGCTGTGTGGGAGTGCACATGAGGAACAAGTGAGCAGACAAGGATGCACGAGCAGACACATGCTGACCATGTTCTTGGCCTGCTTCCTGACCAGACCTATAGGGCAGGGTGGCTCTCTAACCAGGTGGTGTAGATCCAGAACTGGGAGTCCACCTCTCACCCCACTCTGCTTCTATCAGCACTTGCTCTCCTTGTATGTGCCTATAACATTGCAGCCATCAGGATTTGACCCATTGCCTTCAGCAGAGAGATCATGTCTTTATGAAAGTTAAGAAAATCGGACGGGTTTTAGATGCGGGCTTGAGACTGATACGCCTTACTGGAAGATTTCAGAGGCTTTGTTAGTCACTGAAGATCTTTCTTAAATCAAGGTGGTTTCTGTGTATCCTGAGAGGTTCCATCATGCAATGCTGAACTGTGTCACTTCCGGAAAGCGAAGGGTTCACACCACCCATATTGTGAATATTCATGTATATTAAATGTACTGTAGGAATGCTCTTAGTGCCTTGGAAGCAAGCATTGTTGGGAGCTTTATAAAATAACACAGCAATAATGCTTTATAAACTATAGAAAAACCCCTGGTTAGTATTCCAGGTTAATTTTCATGACTTACAATTTACATAGCGCATAAAATTTTGACATTATTTTTGTTATCAGCTCCCATATTGTGCCGGTGAAGTTAAATTTTCAAAACAATTTCATGTTGGCCAGCCTCCTTTGGCCAGTTCCTTCACAAGATAGTGTTATTTATCAGCAGGAACAAAGAAATGTCAAAGCCAAGATGCCATCCACTTCTTGATTTTCCTTCAAATATCCACTGTTTTATCACTTCTGCTTTGAAACAGCAAGGATTTTATTCACTGATGCATGGATCTTGGATATTTCCAACCTAAAAGATCAGGAGCTATAAGCAATCAGTAGCCCTTAAAACAGGGGGTTAGACAAGGGCACCTAGAAACAGGCAGTCTAGACTAGTGGTCATTTTGTGAAATGCTGGTCCTTGTTTTTAATTGGTAAACAGTACTGTTGCTCTTAAAATAAAATTTCAGAGCTGACCTAGCAGACATTAGTAAATCACCATGATTTCCTTGTAACAGTACTGTAATAATTTTCTCTGTGAATGTGGAAAGAATGAAGCTGTGGACCTGAAGCAGGTCAAGAAACCTTTAGTATTTTCAATGCTTTCTGTATAATCTCTGTATGACATCTACTTTGCCACCTGCTGAGAGGTAGATTTCAAAACAGGGACTTCAGCTCAGGAAAGAACAAGCTTCTCACAGTGACTAAAATTTGAGTTCCTGGTGTATTTCTTAATCATGAGACCTTATCCTCCTACTGGGGTAGAATCATCTCAAGTAATGACACAGAATTCAAAGGAGGCATATTTTTGTTCCAGCCCATGGTTTCTATGGCTAGAACACTTTTTAAAGGAATATAATCTTGCAGTGACTTGTGATAGCTTTTATATTTTTCTCCTTAGCACTAAAATCACAAGAAAGAACAGCTGAAGATCTGCTGTGAAAATGAAAACCAACATATGTACAGAATAAGCCTGCAATTTTGTCCTTGATTCATATCCATTTTTCCTAGCACGTTCTATACTGTGACAGCTTGTCTAATACCAGAAGAATATTTCATCCTTAAGTAAGAAGAAAACAGAAGAAATCCTACAAAGGACACCAACTCGCTAGCTGCATTTTCTGGGTCTGATGCTTTCCTTGCTGAAGAGTAATTCCATTAAAATCAATGGAGTTTTACATCTATAAGCTCTGCTAATTGAGAGAAGAATCAAGACCTCAGAGTTCATGAGTTTGGGTCAGTTCCAGTGGAAGTCTTTAAATGCTATTTTAACAGTTCTGATAACCAGTAAAATCAGTATTTTACATAAAAAAAATCATAGCCCAACATGCAAATGGTAATAAATAAATAATAATAAAAATATCTGAATAACAATGTGAAATGAATTTGGTTATCAGTAGCATTTAATATAGCTCTTTATTTTCTCCACAGGAAAAAGCATTTATAGTCTGAATTGTTTTCCTATTAGATGGGATACTTATTTATAATCTGTATTTCCATAATTACACACTATACAAGCAATTTACAGGTGCTGAACATACCAGATACGTCCAACAGACATGCACCTTCCGTGCAGCCTTACGTACCTGGATCTTCTTGACCTCCCATTGATTTCAATGAAATGTCCATTTAAAAAACAGCAACGCACAAGTATGCAGGGGGCTCCAGCACTGAAGGGGTTAAAGGGCCTAAGGATAGAACACCCCATGAAAACAGCTGCACTGCTACAGCTCACCTTATTTTCAAACCAGTATTGTACTGAAATTGCAGGCATTAACATGAAAGAGCAATGAACATGGTAACTAAGGTACTCCATTTATATTTTCTGAAGATGTGTGGTATCTTATAGAAGAGCTATTCCATGTGCATTTTGGTGTTATTATTACATTATTACAGTATAGTGTGACTTTGGAGGTTGAGACAAAATACAACTACACCTACCTGAAAGGCATTCTTACATTCATTAGTTCAGCATATTTGCCCAGGACCTCCCAAGGGGCATGCAACTTCACAAAGATGATGTCACTGTTTATTAGAGATGACTGCAAAAGAAAAATGAAACACCCACGAGGGTTTACATTTTCAAGTAAAAAAGAAAGAAACTGTGGTCAGTGGTCAAGATGTACTTTTTCTGGTCTCGTGTCATCCCTCCCACTCTGATTCTTCCTCCAGCTTCCCTCTTGGCAACATGAATTCTGAATGTTAGAATTAAAGCCAGCAGGGAGAAAGGAAATCTGATGCTCCCTATAGCATAGTATTGTACAGATTTGTTGCATAGGAAGGTTGAGGGCCATGACTATTCCAGCAAGATCTCTTACAGTGCTACCATGTTCTTTTCCATGGGTTGTGTGTAGCATGAAGAGAGCTGTTTGTAGGGTATGTGCACCAGAATTGTTGTTACCTAACAGAAGGCTGCCTGGTGAGGAATGGAAATATGCAGTAAAGAGGAGAAGGGGAGAAATTAATGTCTGCTCTCAGGAGGAGAATAGTGCTTTATAAGAAAGCAGGGTTGTCTGAAGCCAATGTGAGAACACAGACAGCCACATGTTAACACTGGAAGATGAACTGTTCAAATTCTAATAAAAATAAATGAAATTCTCATAAAATTGCAGACAATACAGCTTTAGACAACTTAATGGATGACATTAACAGGGATAACTACTACAGGCCGAGTTCAAGGAGTACCCAGGAGATGGGTAAAAGTCTACAGGCCATGAGAATAAGAAAGTGTGAGAAAACAGGGAAAAAAAATTGTTACTTGGCTTTAGGGATGATTTCTTATTTTTTTAATACATTGTAGCATATTCAATGCTTCTCACATTAATCCTTGGTTAACATAACTCACTAGAAGTTCATAAATCTAGCATTCATCTGGAAGCTACTGAGATTACCTGGGTGGGAGGCTGACATTTATACTTTTGATACTTGTTTGATTCTCCCCCAACTATCATGACAGATACTGAGATTATTGAAATTTCTATATGTCCTTGAGCAGCTAAAACATTATTACTGGTTTGTGATGTGATAGGAATGAAAGCACCAACAGTTGAGATATATATAAACATAAACCCCCCCCAAAAAAGCAAAAAACCAAAGCCCCAACCCAGTCACTACAGAAATAACATTATTTTAAACAAATAACATATTGCAATCCTCAAAAATGAACACAGAGAAATATTTGTCCCCAGAGTACTGCTGGGCTGCTTGAAAAAATGGATTTAGCACAGAACGGAACAAGTGGCTTTCTGGTATTAAAAGCTGCAGAAAAAGTCTCGCTGCTCTTTTGCTGATGACTTCCTGAAAAATATTTCAACATGAAATGATACAACAGCAACAAAATGCCCCCAAAAGACTTGCTTCAAAGACAAGAATTCAGTTGTACACTTTTCATTGACTTTTATGGAGTCTAAATCAGGCCTCTAATGATATTTTTTTTTACAGGCACATTTCACAAATTAGATTTTTATTTTCCCATGAGACTTTAGCAAGTAGATACCACAATACCAAGGCTAAGTTCTGCTATTCTAAAAATGTCTTGGAAACTACTCTCTCAATGATGAGGTTAAATCAGCAATGGAATAGTAATTTTGTCATAAACAGCTCAGATAAAAAACAAACCAACCATAAAAACGTCAAAACTCAAAAGAGCCCTCTAATAAGCACAATATACAGAAGGAAACTATGGTCTTGACATACCTGGCATTTAGAAATGGAGGAAATTTATTAAAAACCGCCTGTAAATTTAGTGATGACTGTTAAACAGCTTACAGGCTTTTCCTTACAGAAAGCTTACAGGCATTTTCTAGCACACTGTAGTTTAAGCCACACCAGATATGACAGCCACAGTAACATGACTTAGAATCATAGAATCATAGAATAGTTAGGGTTGGAAAGAACCTTAAGATCATCAGGCTCCAATCCCCCTGCCGTGGGCAGGGGCACCTCACAATAAACCGTGTTACCCAAGGCTCTGTCCAACCTGGCCTTGAACACTGGCCAGGGATGGAGCATTCACAACCTCCCTGGGCAAACCATTCCAGTGCCTCAACACCCTCACAGTAAAGAACTTCCACCTTAGATCCAATCTAAACTTCCCCTGTTTAAGTTTTAACCCATTACCCATTGTCCTATCACTACAGTCCCTAATGAAGAGCCCCTCCCCAGCATCCTTATAAGCCCCCTTCAGATACTGGAAGGCTGCTATGAGGTCTCCACGCAGCCTTCTCTTCTGCAGGCTGAACAGCCCCAACTTCCTCAGCCTGTCTTCATAAAGGAGGTGCTTCAGTCCCCTGATCATCCTCGTGGCCCTCCTCTGTACTTGTTCCAACAGTTCCATGTCATTTTTATGTTGAGGACACCAGAACTGCACACAATACTGCAGGTGAGTTCTCACAAGAGCAGTGGGGCAGGATCACCTCCTTCAACCTGGTGGTCATGCTCCTTTTGATGAAGCCCAAAATACAGCATTTGTGGAGATGCCATTTCAGAAGTGAACATTATCTTAATCTAAATTTGATTTATGTGCTAAGTGTAGCCACACAGAAACATGAAAAACTTCCATATAGTTACTACAATATAGATGTTTAATGCATATCTTTTACTCAACACTTGTAGTGTTTTTTTATCAGCTCTCTCAACAGAAGATCTAACTAAAATTCATTTGGGAGATTCAGTTATTTTCAGAAGAAAGAGATAATAATGCTAAGTTATTAATATGGAAATCTATTTCACTTGGGCTTGCTCATGTTAACTGCTCACAAAGGAAAGCATTAAGAAAGCCTGAGAAAACCGAGACTGGAAAGAGAAGAACAAACCGAGATGGAGTAATTGACTGAAATGTCACATTCACTTAATCTAAGGAGAAAATAGCTAATCAAAATGGCTAAAAAAAAAAATAAAAAATATCAAGAGCACCATCTTAGTTACAAAAATACTTTAGTAAATGGAACCTCCTAACCTCTCTTTGCTAGATTAGTATTTAGACAGAGTCTCCTTCAGCTTCTGACTGTTTCATTGGGAGGAGAGGAGTATTATTCTGTTCTAATTGGCTTTTGAGGCTTGGCTCATTAAGTGGTTTGGAGAAGTAAACTCAATTTCACATTATGGGAACATGCAAACAAAAATCAATGTAACATTGCTCCCCTTGGAAATTTAAGTAAGATGACTATTGACATGAGCAATCTGCTAGAAAGTGATGTCTAGATGATGAAGAAAGACACACAGAGGAATTGCAGGAACAGACAATGAGATAAACCACTCTGCAAACACAAAAAAGGAGTAAGTGTTTGAAATTGACAGGCAGCAACCCTGCCTGTAAAGCTATCACCATACGATAACTGGCAGGCCACCAGCATTCAAATAGATTGGTTGTTTCAAACTAATTTCTTGAGAAGGAATACCTATAGCAAACCAGATTTTCTTCTGGCCAATAATAACATTCTTGCTGGTCTTCAGGGCAGTGCACCAGTGTGACAAGGGAAAAAATCAGAGAGCTGCAGACTAATCTATGTTGGAAGGGACCTCTGGGTATCATCTGGGTTAACACTAGCTAAAGCAGGTCCAACTTAGATCAGGTTGCTCAGGGGCTTCTCTCAATGAGTCCTGAATTTCCCCACAGGTAGAGATTTCACAGCCTCTGGGTAACACACTGAATTGGGCTGGAGAAAAGAATAGTTTCTATGGAAGAACTGCACTCTTCTCTAGAGAAATGTTTGTTGAAAACTACAAGTACCTGGATGTGAACATATATAAAAATTCAAAATATTCAGTGCAAAAATGGTGTTTTTCATCAAACAACTTGCTTTTTATAATATATTTTTTTTTAATTATTATTCTTATTGAGAAGCAGTAGCAAGGTGTACATAGCTTAACTGAACCATAATCCTCAAAACAGGTTTGTATGGTAGAATTCAGATTAGCAAAGTTCAGAGTCTGGGTTACAGGTAGTCAATATGCAATGAGTTTCAGTGTTCAGTGCTATTAATCTACTATTTTTCACAGACTGTAATTTCCCCCTCCTCCTGTTTTCCACTCCCCAACCTCCTTCTACAGCTGGAAATCATATTCCATAGTTCCTGAAAATATTAGGTCAGTATTTGATAATCACAAGTTTCTATAGTCCTTATCTCTGTACTGGAGATTTTCACTAATTCCCAAATCTTCTGGGTTTGCTGACAAACCACTTTAGTACCACATCATTGCTGCCAGTCCTAGAATATAGGCCCACATATTACAGACTTGCCTTTTTGGCAAGACCACCTTTCTGCTTTACAATTAAGTTTATACAGACATTGTATTCCCCACAAAAACAAATTAACCACAAAGATGTTTAAAAACAAAGCTCCGTATTCTTCTCCAGTATTGCTATACAAGGAGTGGAAGAGACTAAAGCAGGGGCCATATATGTAACTCCAAAAGCATAAACACCTGCTTTGTTGAGTTGCAGTCCTCAGCTAGGCCAAGGAAACCTTGTAAAAGGCAGGTTATTATTCTCCTGAATGTGGGCACAGTGGCGTTAACTGCTATTTAATTTAAATCCTAGCTACTAAACTCACATGCACTCACGTGGGCATTCTAACTCCTTTTGATGGCAGGATTTAAATAGATATATTCACTGTTAACTTGACTCTGACTGTTCTGTAGTTATCATTGTTAGTCTCAACAGAAGTAAAGTTACACTGACATTGAATGTCTCTTGAAAAGCCCATATTTTGCCGTATTTGCAGGCAGTCTTCTAGGATCAAGGCCAGAGATTAGACTCTTCTGTCAAACATTCTCATCCAACAAAGACATTTTTTGGTTTGTTATAAAAAATATTGTCAACTCATTTTAAGACAAAAAAAAACCAACCCACAACCAACCTGTAGGACTCACTTTAATACAAGCATTTGAGTCCGAAAGTTAAGAAAGCTGAGAAAAGAGATTCACAGCATATAACCTTGAAGAAGGATAAAATTACAGTGTCTCCAGTTGAATGGTGTAATTGCCTATCTGCCTTGAGGCAGAAAAACTTCCATTTATGTATGCATAACAATAGGGAAAA